TTATTTAAACTTAATCTATTCTAGTCTTCTTTCTACTTTAGGGTATTTATATAAGTATATTAAGTATTCTAAAATATATTATATATACTAACTTACCTTATATCTTATTTATACTAAAGTTATATCTTTAGCTACGTTATACCCCTAGTTCTAATTATTTAAATTTTTAAATTTTTTATTAAAATTTATTTAAAATTTAAATATATATAGTAGTTTTACACTAGAATACTATAGGTTAAAATGGTAAAACAGCACCTATAAAATAGTTAGTAGTATTAAGAAATTATTATATTCTATAAAGTAGGGTTAAGATAAATTTTATTATAATACTAACTATAATATAGTTATAATCTAGTAGGCCTAGTTAGTACCCTAGATAACCTCTATTAAGATTTACCTTAAGAAACGGCTCTAAGCTTAGTACTTAATAATATAGCCTAGAATAACTTACTTTATAATATAAGTTTAAAGTTATTACCTAGTAATATATTACTATATTTTATATTAGTATAAAAGCTAGTTTAGTTTATTCTATTAGCTACTATATATAGAGGTAGTTAATTATAAAGCTTAGACTCTAAATATGGTATTAATACTATTAAAATAGTATATTATTAAGATATAAACTATTACTCTATATATTAGAAACTTATTTTACCCTATATACTTAACCTTACTTACTATTATAGTTATTACTATAAGTTCTAGAATATAGGTGTTATAATAAGATAGTGTACTAGTAATTAATAGAGAATTTTTATATATTATAGAGGTTACGAAAGTTAAGATAGAGATGGGAAGACTAATACTTAAGTCTAATAAAAATAAGTAATAAAAGCTATTATATTTTAAGATATAATATAGGGAATTAATGGATCCAGAAGTGTAGAGCGTTAGGATGGAGGGGCTTTAGGCTAGTAAAAGATAAAAGTCCGTTAAGGAGAGTGTTATAGGAGATATAAAGATAATCTATAATAACGTACTTCTTTTAGTGGGTGTAGTCTAATATGAGACTTTACGCGCAGATCCTAATCCACCTTTGGATATTATATATTATAGCCTATATAAACACGAGCTTTAAGCTAATTACTATTCCTCCACCAGGTACTGTAGGCGGCACCTTAAGGTGCCAATCCTGCTCGAAACTTAGTTTACTGTAACTATACCGTCTCCTTGAATTCGCGTACTCTAGGAGGTCGAGACTTTATAAGATAGATTATAGTTAGACCTATATTCATACCCAACGGCATGAAAATTAATAGTACTTCGAGTGCCGTTGCACCCAACGCAGCCGATCCGGTTGCAGCGAGGACAGCGCTCAGAAGTAAAATAGATGAGATGGAGTGGTTGTTTTGAATACGCTGAACAATACATTCGATGTAGTTGCAATAGTTCGCCAAGAAGCAGAAGGCAAGGAAATAAGTGTTATCGAGTATGGGTAATAGAGGACCCTGTACAGGAAGTCTTATTAAGAATTGCCAACCGATTGTGGAAAGCAGGTGACTCACTCTTCGGCGAATGGTTGGAGCAAAATCGCTTGTGGGCTCTACTCCTAGATTCAGGTACATGATGCCCGCGGAAAGCGATACTATCCACGCCCTCAATAGGTCCCAACGGCCGATGTCTCGAGCATCGTGTAGTTTTTGGGCATTATTTCTGCCCTTTTCTGGGCTTTGGTCGACCTTGAGTCCGCCATGACCGGAATCTTCATCGAGTGCGCAATTTTTCGGAATCGAGAGTTGAGGAGCGGGGCTATTAGAGCTCATCTGGGGGTCGATGCTCGATGGGAGTTTGCAAACGCTTGAGGAATCAATATGTTCAGGGGCTTGTTGGGCGGGACACTGAGAGCTAAGGTTGAAAGTACAAAAACGTTGGAAGATGGGGAGAAGTTTGGCAATTGGTTACTTAGTACCCCTCACTGGTGAGCATTTCGTCTCAGCCTGATCGGGTCCCTTCCCCGCTTCTATCACCCAACGCATACCAACCTCTTCACTCGACTTTTCTGCACTTGCTCGCTATTCACACTCCTAACCAATCCACAGTGTTCTCCGCATAAGTAAACTCTCCGACATCACAATCTGACCATTGATATACTTGTAGTTCTCCCACCTCTGATCTGCATGTTTACGATCGGCTTGACTCCTGGACACACTCACAAAAAGCACCTTCCATCTCAGCGCATCGGTCCGAGGAGGAGCAACACCGTTCACGCATCATGGCTGCTGTAGCGAAAGAAGGGTCAGTTGCAAGATGGAGGTGGGAGCTCTACACGCTCTGCACGATGGACGCATTATTCGTCCCTCTAATCGGAGAGGCCGTGGAAGGGAACGCAAAGGGTATATCCTTAGTCGTGTAAGTGTGGTGTTTTTAGTTGAAATTCGAGAGAAATTCGAGAGAAATTCGAGAGACTCGTAGGTGGTCGAGGGCTAATCAACTGGGACAGGTCATATACGGTGTGGGTGGGACTGCTCGCCCTGTTTGGTGCTACGTTCTTTGAGAGAAAATCTGTATTCATCATGTAGGTCACCTTGCGCCCGCAGACAATCGTCCTGATCAGGTTTCAGTCGATGCCTATACTACGTCGTCTGCTCCGCTTTGCCTCTGGCGTTCTTCGGCTCTTTTCCCAATGCCGCGCTGCATCTCTGGCTATCCATCAGCTCTTGCCTGGGGATATCGTTGGCATAGCATTGCGCGACTGTGCTTTACACACGACAAGATGTGCCCAACAAAGTCTACGCAGATTAACTATTGGCTGCCTTTGTACCAGGGAGCCCGTTCTACCTCTAAATCGTCCCCGCGGGCACCTGCATGAGGACTTTTACTCTCGAGCTGAAAGTCGATCAACGGAACCGCAGGTGGTCAACTAAGTTTGCCGCTCCGATCCCAACTACAAAGAAACTGGCCGTGATAGCCATCGCCGTAGAGTGGCTCCACGCTTGGGCCTCGACCACGATCCTACGTTCTTTCCCCGTCGCGGTGTTCCAGATTCGATTGGGTTCGCCCATTTCCCGCGATGTGCTCGAGTACCTTGGTACCCATGCGGTCCCATTATCTCGATCACACTCCTTCTAATTCTGTTTCTACTGTTGCATGTTTATTCAATGTCTCCTTCACAGCATCAGCATGTCCTCTCGACAAGCACAACAATGAATGGGACCTCGGCATCCATCATCCACCATCCACCGTGTACGACTTGTGCATGGAGAAATCTCCTTTCCCACTTTTTCCGTGGCATAGCGTGGAGTTTTGCGTATTGTAGCCTGCCCGTCATCTACCGTTTCCGACGCGGCATCTCATGCTTCTTGCATAGCGTGGAAATCGTGTTTTAGATGGCCTTTCATAGCGCGTTCTTGTTTCTCATTCATTGCATAGCGTAGCATATCCGGCGTTTCTTATTCCATTAAAGCATTAGCATATACAAGGAGTGGACATTAATTGAGCGGACGGGTAGTCTAGGCGACCACAAGGTTTCGACATATCTCGATCTCCCAGGTATTCACAAGCCCGTGGATATCCTGACTGGTAAACAATCCCATCATCAACGATGACTTCATCCATACTTTGGATCACACCGTACATAGCTGAGGACAAACGTAACCAGAGCTCTTACAATGTGTATCAGTGTCAAACGGAGATTGAATCATGTGCAAAGACAGAGTCCTGTCATCGTCCTGGACTGTGTACATTGCAGGGTTTTCCAACGTAACGGTCCAAGCGCAGTATTTCAGTTCAGCCTAGCACATGCACACAACTTAGCTGAGAGTCGAGCTCCAGAGTGCTCATTACTGCTCCTATTGATCCATTCGCGATGAAAAATTATGCGGTATTTCACCCTTCTTTTACTTTCTCTCTAAAACAGAGGAGAGAAACAACGAACAGAAAAAGACGTGATTCCACGGCATACCTATGCATGTACTTGATCCTTTCAGCAAGTACACGCTGGTTCGAGCATGGCAAGCGCAAAACATTTGTCTTTTCCCGTATGAGCGCTTCCCACGTGTTAAGCGTCAGCGCAGAAAGCGTCACATCTGTTAATAAGCCGTTAAGAAGGGCTTCATTAATAAGTAGTATAGTTGTTAACAAAATCTTTATCTTTTAATGAACTATAGCTTCTGCTAATAGCAGGAATATCGTCGTATATAGTGTATCTAGCTATAGTAGAAGTGGCAGTACTTAGCTTGAAGTCGACTGTGCTTTTGAGTTGGTCTCACTTCTTCTTCTTCTTCTTGCCGTCTGCTCAGCAATACAGAGCCTTGAAATCGGACTGCTGGACAAAAAAACGAACGCTAAGAGCTGTCAGATATTTGACCTGTTCGCCAACATACCTGCCGAGGAAGGTCTGGTCTGCGATCGCCACGACGAATTACCTTACATCGTTGAAGCGTTTTACGAATGCGATTTGCTACCGAAATGCTACCCTGCAGAGGATCCCAGGCACCAATCTCGCTAAATATTCAATACAGTACACAACTACTAGCTTCGCGGCGTCTATCCTGCATGCGACGCGGGACATGTATTATTTGGAGAGCTCCTTCGCCGCGGAAAACGAAGCAGTGGACTTCCTTCCTAATTGTGTACTCTTTGAGGGATAAGACTTTGTAGAGCGCTCGTGTATTGCTCATTGCTTTCTCATTGGGAACGCTTTGGTTTCCTCGTTCTGTCACCTGCCCGTAATCGAACCAGCAAATTCACAGCACTTTCCTCTTGCGAAGAATAACAGTCAACTTGACATCGTGAATCGAATTTCATCTCCCTCAACCATGAGTTAAATGTATAAAGCATGCTGTACTCGCCCCTTACCAATACGCGTACATCCATGTCTGACCATGCATCGTGCATTTTGATCCCCAGACACCCTCTCCCAATCCATTCGTCCCTAGGCGAGCAAGTGTCGCTAATGCGTAGAAACAACAAGTCTATTGTTTTACAAAGATGGTTGCCAAGAGTCATCCAAGCCGTGGTATCCTCGAAAGCGTGTAATTGAGCCAACAGCAAATGGCTTATTTCGCGGCGCCAGGGTAGCGGGTCTTGCCAACGGTGAAGGGGACGTAGCGGTACTTGATCATGTGCTGGATTTGTCGCCTCACTGAAGTAGGTTAGTTGATCTCTCGTTTGGTTCTACTGCAATCCGAGCTGTGTACGTACTGGTCAAGCCAAATAGAATCAGCCAGTAGACCACCAGAACCGGCCAGAAAACTGGCAGGTTGAAGACCTCAAACCAACTGCACAAGAAACCTATGGTAATTGCCTTGGTGCACGCATACCAGAACTTGAACTCTGGCAGGCGGCGCACGAATGGCCGGAACTCATCTTCTTCTTTTGTAGGCAAGCCCGAGGTGCCATCTTCCATGCCCTCATCTTGCTCCAGTGAGGGGTCAAACTTGGGTGATATGAAGGCGAGGAAGAGATTCAGGAGGTAGATACCGAGCGAGTATGCGACTGCATGAGTTAGCCTCAAACCCCATGATAGCTGCCTAGCCTCCCAATGTTGGGACGACTCGCAAGTGGGGCAACATAAGTGAAGGCGCATACCGATGTACCACCCCTCCGCAACGAATATTCTGATTGCGAATAGCACAAATAAGACGCCAGTACCAATCCATCGGTATGCGGTGAAAGGTGTCGATTTATCGAGGTAGGCTTGGAACATCTGCTGCGTGTCAACATCTTTTCTGAGCGGATATCTCGCAGAAGCAGCGCATTGCAACCGAATGAATCTGGCAATACGCAACAGCAATGGGTCGCGACGACCACTTGCAGCGAGACGGCAGTTCACGCACCCTTCCGTACTTTGTCGTCTGCGCCGTGACGGCCGAGAAAGGGGTATCAGGCTCTGGGGCGTCCATGTTGGCGCGGCGAGGTTCTTGTCGGTCAATAGCGATGGGTTGCGCGGGGATTTGCGAGGGACGCGGAGGAGAAGATGGCGTGGGGAAGGAAAGTGTCAAGTGTTGCGTGTCGCAAGGCCACGGCTGCCGTTGCCTCCCAAAAGATTCCAGCCCTACGAACGTGGCCCGTGCCAAGGGGCAGGGTGCGCTTTCCCATCTTCGCGCTGGCGGTTCGCGTTGCAGGCGAGCCGAGGTTAGCCGCTATGTCATCGTAGCTCCACTCGAGCTGCGTGAGCTCGACATCTAACATACATTCTCCTTCTTACCCCGAAGCTATCGTTCGATTGCGTGACAGGAGCACATATAGACAAGATGCAGGCATTCAGACCATCTGCCCGGGCAGTAATTCGCGCGCCCGCATGCGGCTTCCAGTTCGCCCGCAACTACTCCTCCGCAAAGACATATGAACATCTGCTTGTCTCGTCACCAAAGCCTGGTGTAGGTTTCGGTCAGTAAACCAATCGCACGATTCTACAAGACACATTCGCCCGAGTTTCACTCCATTCTCCTCTGTCAAACTTTCTTCGAGTGCAACTCTGCACAATAGCTAAAAAATGCTCAGTCCAATTGAACCGCCCCAAAGCCCTCAACGCCCTCTGCACACCTCTCATTCTCGAACTAAATGCCGCCCTTCGCGACTACCAGGCCGACAAATCTATTGGCGCCATTGTTCTTACGGGCTCTGAGCGCGCCTTCGCCGCCGGCGCAGACATCAAAGAGATGAAGGACCTCACCTTCAGCACAGCCTACGGCAACGACTTCATTGAAAACTGGTCCGAACTAGTCACCTTCTTAAAGAAGCCTTTGATCGTGGCTGTGAATGGATATGCATTGGGTGGAGGTTGTGAGCTCGCTATGATGGGCGATATCATATATGTGGGACCGAAGGCAACGTTCGGCCAACCGGAGATCAAGCTGGGTACCATCCCGGGAGGTGGTGGTAGCCAGCGTCTCACGCGCGCAATCGGAAAGTCGAGGGCTATGGATATTATCCTTACGGGAGATAATATCAGCGCGAAGCAAGCGGCCGAGTGGGGTCTCGCAGCCAGGGTATTCGACACGCCCGAAGAAACGGTGGATGCTGCGCTCTCAACAGCAGAGAAGATCGCGAGCTACAGCCAGATAGCAGTGAAGGCTTGCAAGGAAGTCGTGAATAAGAGCCAGGAACTCGGCGTTCGGGACGGCGTCGAGTTCGAGCGGAGGATATTCCACGGGCTGTTCGGAAGCAAGGATCAGACGATTGGGATGACGGCGTTTGCGGAGAAGAAGAAGCCGGAGTGGACGAATGAGTAGGAGGACATGTGCAATGAAATGGAAAAATTACGTGCTCATTGTATAAGACGCCGTACATACATATGGATCTCATCAGATATCGTACACTTTCCCCAACCTAGGGACATTATGCAGCACCCCATTCCCAAAACAACAAAGGGTATCTAATCTATACACAAGAAACAAAATGCTGTTCGATAGACACCAACCACTGTTTTCGCAACCTCCTCCCATTTCTACCGCGGCGAGGCAAATCCTCCCATACTGACCTTATACGTCGTATCCGCCGTCCGTGGCCTCTCGCCCTCTCCGTCCCCTAATCTTGACGGCCCCTGGGATCTGGGACTTGGTCGAGGACTCCCGAAGGGCTGGGGGCTGATCATAGGGCTCTCGAGCTCAGCAGGCGCCTGTCGCAACCCCGGCGAGCTCGAAGTGACTTCTGCAGGCAACTCGGAATACCTCTGACTCGACCCGGCTGTGTAGTCTACGGGAAGTTCCTGCGGCTCGCCGGTCTGTGCGACGGGAGTGTACTGGTGCTGTCCAAATGCCGCGAAGGGCGGAGGTTTGGGTGAGTTGTAGAGGGGCGGAGCTGCCGTGCCGTCAGATAATATTCCGAGTCCTCGCTGTGGTGCTCCAGGAGAAAGTGTATTCGTACCTTCGGATATCACAGAGTGGCGGTATTCTGTCTTCTCTGGGCTTGGAAACGGGGCTTGCGAAGACGGCGGAGCGGACCTGCTCCTTGCGCGCCGCTTCTTGAAGAGGCAGAATATGAGGATAGCAATGATTGCCACGACAGCGACGCCTCCGCCTACCGCAGCCCCTACAATGACGCCCGTATGTGAGTGCCCACCTTCCGCTTCCGCCTCGCCCGTCGTGCCGTTTGCGCTGTACGCCTGCTGCAGACTCGCGGTATCAAGCACAGCAGCTGTAAGGTCGTTCTTGGGGCACTTGGTGTCCGCGGTATTGCACGCATCGCTTTTACAGCAACCCCAGAAGGTGGTGTCGTTCTTCGGTATATTGACGCATGAGCGAAAGGTTGATGCCGCGCCGCATGAGGGATCTGGCATGCTACCGTAGGCGGAGGCATTGAAGGAGACAGGCGCGAGGTTGCCGACTGCGCAGCCGCTGAGGGTGCATGGGTCGGTTTTGCAGCAGCCTACAAAGGGCGAACGGTTCGAGGATGTGGCCGGGCAGGCGTACCATTTTGCACCCTCGTCCTTGCAGGTGGGATCGAAACGGTCGAGATCGATGTTCGCCATGGTGAAAGTGTTCGCCTGGTGCACGCGAAGTTCAAAGCGTTGATTCTAGTGGTGACACGTTGGTATATCTCTTTCTGACTGCGCATCCAAGTTGGAGCGGTCGATACGACTTCGAAGCAGCAACTATCCCGGTGAAAGTGATATGCAGTTGATACGGTCTCGAGTCTTTGATGCCAAGTATTAGGTGCGGTGAGTAGATATTCAGATAATGACGGTGATAGACATTAAAGTAAAATTAGAAATTCGATATATGGAGTCAAAGGAAACAGTAACAAAGGCAAGGAGCGCGATCACCTCTAACGTTCCCCAGGACAACGCGGGTCATTATGTGAAGGAAGAGGCTCAGCAACGCCCCGCCCCTTGTCTCCAAGACAAAGGCAATCTGACCCGCACAGCATCTCAGCTGCCGAGTAGCCGTGGTGAAAGGACCCGTAATGGCGCACACGGCGTGGAATCATTGGCCTGAGGCACGCTCCGGGCAAGGCGTTTGGTGGACTGTGCGGTGAAGGATGGAGTGTTCGAATGGGACGCGGTAAGATGAGGGTGCTGAATGTGGCTAGGAGAACGTGGGAAGGGCTGGGGGCAGGGATGTGGTGGTGGCGGAGCGAATGCTGAGCCTCAACTCGGTGTTGTTCCGCTGATGTTTTGCGAGAATTGCCTTGGTTGATCGCCGTGCGCCTTGGCCTCGCTCGAGGGAATTCGGTGTGCTGCAGTGGTGATGGAACCCTAGAACTTGTTCACGCCGGTTTGGAGACACAGAACAATCGCCGCGCAAACGTCGACGAGTCCGCAGTATGCGCGACTTGGTGGTAGCTGTCGTGCGAGGTTGCGTGCGCTCAGCGTTCCGAGTTCAGCAGTATGATCGGACCCGGCTGAGCGTAGGTGCATGGGGGCCGTTGGAGTCCAACGACAAGCGAGGTGCAAATGCCTCCAGCCCTGGCCTCCACGAGCAGCTGTTCTGCACGGTCCTTGTCATTTTTCTGCCTGATTCGAAGAGATGCAGGTCGCAACGTGCTCAAAGCGAAGAATGTTGTAACACCGAAAGTCAGTTAGTATAAAGGCAAAGCAAGTCTTCCATGGGACGGTCATGGTGGCTCTTGGATGAAATCTAGTGTAACAGCCGCTATATGCACTGTGACTGATATGTGCCCAGGAAGTTGAACGCGAAAAAGTCTCGGGCTGGCACGTACGAGAGTATAGAGTAGGCGTGATGTACGTGAACGAGGTCAGTCAGCGCTATCTGCTTATCAGATCGAACATCCTTGTCTCTGACGCGCGCACGTGGAGCACCGCATCGTGCACCGCATGATCCTGACAATGTACTGAAGCTCGCTCCATCGCCCTGCGCATAGCATCACTATCTCGTGCCATGGCAGAAGAACTAACAGTATGGCTTCGAAACGCTCTCCAGTCGTCCCTGGACGGGTACGCCCTCGCTATCGGTGCCACAAGCCGAGGTAACGCAAGTAACCCCGTCCCAGATGACCCGGGCAAAGCACCACAATTCCGGAAGCTTGCCGAAGCAGTGCTGCACGGGAGGAAAGTTGTGAGCACGTATAACTTCGTGTTGCTCGGAGTGTTGTTGCTTTTCACGCTATGGCACTGGGGCGAGAAGCTGGTGTTGCGCAAGATATGGAGAGATGCCCGGAAGAGCACGAAGCGAGACAAGAGCGCCGATGAAACTTGGTCCAGTTCGAGCAGTACTATCGAGGGCACTGCGACCCCTCCAGATGCTTCGAGGAACAAGGTCGATGGTGTTGACGAGACGAGCCCCCTTCTTTCGACAAGGCCGTCGAGACGAAGATCCACAGGATTGTGGAAGCCATACCACCTCCTAAAAGCGTTCTTGCAGTATCAGCCTCCTGCTGTACCGATCATCAACAAGGCATTGCCTACCAACGCTGTGTCGCTTCTTGTCTTCGCATTCGCAGCGCTTAACTTCTGTTACAACTTCTACGACATGACTCCCGAGCTAATGTACATCTTTTCTTTCGCGGACCGATGCGGGCTCATCTTCTCCGCTAACCTTCCACTGCTTTATCTCCTAGCTGCGAAAAACCAGCCGCTGAAGTTCTTGACGGGATACTCGTATGAGAGTTTGAACATCTTCCACCGGAGGGTGGGAGAGCTATTGTGCCTTGAGGCTTTTATGCATCTTGCGGGTAAGTAGTTCAGATACTTCCCAGCCCAAGTCTCTCTTTATAATCTGTACTAATCATGTTTCCGAGCGCAGGCATGTTCATCTTTTGGTTCTTCGCTCTCCGCAAAGTCGGCTTCACCCTGGCCCGCTTCATCCTCAACAAACTCGTCATCCTGGGCATCCTAGCTTTCCTGTCCTACCAAATTCTCTACTTCACCTCCCTCGGCTCATTCCGCAAGCGCATGTACGAGGTCTTCCTAGCGCTTCATATCTTCTTTCAGGTTGCGGGATTGGCATTCCTTTGGTTCCATTTTCACACCGCGAGGCCTTACGTTGGGGCTTCCGTCGTCATCTTCCTCATCGATCGTGTTGTGTTTAGGCTATGGCTGAAGGCGACTACACGCCCAGCAACCCTGACCATCCTCGAGGACGGCGAAACAGTTCTCATAGCCGCAAACTGGCACACCTCGACTCGGCAATCTGCGCTTATGCCGAAGAGCATGAAGCACGGCTGGAAACCGAACGACCATGTTTTCATCACTGTCCCAGTGCTGTCGCGAAAACACGCACTACAAGCGCATCCCTTCACTATCTTTTCCGCCGCACCAAACATTCATACGAACGAGGACGGCGCACACGCGTGGTTCTCTCTCCTCATCCGCGCGCAAGGCAACGGAGGCTTCACGCGCCAACTCCTCAACTACGCTCGGTCTCATAGAAGTGCTAACATCCGCCTCGACGGGCCGTACGGGTGTAGCCACGCCCTCAACATGCTACGCGCTTCGAACACCGCTGTGGTGATAGCAGGTGGGTCTGGTATTGCAGTTGCATATCCTTTACTCTATGCGCTGTTGTGCCCCACTACCTCCCCTTCCGCCGATATCGAAAGCGGAAGCAAAAGCAGGACAGTCAAACTCCTCTGGATCACGCACGAAGCTTCGCACCACTCTTGGATTCCCGAAAATAAGTGGGAAGAGCTGGTGGAGTGGGGACTGGAAGCGCATACTCCAGCTGCGACGGCGGTGGCTGGTCGTCCAGACGTCCGTTCGTCACTTCGAAGCATGATAGACGGTGGTAGGACGGGCGTGGTGGTCAGTGGGCCGGATGGGCTCGTACGAGACGTAAGAAATACGATAGCTGGATTGTTATGCACTGGTAAGGATGTGAAGCTGCAAGTTGAGAAGTTCGGATGGTAGGGTATGGTTTGAATGGTGCAGTACGGTATAGACACAGTGTGAGGTTCGGCATTGTGGGTCGTGATGTTTCGCTGCCACGTGGGTTAAAGCGGCTTTGCATAGCGCAGTGTAAGGGTTGGACTGCAAACAGTACGGCAGGGGATGCACGGCAGGATGGTGCGAGATCTTGCGGCTGAAGGGAGTCATGCAGAGTGGTATGCGTGGTAACGTTGCACGACATTCGACCGGCGTGTAGAGTACCTAGTATAGAGGCGTAGATAGAGGTTTATGGGCTGGACTTAGCATGTACCGGTGGAATGCAAGATCAGCGTTGTCTGAATGCCCACACCGCATCCTGCCTACTGGCACAGAGAAGCATAGCCTTTGCACAATCCATCACATTGCATTTGGGCGCAAGCACGTCTCGCAACCATAACATCGACTGGCCATCCTCGCCGAGACCGCAAACATGGATGACTCATATACTCACAAAGGCACAATAAGAGATGGCAAATGTAAAGGCTACCGCAGCCCTAGTGTACGTCGAAAGACCGTCTACGTGCGGAGGCGTCACATCGTGGTATTGCATGTGGAGAGGGGCAGGCGCTCACTACGTCATAGGGGTCTCGCTGACGCGTTGGGGTAACATATAACGGGCGGGGAGCACCATACAATGCGATCACTACACCTCGAACAGAGACTTGACCACAGGATTCAAATTCATCGCATACACTAGGTCGCCTAAGAGAAGAAACTATCAAAATGTCCGACCAGAACCAGCAACAGCAGTCCAAGGGTACGTTGGCGCTTTTCATGCATGTTTACCTGCTCTGAGCGTATACGTACTGACGCTGCAAAAGGTGTTTGGGGCTCCGCGACTGGGGGCTTGAGTATGCTTCCCTTCCATCTTCCTCCTATCCCTTCTCTTTCCTCGTCCTGGCCCATCCTCTCTGCACTTACTAACCTTTCCCCAGGCAACACCCTCGGCTCCGTAACCGACACAGTCGGCAAAGGTGTTGGTGGCGCGACAAACACACTCGGCAACACAGTATCCGGGCTCGGCAAGGGCGTTGGCGACACTGTGACGGGTGTGACAGGCGGCTTGGGCGATACGACCAAGGCCGCTGGCGGTATGGTCAGTGATACGACCAAGGCGGGTGGCGAGGCCGTGGGAATGAAGAAGAACGAGCAGCAGCCGGGAGGACAGCAGTAGAGCTCAAGCAGAATTGTGATTAGTATGAGGTTCGTGGTGTTTCGGGTATTAATCGAAGACATGGAAACCGTATGAATAAATATGAATGATACCGGGTTGCGACCGTTGCAACGAAAAGAGCTTACGGTACTCATGGTGGCGATGCGAACTAAGATGTTTCAAACGTTGTGACCTACCAGCTTAATATTCGCGAAATGAAGCAGCGCTGGAAAGTAAGTTCTCAAGGCACGATGTGTGCTACAAGTTTGAATCAAACGCTCATGATGTAGCCCATTAGGAGGCGATGTCTGGGTGTTGCAAATAAGCACATGTCGCGATCTCTAACAATGACCGAACAGAGTTGACAGAGTATTTTAGATTTGAACCAAAATATGAACACTAAAAGATCTACACCTTGACCCTGCCTCGACAGAACCAAGCCCGATCCCCCATCCATTCCGGTCCATACCAAACCATACCCACAGTCATGCCGAAGCAAACGATGCATCTTTCGTCTCCCCACTTTCGAATGTGTAAGATCCGCAAGATGGTGGCTGGTTCATCGATGAACAGATGCGTCATTCTTACGGAGGATATCGTCCCCCCCCGTCCCCCAAGGCAAAAATGAAGCTCCACCTCTAATACTCGCTAGGAAGTAATTGAACAATGGCGCAAAGAAGGAAAGAGAAACAAGTGAAACGAGATGAATCGGCAGAACAAGCTGCTCAGAGAACCGCTGTGAAAGCGGCAGAGACAATAATCTTGCGAAGTGCGGGAGGCGCTTCGCCCGGCAGTGGACGACAGCGGTGATAGCCTCATTAAGATCCAGGCACCGGAACGCCGTTTGAGAAAAACCCAAGTACCGGAACGAGTCGTAATGCCAAATGACGTTGGGCTGAAAACAAAGGGTCTTGCTCTCATACCTAGCTCTTTAGACAGCCAACCCAACGACTTGAAAAACTTTTGTATCCGTCGTGATGCCGAAGTAGAACCCCCGCAAATGCAGAAAGATGCGCGCAGAAGATGCCCCGTCTATGCAACACAAGATTAAATTATCACGTGCGATGTCTAAGGGTATCGGTATGATAATCGCACGCGGTCGAAGAACGGCCGAGAGTCGTCATAGATGAGACTATTCGGATGGCTTAGCGTCGGTGGCAGATGCACCGGGCGCTGCCTTCGACTGTGGAGGAGACGTAGCCGGGGGCGGAGAAGAGACATCCTCTGTACCTTCGTTATCAAGAGCCATGAGTGCACTGTGGACAGTTAGTAATCATCCAGTAGACAAGGTTCCTTTGACATACCTGAACGAGTTTGCGTGGGACGTGGACTCCTTCTCCTTCTGCACAGGAGGGGTGGCTGTCCGAGACGAGGCTCCCGATTCTGCACCTGCTCCAAAGGCTCCACCAGGACCAAGACCACGTCGTCCACTACCGGAGCGACCACCAAGCATGGAAGGGCCAATACCGCTGCTGTTGCGGCCAGATGAGCCCTTCGTCAATTTCCGCAGGTCATCCATCGCGACGCGGCTGCCGAAATCCTGAGGAGGCGGGATTCCACCCCCAGAGAAGGATCGAGCATCACCACGGCCAGCTGGGAGGCGACCACCACGCTGATTAGCAGCTGATTGAGCGGCGGCCTGTTGAGCCGCTGCAGCCTCAGCGTGAATTTGCTGGATCGTCTTCGGCCCCTTATCGGCTTGCTTGTCGTGCCAGTTGGCCTTCCGTAGGTCAACAAGGTCAAGCAACATGAACCTGAGACGTGATGGCAGTGCCTCCATGTTCATAATTTTCTCGACACGTTCGAAGTATACGGACAGCATCTTTGGTCCAGCGTCGGCTGTCGACATGGTTGCACCAACAGTGCGTAGCAACTTGACCAAACTCTCGATCGCGGACTCATCGGGCAGACCCTCAAAGTCGAGAAGCTTGAGCACACACTCGTGCATGATGCGCAAGGTAAGCATATTGAGTTTGTAAAGCTCACCAATGAACTGGATGAGACCGAGACCCTTACGCTTGGCAGCAGCGGCAACGTAGTAGTCATCGGAGAGTAAGGCTGCCTCTGTCTGATCCCCTTCGGGTTTCGCGGGCAAATTGACCTCCCAACCCTTCTCGAACTCTTCCTGGCAGCGGTTGAGGAGGTACTTCCTGAACAAGGCACCTCCAACGACAGGTTGACCATGCTTATCTTTGACGTTCTCATCACGAATGGCGGGGTCCATGGTGTTAAGCATCTTAAAGCAGAACTTCGCATACATGGAAGACCAATGTTGCTCGTCACAGGCCTTTTCGAATGTGAGCTGGATGACTTGACGTAGGGTGCGGCCGTCATCTTCGTTTTTGCTCTGTGCCGCGATCTCAAGAATTTGATCAGAGATCTTCTCAAACTTCTCGGGCGTCATCTTGTTGAGAGCGGCCTTAACCTTGCGTTGCACCATGTCGGGAGCCATGTGGCCTGCCATCTGCTGAGCAGTGGCAGCCGGGGCTTTGGAATGCGGTGTCCAACCCATAGTGGACTTCTCGAGTGCCTTGATCTCCATACCAGAAGTCAGTGGCATTGCGGCTTCTTCCTTCTTGTTCGGGGCCTTGTCGCCACGGCGACTGCCGCGTCCACGAGAGCTACCCATGCGGGGAGAGTTGGGCGCCATATTCATGTTTTGGAAAGAACCAGTGCGTGCCATCTGCACAGGGAATCCACCGCCAGCACGAGGAGGTCCAACCAATTGTGCGAGTGGGTTAGTCATTGGGCCTCCGCGTTGTGCTGCTTCGAAGCGCTGAGCAGAGGTGGTACCAGGTGGCAGGGTACGCCCAGTAGGGAAGGCACCTTGGAAGCTGCCCATAGGACCACCTAGTCCACCACGAGAGGGCTGTCGACTACCCATACCGGATGGCGTACCACGGGCAGATTTGGGGCCAGCAGACTCAGAAGAGTCGCCAACAGTCTCCTTGAGCTTGTTGTCCCAGTCGATGGAAGGCTTCTCTTTGAAAACATCTTGGAATTGCAGCAAGAATGAGGGCTCGTACACCTTGCCCTTGGACTTCGTGCCCACGTTAAGAGCCGGGTTGGGAGAAAGGATCCCCTCAGGGTATTGAACGAGCTCGCTCTGCACTTGTAGGAAACGGGCCGACTTGAGCGACATCATGCCTGGCGTAGGGGCAGGTGGCTCGACAGCCTTGGTAGTTTCCAACTTCAGATGTGCAGGCTTCGGCTTCCCTGCTCCAGGTGGCTTGACTTGGGTGGGTGGGGTGACAGTGGGCTCGGCGGGTGGCGCGGGGTCTCCTCGGTCTGGTTGGCACCAGGTCCAAACATGGTATTCTTCTTGAGGCTAGCGAATGCGTCACGGTTGACCTTCTCACGTTCTGCCTTTTGTTCAGGCGTCTCGGCCTCTCGAGCAGCCTCCCGCTCTTCAGCTTCACGCTCAGCTTGCTTCATCTTCTCGTCTGCTTCCTTCGCACGTTCAGCTTCGCGAGCCTTCTCAGCTTCGGCCTTCACCTTTCTCTCCTCGGCGAACTTGCGTTCACGCTCCTCTTCCTCCTTCTCGGCGCGCTCCATCTCTTCGATCATGCCTGTATGTTGTTAGTAACCGTTTGATTACATGCAGAGAAGCGATACATACGCTCCATCTCTTCATCGGCTTTGCGCTGTTCTTCCTCTGCCTTACGCTTAGCCTCCTCTTCATCGTTCTTGGCGGCAGCCTCAGCAGCCTCCTTTTCTTTAGCAGCCTTCTCTGCTTCGGCCTTGGCTGCTGCTTCAGCCTCCTCCTTCGCCTTCTGTTCCTTTTCCTCGGCCTCCTTTGCTTCAGCTGCCTTCTTCTTGTCTTCATCCTCCTTTTGACTATCGACTTTGAGTTGTTGCTGGAATTGTTTGATGAAATCAGCCTTGACTTCGCTGGCAGACTTGGTCTCCGAGCGACTATGTGTAGACTCAGGACGAGGCGGAGGCGTGGGGGTGGCAACGATGGCAGGAGACTTGGAGGGCGCGGGCGGCGGAGCAGGCGATGCGGGCTTCTTGCTGTTGTTGAAATCAACAACTTGGCCGTCGGCCGTCTTGATCACAATCGCCTTGCTCTTAGTCTTTGGCGGTATGGAGAAGGAAGAGCCCGGAGCTGGGCTGCCTGACGGGGCACTCGGCGTCTGAGAGACGTGGCTCACGTTGGTCATGGCAGGTGTAGAAGGCTGTTGGGCAGCAGACGGCGGTCGCTCGGACATGTTCGAAGGCGTGCGCGACATACCCTGAGCTTGCGGCGGCTGGCCATATCCCGCGACGGGATAGGCCTGCTGAGGGTAGGCACCGCGTCCTGGAGACGCTGGGACACCTGGGTAGTGCATACCTTGGGGCATCCCGTAGTTCTGACCGGGGTAGTTTTGGCCGTAGTAACCGTTGTATGGGTCTAAGCCTTGAGGTGGACCGTACATGGCCTGTGTTTGTTGTATTTCGGTCAGAAATTGTTCATCAATGTACTTGGAAGAGAAAGGTGGGTTGACAGGATCGAAAAGGCCGCTGTACAACGACGAACCGCGATGCTCCTGCAAGCTGGGTTGCTTCGTGACTGCCGAAGGTACAGGACAGGACTGAGAAGAAATTTGTATCCGAGAAGTTTGTGTTGGCTGAGCCGACTCGCGCGACTCGGATACGGGAGATTTAACTGAGATACTTGAAGAAATACGAACCGGTTGAGCGTAGGGCTGCTGAGGATTGTAGCCGTAGCCGCTGTAGTTAGCCTGCTGGTGAATCGCGGCTGGGGTGAGCGCAGGCGATCTATTAGCGCGGTATGGGGAGTTGGGATGCATTTGCGGTTGAAATGCTGGAGGCATGTTAGGTCCGCGAGGCTGGTTTGGCAATGCGCGGAAGGGTTGAGGGGAGGCACCAGGGTGCATGGGTGGGTAGTTGTTATATCCTCCTCGACCACGGCCGCCATTTGGGGGAAAGCCTCGGCTCATATTCGCGTTGCTCATGTCACTGTGCGCAGACTGTGAAGATTCGCGGCGCAAGTGCTGTGCCTGGGGCAGCGAGTTTGGTTGCGGGGGCAGTGATATAGCTCGTGACTGGGAGGGCGTTAGAAAAGTCAATATTTTACTCACGTGCTCAGGTCCTCCCGACCACGGGCGACTTACGTTTGAGTCAGCAGTTTCGCTACCGCCGCCGAAAACAAGGCCCGGGCGAGTGGGCAGATTGTCAGGCTTGCCGCCGCTCGATATGGGCGTAGGGATCGGCGAGGGCGAATGCGCGGGCGATGCGACACGCGGGTTCGGAGCCTGTGGGTTGAGGGTCTGTCCTTGCGGGTGCGGCACGGCGTGTGAAGGCGCGGGAGAGCCAGCGATCGAGCCGAAGGTGAGGTTGGAGGGCGCCCGCGAGTTGGGGACTGGGCCTCCGTTGGGAATGTAGCCACTGGTACCGGCGGCGCTAATTGTCACGGAGGACTTGCGGCTGTGGTCACCCTGTGAAGCGGCGGCGCCGTTGGCAATGGTAGGACCCATAGCGGGGACTGCTGGCTTTATGGAGTTCCCATTCACCGGGGAGATGCTCTTGCCATGTTGCTGACTACCCACCACAACAGGCGCAGCGCTGTTCGCGATCGGGGGAGATTTGGTCGCGTTGGCGTACGAACTGCGTGCAGTGGGCGCGGCCTGACCAGCGGCCACGGCGGACGATCCAGACGAGGACGAGTTCGCGGGGGCAGAAGGCTTGGAGGCGGCGACGGTGGGCGGGTTTTGCGCGTTCGTGGAGGTGGATGTCATTAGAAGGGTAGGTGTGTGTCGGGCGAGCGTGTCGTGTTGTTGAGAAGCTATCGGGCGCGCGACGAGCGGGATGGCAGTCGGATGCTCGGGTTAATGAGACCGGCGGCGTTATTAGGAGTGTCCTGGAGGGGCGACTCGAAAGGAGCGGGTAGGGAGAGAACGGGTGTCCTGTCTCCTGGGAAAAAAGGGCACTGGCTAGCAGGTCGACGCTGCAAAGGCAAGCGGACCGCGTCAGGTAGCCTGGAAATAGGATCAAGCAGGAGATCTGCGATCCGAATGCAAGCGCCTCGTAAAAATGAGGCCGCTGCGGGATGGGTGTTGGTGGTTCTCTTGATGAGAAAGGGTTGAGAGGAAAGAAAAGGCGCCGCTGCGGCAACACAATTTTTGGTTGTTCGCCGGGTTCCCAAGCGAGGAGCCAGGGATCCGTCCCAACCCAACGCTTCAGCTGCTTATTACTCTGACTCGTTGCACGTTTGTCTGCCTGGCTTGCCCTCACTCATCTGGCACTGCTTGGGCACTGTCTACGCATGTGCTGGTCGTGCCTGCCGTTTCCTCTGGGTCGCGCTTGCCTTGCAGCCCGCGCGGAGGGAAGGCGCAAAGGGGAGGCGCGAAGGCTCAGCTCGACTGCGTCACCACCACGACGGCACGCACTCCTCACCATGACTTGACGTGAGCCTGCGCATCCGCAAAAAGGGACAGCGTGCTGGGCGCCGTTTCCACCAGCCCTGCGAGCAAACACCACTCTGAGGCGTGGCAACGGCAGTTTCTGCCCTGTGCAGCACACACCCTTCCCCGACCAGGTCGCTGGAGCCTCGTACAAACAGACAACGCTCGGTTTCGCCCAAGTCTGCTCCAACGTTGTACCGTCTCGGAAGCGCATCAGCCTCGAGCAGGCAGACAAAGCGCTTTGACGGGCACCCAAGCCTTCTCACAACACAAAGTTCCCATCCACAGCCTCACGACTGCGCGAGGAAACTTTCTACGATCCAATGCATAATGACGACGGCTGCGTGGAATGACTCTCATGTCGCATCCATGTCCGCCTTAAGTCCGCCCAGAGCAGCCAATCACGCTATGGGCGACGAGAATCGCCCCCTATTCGAGCAATCGATAAGACGCAGCTTGTCGCCACAGCAATATCGTCTCTGCCCTACCTGCTCACTAATTCCTTCTAGAAGAGCTGTCGGTTGTGGCGCATTATCTGCACGGCATCTGTCTATCAATGTCAGTTGTGACTCCACAACCTGATATGTGGGGAAGACATAATGCCGTCCCAGCGCTCACAGATTGGTCCAACCTTGGCGCGTTGAATTTGCTCTTGACATGGCAGTCCTAGCTTCTAGATACTACGAAACCAGACTGCTAACAATCAACAACTTGATCAGTCACAGCTGCGGCTGACAACGGAATCGACGGATACTTCTACAGCCTACACGTCTCTGCGAATCTGCTCCTTTTCGTGATGCAGGACAACGCCGCAGCCAATCAATTGACCGCCACGCAAATACAATACAGGCCCCGGTGTGTACTACCATTTCTCCCTTCGGATGTGGAGACCAAGTCGGATGACTCAACCCTACGCACCACGGACTTTTACACTGCGGTCGCCGCCTGGAGTCAAGGCTGTTCGGATGCTTGGTTCGCAAGCTGCAGTCCAAGGTGCAGCAGCCTGCCGTTGGCGCGGTGCGACAGCTGGGATGAAGACATCTTGGTGCCCGGAATCGAAACACTGCACATGTCACAAAGCCCGGCCTCTGCTGTGCGTTGCCGAGGACGCAAGCAGCAGGACGGCTTCGCATGAGCTAGCTGGCCTCTCCATTGTACTACCTACACCCACATCCGCGTCAGCGTCCGCATGGGATACGTACGCCACGAAAGTCCGAGTACGCTGTGCGTATCTTCGTGAGTCAAGCTTGTGTGACTCGGCTTGCAACTGTGACTGAAGGTGACAAAATGAGACGGCATGTGGTAGCCTGCGTGAGCACTTGCCGCTTTTTCCACGACAAGAAATGCATGTTGGCTTTTCGCATGGGCTATGCTTTGCGCCATTCTAGTAGGAGCGCAGCCAATGCAGTGTCCCTGTCGGACTGCGAAAGAGCTGGGAATAGATTCTCGTTCTGCCGTGGCTATGCGAAGGTGCAGAAGGTTGAACGAAGAGGGCGGGGCGTTGACAGAGCAGCCATGATCACTACACCTTCCTTCTCTTTCTCGAGTACATGCGCTATTGAGTGGCTAAGCAGGTGCAAGGCTGCCCTGTAGAACAGTAGCGACACAAGTAGTCGATCCCCCTTCATTGGCGCGAACCTCGGGGATCAGCAACAAATGCATGCAGAACACCACGTCTTGGGCACTACCAGCGCCTCACAACGCCTTGGTCCTGTGCCGGCCGATAACAAGACCGGATTCTAGAGGAATGGGAAGGTCGACGTGAAACGCCATCGCAAGAGAGGTCGGTTTTTGCTTTTGCATCGGCAGGCCAAGACGGCAGGTGCGCTAAAGAGAAGGAAGCTGCGATGCGCAAGCGACGCCTACCAAGTATTCTCATTCATCACGTTCGAACTGAGAATGCCTTGTGCTGCGTAGCACCGAGTTGTTGAAGCCCACCGTGGAGGGAGGACCACAAACGTGCTAACTACGCGTGCTAGCATATGAGGTGAGACCGCCTACACGTGATCTCGTATTTAACCCACCAATGGCTCCCAATCAAGCATCCACTCCGGTACGAAAGAGGCAACTCAGAGCTCACAACGCCCAAACTTCTCCGCACCAATCGCATAAGCGGTGACCGTGAACCCGTTCGGGACCTCCCGCAAGGCGTCTCTGGTTCAGACCCCACGACGATGACACTCATTGTCTCAGTCAACGGCCCGCAGCGAACATGGCGCGAGCAATGTCCGTCGACGCGGGCGCTACCCTCGGTGAGCATCCTTCCACACGACGAGAAAAGGGACAGCGACATGCAACGGGCAGCGCATGTAGCGCCAGAATAAGGACCGACGTTCCGATGAGCCTCTTCTCGTCAGGCCTGTACCTGTACCGACCCTGCACCACACGGACATTTTCTGTGAGTGTCCTAGCCTGTTCCCATCTTCCGGTCAGCAGCAGGTTACGGCGAAGAACGTCGTCATTGCGAATTCAGGTACGCCATGCAAAAGCAGCGAGCACGCCGTCTCCACATCTTGGACACAACAAGCGCAGGTCAAGCTCGCAGGGTCGGTGCCAATGCTCCAAGAAGGATGCATATCCGACTTGGCCTCAACGTTCAGCTTACTTCGCTCGCGTAGCTTCGACTACATCCACACCCCTGCCGTACTTACCTAACTCACCCCGTCTATAGTCGGAGCAATGGTGATGGAAGGACGAACAACGCATCAAGCACGATGCATACCGTCCCAAACCTTATCGCTGCAGCATCTCGATGGATAGCCCTGGAACTGAAGATCACCAGATCACATGCCCGACGAGCAAACTATTCACCCTGACCGATATTCGTCGCCTTCTGGAAGTCACCTGGAAGAAGTCTACATCACAAATCTTCCAATTCGTGCGGTAACGGCAGCTAGCACGAACCGCATTGCACACGCCGAGCCTGCGATTAAGCCTAAGATCTGCAGCAAGGCCAGCTGTAGCGCCTTTGGAAATCATCCGCGGCTCTGCCAGCTTCTTCTCCACAAACCCATGACCCTACCCAGCGCATCGCATCGTATCGCATCGCTCATCGCCAAATCCCTGCGCTGGCCTGCATCAGCAGCAGCAGCAGCAGCAAGCAAACTTGCATGCGCAAGGTCGCAGCCAGGGCCAAGTGAATGGCAATGCATTGTAGCCGCACTCAATTTCCCACCACTTCCAATCTACGCGATCAGCAGAAGCCGCACTCTTCCGCGCCAGACCGAACAGCCCGCAATCTATGCACCGCAATAACTCTATCCAACCTTACTTGCGCCCCCCAGCCGTTCGTCAGGTGCCATGCCATGCAGCCACATCTAAATCCCCTCGCGCTTTCTTCACCACCGTGCACCACTAACCACACCGTATACTCACCCCCGCATCCCATCTAACCCTCCACCTTCTAACCTACTTCCATGCATTCCTTCACCCTGCATGCTACACCACTAGTGACTATACCACTCTACTCCCGTCCCTTTTCCCGCAAGTTTGAATAATTGTCCGGCGAAAGAGCGCTGAGGGTCCCCAATTTATCCATACAATGGAAGCATGCATAGAAGACGGTTCCTGAGCTACAGGAGCCGATGGCGTCTGGGGTGCGTGTGGAGATAGATTAATTTTCGCTGCTGTGGTGGTGGTCATGTGGAGGAAGGCCGTAGATCCATCGTACGTGCCAAGCGTGCCGGCGTGGAAGAAGTCTGGAAGGTCGGTGTAGCCATGTAGAGGTGATGCTATGTTGTGGAATGGTCGGAGGCATGCTTGCGAGGGGTTGCGAGAAGTCTGTAGTGGAGATGCTTGTGATGGGTTGCGGTTGGTCGTAGTGGAGATTTCAGGGACAAGGGCAAGTGAGTCTAGGAGACGGCTGGTGGACTGTTGGCATAGCAGACCGTCGAGCGAGCTAAGTCCTTTCTTCCAGAAGCCTACGTACCAAGCGCATGTACCGAAGTCGATCCATGACTTTCTTTCTTCTCCCGCCTTTCAGAGCCTCCCTCAAGTTCTCACTCCCAAACATCATCACCCTACCCAGTAGGAAGACGCTGACGCAGTGCCTCCCCATGATACAACCCCTTCACCTTCACCGTCCCACTTACTCACCACCCATCTCCACAAATGCACACCTCCCACGCCCATCACCTGCTGTGTCCCATCGCTTGGATATAACGTCTGCACCCCAGCCCGTGCACCCACCCCACACTGGTATATATTCCGCCGTCAATCTCCCTGCACGTAGTCTGTGATTGGTCAATGAGGCACCGCCAAGCGCTACGTACTTACGCGCGCATGCAAGACGCTTTTGGTGACAAGCCAGATCAGATGATCTGATCGAGGGGCGAAGATGAGGTGTGAGGTGAACTGAAGGAGATGAATGAGGGAGGAGTGTGGGTGGCGGGCGTGCTATTCTGGCGGGCGATGAGCTGTAGAGGAACGTGCTGGCGCTTGAACTGCGACAGTTTGAGCGCTGTCGCCCTTTGCATCTTTCTCTGTCGAGATAAGAGCGGCAGGCTCAGTTTTGCGGCACAGAGCAGCATGTATAGGTAAAGGCGTCTGTACGTATGTATCCTATTGTAGGTTTGCAGCTATAGACTTTGACTATCGATGTTGGGTATCATTACTTCGTATTTGCTTTCGTTGAAAATTTATACATGTGTCCATCATAAAACATGTGTCGCGAGAAAAAGAGTATCGCACAGAGTGTCAAAAGCGCAGCGCCTACGTAAGAACAACCATTCCCAGCCAGAAAATCCCGAGGAAGGAGACGTGGAGTGGGAGGCGATGGTCGAACGCAAGAGGCGTCCACTGTTGCAGTTGTGCTGCGGTATCGGAAGAATGCAAGTCCGCCAGTCCCAAGTCCGACAGCAAACAAGACGATGTGTTGGGCACGACCGCATCCTCCCACCACATCCCGCTGGGAACAAGAACGAGAAAAAGGTAGGTACAAGAAGGGTATACCAGCGCGCCATGTCGCAACTGTCAGTGGAAAAAAGTCCATCAATAGAAGAATACCAAACCGATGCATAAACAATCGGGCCTGGTGGACCCGCTCGCATTGATGTCAGAAGACAGGCAGGTGGGTGGGAAAACACCGGGCGAAACTCCGGAACCCGCGAGCCTGGAAAATGAGAAGGGGACGTAGAACCCACCCGGGGCTTCAAAACGCAAGAGGTATGAAACAGCCACCAGGGGTGCCGACCAAAAGCAACATTGGACGCGCCAGCGCCAGTCAAGCGCCATCTCAGGCATCGCAATAATTCCCAAAGCTCCTGTCCCATAATCTCATAACTCATCTTAAAACTTTTCCAAACATAGATCGATGACTGCCCGCCTGAACTCCATGCCCGTGGCGTGAATGCGCGTAGACGCAATGCGCATGATTGAAACACCGCTCAGTAATGACTGTCGTGGTCGGAGTCGGTGTGGGTAGAACTCTCGATGACTTCTCCCAAGATGGCTCCTGCGCCGGGATACTGTTCTGATTGCGCGGAATCGTTTCGTAGGTACGAGTTGGGGAAAGAGGTCATATGGTGTGGCGCACTTAGTTGGGGCATTGCAAAACTCTGGGGTGTCACAAGCGGGGAGCTCGTGTACGTTGGGAAGGTCGCCGTTTGTGGTGTCGTCACACTGCGACTTGGCGTGTAATGCGAGCTCAGTTCGATGCGCCGCGGGACGCTGCTGGAGAATGAGCGCATCCTTGAGGAGCTGGCCTGGAAGCCCGGTACAGGCGAGTAGGAGTACCCGATGCCGTAAGGCAGATGGCTGCTAGCATCGTTTGAGCCCGTCAGGCTGTCACCACCTGTGTAGCTCATGCTCGCCCTGAGAGGTGTCGACAATGATTCAGCGCGACTTCTCGCCAGACGGTCAGCGTGCAAAGAAAGCCGTGGGATGCTGTGGTGCGCAGCGTAAGCCGGCGATGCAGTGATTGAGGAAGAGAATGGGTTGGATGTTCGGGGACTTGTGTCCAATCCACTGGAAGGGAAGCCAAATGGCGAGTCTCCATGGTTGGAGATGGGAGATAACGTGTCGGTTGCTGACTGCGGTGGTGTGAACGTGAATCCGCCAAAGGCAGGGCTAATTCCGGTAGGTGAGATATGAGAGTCCATAGGTACTCGCCTCAAAGTATCAATGCTCAGGGGTCGCATCATGTTTCCTTCTGGGAAGGATGGTGTGTAGGAGCCAGGAGAAGCCAGTGGCGTTCCGAGTCCATGTGTATTGCCGAAGGGCGAATGCAAAGCCTGAGCCATGTCGAAGTCCTCGGGTAGCGCCCTTGATCGCATCATACGTTCACGGTCGTCGCTTGTAAGTCGCTTCAGCTTCGCTCTCCTAAGTGACTGTTAGCAGGCATAAGCAGATTCTTTGTGCTTCGCCTACCTGTTCTGGAACCAGACCTGCACTTGTCGGGGGCTCAGACCCGGGATCTCGCGGGCCAGTCGCTCTCGGTGGGCGGCATCTGGATGAGCTTGTCGTGCGAACTCGCTCATCAGGAAGCGTGTTTGATTGTGCGTGAGCCTGAATCTCTTCATCTTGCGCTTCTGAGCCCGGATCTCCGCGGCAGTCATAGGTTTGTCGGTGTCCTTGAGCTCCTCAATATCCTCGTCCTTCTCTTCCATGATGATTTCGTCGCCCTCGATCTTGATGTCATCTCCACAAAGACCGTCGTGAGGTGATGGGGGTGTCAGCCTCGAAACAGGACTTGCGGGTGCTGAGCCACCAAAGGTCACTGTTGGAATCTCGCTCGAGTCAATCTCGTCGATGTTGCTGATGCTGATGCGCTCTCGCGCTTGCGAATCGGCGTGCTTTGCATCAAGAGCGAACGGAAAGCTCTTGTGGGTTCGCAGCAGAGGGCGCTTCAAATCGAAGTTGTGACCGTTCACTTCGGCTTGAAGCAGCGCCATGTCGCTGTCAGGTGGCGTAGACGCGCTCTCCAAGGCTTTGATGTCCGCAGTTTGCCACTCGTTATCTGCAGGAGTCGTGCTGTATGCAGACATGCGCGGCGAGCTAGGCGGAGAAAGGGGAATGAAGAGGTTTCCGTCCACCATTGATACCTTTGTTGACGTTTTGATGTGTGGTGGTGTCTCCTAGGGTGACTCTGCGCCTGATCTGGCAGCAGATATTCTTCCTAGTACAGTAAGGCGGCGAGTGATGGAGACGAGGCGAACGCCCGGCGAATGGCTGCAAAAGAGAGGATCCGATGAGGCTTGTAGCGAACAGACTCTATCGGACTCCAATCCCAGTGCGGGGTTGAACACGGGTGATCGGCGAAGGAAGGAAGAGAAGGCGTTCGCGATGCTTAAAAGTTGTATCGAGCGTATAAGCTGCTCAATGCGTTAAGGTCGCAGGTCTGTAACAGAGAGACAGTGCTGGGGGGCCGCGTCGGAAAGGTTGGGGTCGCTGATATGCAGGCTCAAGGCTGAATGGCTGATGTAGCTCCCAAGACAGGAATGGGGCGCGGAGTTTTGGTGTGACGCCTGCTCGAAATAGCAGCTAGTAAGAGGGTGATACCGGAGGCCAAATAAAGAAGGACCCGGACGGACAGCGGGTGGGACTCGACAGACGTTGATGCAATGTGGGTAGTGCTCCAGTTATGTGCACGCGTGGACTCGGGAGACTTTGTGAGGTGGTCAGGAACAGAACAGCACGATGGCTATATCAGCGATAGCGGCCGGGAGGCGAACAGATCATTCAGACTGCAAAGGCTTGACGGCACTTTACCGTGGGCGATCCGGATAAATCGAGGGTAAGGGAAGTTCAGAGACTGGGGTATTGGACGCCGCCAGGGCAGAGGGGCTTCTTAGGGAAACATGATATCCTTGGGATCTGGAAGCGGTTTGTTACACAAGGAGAAGCGTGACTGTCCTCGAGAGCTAGCAGACCCCGGGCAAGATTCAAGGCACAGGGGAGCGGTACCTCGGGACGCGAGCCTTTCAGACGAGGGGAACGGAGCGGACTCTGGCGAATCGAAGGCCGCTGGGACCAGGTGTGCTGGCCGGCACAAGGGTGTCCTTCTCGAAGGAGAATGTGAGAGGCGTGAACATGGAGCCCTGTCGAGCTTGCAGAGGACCAGGGGGTTGTGGAGAAAACCGCCGACGCGCAAGGCCTGACGGGGACTGAGCGTCAACGCTCATGGGGCGGCATTATTGGCAGATGCATGTCCAACGGGAGGGCAGGGGTCCGCAGCAGGCACGACGGGCAGGGATGCTACAGGGCTCGGCAACGCTTGTTGCGGGGTCTCGCTGCTTTACTGTAGCTGGCGGTGGTGGGCGGTGGTGGGCGGTGGTAGTTGGCCTGGGAGGGCGCCCACCCGCGCGTGGTGCAGCGTGGTGGTGCTGTCGAGCAACCACCCACAGCAGCCGCTGCTGGTGGCATCTGGTGCGGGCCTTTCTGCGTGTGCGTGCGGTGTGACCCGGCGCTGCAGTCGACGCGCCGATTCTGCACGGCGACAGACTGTTTCTGTTCATCCACGGCCATGACACTTGCAATTTGGCGGGCCATGGCGGTTGCGGAACGCCTACGCATGAGCGCACTGGCAAGCCACGCGGGCGTCCGATAGGTGCGCTCGCCCGGATGCGTCAGGAACAGTCTGCATCGTCAGCCTTGCTCTTGAGCCGCCCATTGCGCCCGTGGTGGTGCTGCATGATGGAAGACGAGGCCGTCTGCGCCCGCCGTGGTGCTGCATGACGGACGACGAGGCCGTCAGGCGCCAGCCATGGGCGAGCGCCCAGCGACGAGCGCCCAGCGACGAGCACCGCCAGCGCCGCGCCGTCTAGCTGTATCGGTGGCCCTGCTGCTGCGCCTGCGCCATCCGTCGTAGTGAGCGCCGGGGCGCGTCCCACTGCGAATGGGAGCGGCGTGCTGGGGACGAGCGAACCGATCTGGCTGGCCGATGAGATCCAACGTCTTGCGCTCGGCCCGCTCCGGGAAAAAGCTGTTTCTCGAAGCCTGCGGTGCGCGTGCTTTAGCGCAGCAGCTGTCCTTGTCAGACGCTGGTTGACAGCGGTGCCTCCGCGCAGCGTAACGTGACTCTCGCCTGGCAACGCGGGCTGGACGAGTGCGTGGTGCAGCCTCTGACAGCCGGCCTGTCGAGGTGGTCAGACGGCTACAATTTCCATGCCTGACGCTCGCTTCGGGGCAGATCCGCTCTGGCCACCACCCCGATCGCTGAAGCAAGCCACCGAGAGCCTTCCGCGCTGATCAGCGCCGGGTACCTCAGCGCCTCTCACAGCCAGCAGTGGCCAGGCCTCGAGCAGCAGACAGCCCGGCTGCGTGTGCATCGCGACTGCGCAGCATGCGGCACAGTCGCGTCCAGCGAGCATGGGCGGCAGTACGCGTCGGAGTGAGACGGACGTTTCGCAGGCGCCGGAAACACGGTCGAGGGCATACGCAATCTCAGAGCGCTTGCCGAGGAGCAGTGTTTCCCAAACGTCGCCAAGCAGGCGGGCCTTGAGGTTGGGCGGGAGCACCCCAATCGCGACGACGGCGAGGCGGGCAGGAAATGAGCAGGACGGACACCCACAGCGAACCCGAGCATCGCGCGCCGCGCCCGCGGATATTTCCACGGCTCATGGGGCAGGGCGCAAGCGCTGGTCGCGGAGGTTTGATGGACGCCATGGATCCTCTGCTGAGGTCGGCAGCAGATGCTGCGTGCGAAGGGAGCCGTTGCTAGCGCGCCTGACATAATTGCCCACTGCAGAACCACCGACCACACCAGAACCACACGGGCATCGGCCTGCGACGAGCCACCATCGCTAGCAAAACGTCCCACCACATGTCAGCGCAGAGCATCGAGCCCGGCCCCATCTCGCACCGGCTGAGCAGGCCACGGTACACAAAACTCCCTTTCATTTCGGAACGCTGCAGAATCGCCCACTTGGATGGATCGAGTGCTGACAACGCATACTCAATGAGCCTGAAGTCGGCCAATACTAGTACCGCGCCCCCATCCACCTCGCCCGTCTCTTCCCCCGGCCCGCAACAGCCACTCGCTGCTGTGCAATGACGCTGCGAAGAGACCTGCCTGGCAAGCCAAGAAAGCTTCAGTGCTCATCTCGCGTCTTCGCTCCAGCGACACCCCAGACCCTGCCATGACTTCATCCAGTTCCGGGTGTGACTACACTGCCAAGTCACTCATTTCCTGGCCATCAGCCTGCACACAACTTGACATGTGTATTTGTATCCTGGACGGCGTACATCTATAATGTATCATGAAGATGAATCGACTTGTCGCTACCCCTTTGGTCCATATGCGCCGCAGTCACTTGACTTAGCCGCGGCGGTGTTGGGTGGCACGGTTGGTCGACAAAGCCAGCCGTGGCCATGTCACAATCGCGTCCTCGGGGACTTGCAAATCTTCTGGCTCGAACAGGGTCCCTTCAGTGCTCCTCCGTCCGCACAGCGCCACTTCCCGTCAATTTCATGCACATGATCGGAAACGGAAAAGCTTCGTCCAGCTGCAGGCTCCCAAGATTCTCAACGGTTGACACCTACCGTCACACACGCCTGCTCTGTGATACAGCCAGCATGTGCGTAGTATTAGGGTAGTCGCCCCACGACAGTCTCCACAAACTGATGCCTGTCATTTCCATCGAGACTGGATGACAGAGGTCGGTGTATGTGAACTGTAATCTGGGGGTAACTCAAGCCACAATGCTTTGTTCATCGGCCCGCGGCTCCTCTACGGTCTGCTCTGGCTGTGGTTCGCCACCCTTGTCCTCAGTACGTGTCTGGCCCGGCTGAAAGAGGCTCTTCAAACCATTTGCATGGTTGAATCTATCGAATAAGCTCAGCTGGTTTTGTGAAGCCAGGCGGAGACCCCTCCACGTGCTGCTGGTGATCTTTTCGTTTAGTTCGCGCGGGTCTGCCTCTGTTGGGGGTTCTTGGTCGGTCGTTTCAATCCGCGCTGTATAGTCCTGCGGACTTGGCTTGGTGAACCTGATCTCGTGAGCGTCTCGACGCTGATCGGACGAAGGGAACTCACTGTCCGCGCTGTCTCAGCTGCGCCAACCCCTTTCCTGGCTCAGCAGCGGCCAGGAAACGCAACGCTGGCGGTACTCCTCCTGGCTTGCGGTCTTTCTTGCTGGTAACCGCAGCTACCGCTCCCCCCTTCGACTCCAAAAACATCTTAGCAGGGACTCTCTGGCGCGTAAATGATTGGCAACGGTCCATTTTCCATCTGACCCAATTCTTGTCCCGGGAAAGTACCGTATCCACCACCCGGTAATAGAATTTGCCATCCGGACCATCCTGCAGGTAATTTGCAATCGAGTTCTTGATGCCCAACGCCCATTCGGTCTGTGCTCTGAGGTCAGCTGGAGCACGATCACTTCCCCCGTCGGTGCTGATTGAAGGAAGGCATGCAAGTTACCCCAGGTTCCACAGGACAAGCGCCGGTTGTAGACTGTCATCGTCTTGAACGGGCAGCTATGAATCAATTGCTCTGAAGTCGGCGCTTGCATCGTGCAACCTGGGGTAGCTCGGTCGCTGCGGGATGAAGGCATAGGAAGTGAGTTGGCTTACATCTTCTTCACTCAGTGTGAAATTGTACTTCATTGACTGCTGTGCATTCTCATAATACGGCTTGCTCTTCGCTGTCCCCGTTAAAGTCAGGAGAAAATCGATGAGGATCAAAGCCTGAACTAGGACGTGGCGTTGGAAGGCAACATCGCTAAGCTGCGGACAATAAGTGATAGCCCCTCAACAATGCTAGGAGAGTAGTGCATACCTCAAGCTTGAACAAATCGCGACTAGTGAGGTACTTTGGGTTGAAAGCATTGGCGAATTCGTCATAGCTGTCGTCCGCTGAAGTTGAAGACCCTGCTTTGCGAGCCGATGGTCCCGACTGGATGACCTTCGGAACCTCTTTGAACTTTGCGAGTGTAGCTTCTAGCGCTGTTTGGAATTGTTTGAATTTTTCATCGTCGAACAACCGCGGAGGGTTCGAGAACGAGTGTTGTAACGACCAGAAGACGGGATAGAGGGTGTCGATGTCCATCGTTGATGGTTTCTCCTCCGTACGGCTGTCAGCTTCTGTTGGCTTGGTCTCTTCCGGTTTGGCTTCTTCCTTGACATCCTCGACCTGACTAGTAGGGGCGTCCAGCATGACCAGGTCACCACTTTGCTCTGACACGATAAAATCTTCGAATGTCGTCACGTTTCCAACATGGAATTCGCCTCGCAGATTGACGGAGCCCTTGTGGCCCAACGGGAAGCTCTGGAAGAGAAACACATATACACGTCCGCAAAATACAGGGTCTTCCGCGCGCGACAAACGACGGAGCAGCTCATTACACGTGCGCAGGATGACCATCTCTTTGCTGCCTGTGGTTCCGGTTCCCCCCTGACCGATTGTTAGCAATGATCTTGGAATCGCCTGAGGGCAGGACTTGAATTGCATAAACCCATTGCAACACATCCAAGCTATGGACGCATGATTGCTAATCCCACTTACAGAAAGGATAGCCTCTCTCCGCGACTCGAGATAGTTGAACGCGACATGACAATCGGCAATAGACAGACTGTCTAGTACCTCTTCAGCAAGTAGCAGCACGAGCTGATTCGAACAGAGGTCTCTGTCTGCGCAACCTTGCACCACGTCCAGAAGGTTCCACACATCGACAAAGGAAGGGTCGTTGATGCGCGTAGAGTTGAGAATCGGATAAAGGATGCTTTTAGCAGCACTTTCGGCCGTGAGTTCGCGGAGATCTCTGGGCTCTATGCGCTCCACAAGGGGTTCGTTATCTTTTAGAAGCGCGGGTATTTGGAGAGGCGGGTCGATGGAGGTCTCTTGTTTTACCGCGCGTGCCCGTTGTACCAGAGCGTTGAGCCTGGGACCGAAGCAAGCCTCAGAAGACATGGCAGATATCGCCATGGCGGCGGCAACGGTGTTGAGCCAGGAAAAGCTCGATTTACGGTGTTGAAAGTGTCCAGGTAAGGGGAGAGGTTGATTACTGACCAGTGGCTGCTCCCGACAGAAAGGCTGTAGCTTTCTTGCAGGCGCAAACTAGTGTCTTGACTTTGTTCGAGTTGTTCAAGGCTGGTTGCCGCAAATACGATGTTGGTCGCAGTCGCTTCTTGGCCCGAGCTCCTGATTATGTCATGCACTTTGCGGACGCGTCGCGTCCCCCCGCAACGCGTTCTTAGCTCTCACTTCACGACGTACGTATTATTAACAAAACTCTGCTTACAACTACCATTCTATGACCAAACATTCCCTCACACGAACGCCTTTCCCGTTGAATTGGTCGAAGCTACACACCACTCTTCCAAAGCTTCACAATGGCCGCAGCCAGTCCACCAAACAACGACATTCCCGATGACGACGAGCTCGACGCCATCCTCAACGGCACCCTAAACGGTCAAGATATATTCGATGTTAGCAACACAGAACTACAAACATTGCCTTTGGCACGTCAACGGCCAGCTGAAGAAGATTCGGGTTTGGGCATTGACGAAGAGATCAAAGTTGTGAAGAAGCGCCAACCCATCCCCAAGCTCGACGACAACCGGCTTCTTTCCGACCCTGGGATTCCACGGCTGCGCAGAATCTCTAAAGAGCGATTGAAGCTCAAGGGAAAGGGTCACGAGGTATGCTACGGTGTGGATGGCGTTGTGAGCGGCTGCTGATTATCTGTAGTACGGTGACATAGCCCGCATGCTCAATATGTATCAGTTCTGGTTGGACGAGCTTTACCCGCGCGCCAAATTCGCAGACGGACTCGCTATCATTGAGAAGTTGGGCCACTCAAAACGCGTTCAGATGATGAGGAAAGAGTGGATAGATGAGGGGAAGCCGAGGCATAACGCGCGAGAGGACGATGAAGTTGAGGACATTGGTGCGGACGAGCCGGCGCAACAAGATAACGGCCCGATGGAAGGCGTACAAAGCGACGTTGCCCCGAGCGTGGAGGACGACGCACGGCAAGATGACGCCAGCAGACCGAAAGGTTCGTCGGCACATTCAATAGAACAACCTGACGAGGACGAGCTGGATGCATTACTAGCCGGTGATGCTGCACCTGTACCTGCACCTACTGTAGCCGCGACGAATGCAACTACAACCGCGGAAGACGATCCATTTGCGGACGCAATGGAAGCCATGGAGGGCATGGAGGGCATGTGGTAGGACGATTGTTAAACTACACGAGTCGCAGAATCGCTCTGTTTTGTTTTGAGCAGACTGAGGTGTCCACGGAGTTCCAAAGCCGGTCAGACAGCATGATTGAGGCATAGGAATAACGGGCCATGCATAGCGAGGCGTTTGATATCTATTTTCACTCTAGGTTCCGCAAGCTTCTCTTTCTCTTCAATGGGCCAGCCAAACCATCTATTCGAAAGCACACAGTAACGTAGTGATTCTGAAATATTGTGACTACAAGGCAAGCAGTTGCACTATGCGCCAGCTGGACGTAATTCACGTTCGTGTGTCGCGGTAATGGAACACTTTATAGTGGGGCGGTCCTTGCCCCGCGGAGTCTTGGCACTTTGCCCTTTTGCTTGTCACCTCGTGATCTACTGCCACCATGCTTTAATCAGGCGCAACTTTCGACACGACCCTGGAGCATGGAGGGGCTAACGGAGCAGCTCGAGCAGCTGCGTGTCAGTGCAGACGACGTGACTGACCCAGACTGGGTAGATTCGCTTGCGAACGAGCAACGTCCGCTGAAGCGTCAACGTAAGACCAAAGATGACATCAAGAAAGAGCTGGAAACCGAATTCCTCACACCTTCGCGATCATTCAACAGCCAATGGTTGAATCGTTTGCAACAACGGTGGGATGCGCCAACCAATTACCGTGGCCTTTTCGAGATCGCGCCCACCCAAACCCGCACCATCATACGGTTCACTCGCGAAGGACTTGAAGGTCGTGTTACAGGCTACAAAGAAGTTACTGTACCTGCGAACTCGGCTACTGCGAAGAACTCTACGTCACTCTTGAGGAAACCTGCGAACAGGGCAGAGTTTGTACGTGGCGCGGCTGGCTTTTTCCCATTTGCACCGGGTGGGCTAGACGGCGTGGAAGCAATCGCGGCCATCGAAGATGAAGCTATCTCTCGCCAGGAAGCTGTTAACGGAAAGCAATCGAGGGGCCTGGATCGTATCATCAACTTCAGTGCTGAAGGAGGGCTTTTGGAGATCCCTCCAGGCTTCACGCGTGGACTGGACTTGCAAAAGAAGCCATCTTCGGATACCAAGACCGCTAAGGAAGTCGAAGATACACTTGGTGAGGAACCTATGCAGTCACCAGCTGATGCAGCAGATACCGAGGAACTCGAGGATGGTCTGAAAGAGCCCAATGGCGTGCCCATGCCTGACGATGGGGCACAAACACCCAGCGAAGAAGAAATTGATGCTCTGCTCCCTGTTGAGTTCCCAGCATTAGCTCCACATGGCCCCCTAGGAATGGCTTCCTCAAAGAAAGGTGGCAAAGAATGGGCTCATATGGTGGATGTGAACCGCGAAATTACAAATTTCCACGAGCTGGTGCCTGATATGGCTCGTGAATATCCCTTTGAGCTCGATACATTCCAAAAAGAGGCGGTCTATCATTTAGAGCACGGTGACTCGGTCTTTGTCGCGGCTCATACTTCTGCTGGAAAGACAGTGGTGGCTGAGTATGCAATAGCTTTGGCTGCAAAACATATGACCAAAGCTATATATACATCACCGATCAAAGCTCTCAGTAACCAAAAGTTCCGCGACTTCCGACTCACTTTCGATGATGTCGGCATCTTGACTGGAGACGTGCAAATCCGCCCAGAGGCCAGCTGCCTGATTATGACGACTGAGATTCTGCGAAGCATGCTGTACCGAGGTGCTGATCTTATAAGAGATGTTGAGTTTGTCATTTTCGACGAAGTTCACTATGTAAACGACCTGGAGCGAGGTGTTGTATGGGAAGAGGTCATCATCATGCTACCGGAACACGTCACCCTTATTCTGCTTTCCGCTACGGTTCCCAATACACACGAATTCGCGTCTTGGGTAGGAAGAACGAAGAAGAAAAACATATACGTCATTTCCACGCCTAAGCGCCCTATTCCGCTCGAGCACTATTTATGGGCCGGCAAGGGTATGCACAAAATTGTAACCGCAGACAAGAAATTCGTAGAAAGTGGCTGGAAGGATGCAAACGACATCCTCTCTGGCAGAGACAAAGTAAGACCACCACCCGCGAACGAAAACCAAGGCGGACGAGGAGGTGGAGGTAGAGGCGACCGAGGTAGAGGTGGCCAAAACCAACGAGGTGGTCGAGGCGGCCAACAAGGGCAGCGAGGCGGCGGTCGAGGTGGCGGACCACCAGCTCAGCGAGGTCGTGGCAACATCGCACGCACGGGAAGAGGTGGTGGCAGGACAACAGCCGCACAAGACCGGAATATCTGGGTCCACCTGATCCAGCACTTGCGCACCAAGGATCTCCTTCCAGCCTGTATCTTCGTGTTCTCGAAGAAGCGGTGCGAGGAAAATGCCGATGCTCTGTCAAATCTGGACTACTGCACCGCTACTGAAAAGAGCGCTATCCATATGATAGTAGAAAAGTCGCTGGCTCGGCTCAGTCCAGAGGATCGAGTGCTACCTCAAATTACTCGCCTCAGAGAATTACTGAGTCGAGGAATCGCAGTACACCACGGAGGTATGCTACCGATCGTCAAGGAAATGGTCGAGATCTTGTTTGCCAGGACACTCGTCAAAGTGCTCTTCGCCACCGAAACATTTGCTATGGGTCTTAACTTGCCCACAAGGACAGTCGTATTTTCTGGGTTCCGCAAACATGATGGTCGACAATTCCGTGATCTTCTACCAGGAGAATATACGCAAATGGCGGGGCGTGCTGGTAGAAGAGGTCTTGACACCGTGGGTACCGTCATAATATGCGCCCCGGGAGCAGACGAAGCACCGCCTGTTGCACGCCTCAGACAGATGATGTTGGGCGAGCCTACCAAATTGAGGTCCCAATTCCGGCTCACCTACAACATGATGCTCAATCTTCTTCGCGTGGAGGCGCTCAAGATCGAAGAGATGATCAAGCGAAGTTTCAGCGAAAATGCTACCCAGGCCCTGTTACCGGAACATGAGAAGAAGGTCAAGATTTCTGAGGCCGATCTTGAAAAGCTAAAGCGCGAACCTTGCAAGGTATGTGATATTGACCTTGAAGCCTGCCACCAAGCTTGCATGGACTACCAACGCTTGACAAACGAGCTTCATCTCTCTTTGCTCAACTATCCCGCTGGAAGAGCGGTGTACGTACAGAATCGTCTCATCGTTTTTAAGAAGGTACGTACAGTATTAGTGACATCTTTGGTCCTCATCCTAACTTACACAGAACGATATTCGAACTGTTGGCATGCTTCTTCGTGGTGGTAGTAAATAGCAGAGGCGAGGAACCTACAGTCCAGGTCCTGGAGATTGCTGCGAACGAACAACGCAAAGCTGACGACTTACTTCCGTATCTGGCGCCGTTGGCGAAGTTCTTTCGACCTTTACCGAAGAACAAGAAGGACCTCATAATGAAGCGTGCGCTTATCCCGCTGAGCGACATGGAATGCTTTACAGCTACGGTCATCGATATTCCAGAAGGCGTAGACAACCTCTTCAGGAAAAAGGGTATGTCACTTTACTTAATATCAATGATACAAGTACTAAACGCTGCACAGATGCTCTCAAACTTGCACAAGACCAGTTCATCCCTCTATGCCAGTCTTGGGACTACCAGGATTGGGACGAGTTCGATTACGATAAGATCAAAAAGCTTGAATTTCGAGAAATCGACATGGCTCGGAGGAAGGCAGGGAGAGAAGCAACAAGCAAAAAGTGCCTCGAGTGCCCAGATTTCCTGAAGCATTATTCCATGGCACACGAGTGGCTTATCAAGGAAAACATCGTCCAGCTGCGACAGCTCATGTCCGATCAGAACTTACAACTCCTGCCTGACTACGAGCAGCGAATTTCCGTGCTTAAAGATCTAGGCTTCATCGACGAAGACTCCCGAGTAGAACTTAAGGGCAAAGTAGCCTGCGAGATCCACTCCGCCGACGAACTCGTCCTCACGGAGCTCATCCTCGAGAACGTCCTTGCAGAATACGAGCCCGAAGAAATTGTCGCGCTCCTCTCCGCCTTCGTCTTCCAAGAGAAAACCGACGTGGAACCCACACTAACTGCTAGCCTAGAACGTGGCGTCGCCAAAATCGTCGAGATATCCGAGAAGGTAAATCATCTGCAGACGCTGCACCAGGTGATATTGTCTGCCGACGACAGCAACGACTTCGTCAGCAAGCCGCGCTTCGGTATGGTCGAGGTCGTGTACGAGTGGGCGCGCGGCATGTCGTTCAACCGCATTACGGATCTGACGGATGTCATGGAGGGCACAATTGTGCGTGTCATCACGCGGCTGGACGAAACGTGTCGGGAAGTCAAAAACGCGGCGAGGATTATCGGGGATCCCACACTGTTCCAGAAGATGGGGACGTGTCAGGAGCTGATCAAACGGTATGTTGTTGTCCATTCGCACCACTCTCGTGCCCCGCTGTTGAAGACATGTGTTCCTGGCAAAGGAATTGAAGAACTGATGCTGACATGTGCAACAGGGACATCTGTAACTGCGCGAGCTTGTACCTGTAGCGTGTTTCATGCCGGCATTATAAGCGGGCGTATCAGGATAGAAACACCGCGAGCATTGCCTTAGTCGACGTTGTGCATGATGGAGGGTCGCTGTTAAGAGCTTTTAAGGCTGCAGGATGAGGCAGTCATGAATGCGACGCATGGCTTGGGCATCGCTGAATGGGTATATGTAGCATGGATGTTGAACGAATGGAAATGCCGCCGTTGTTGGAGACCACACCAAGCTTGAGATGCGCAGAACATGCTCTAACATAAGTCGGACGTTGGTGACAAGCTGGCCGGGAAGCGGAAGTAGGTTATGCATTTCGAACATCTCTGTCGAGTCGGTATATGTTGTAGAATACGCCTGCAGCATCGTGCAAATGCCGAGATCAACACGCATTGCATCCTTCGTACCTTAGCGTAAAACTCTATGTGAGCCCCCTCCTGGGAGGATGCGTACATTGGACGTGAATAGAATTGTGAATCATCCCTTTGATGATAATCGAGTTGAAGCAACTTACGATCATTGATGAGATGGAAGCGCTCATGGACATGAGGGACGTTTGAACCCTTGCAGTTCCAGGCAATGCGGGGAAGAAATGGTCCGTCCACGATTGGACGGTTCCTGCCGACGCGGGCAGGCGCATCTGCAGACCCTCTGCTGCCGGCCGATGCAACCAAGGCGCGAAAAGAGCCTTGAATTGGTATCTACAGATTATAGAGCCCACGGCCATGTGGTAGGCGGGGAGCATCGATTCAAAGAAGGGCGCCACGTGCTTTAACCCCATTGGGCTTAGGCTGATTATCGCCCACGAAAACTTACAGCCCCTCCATCTTTCCTCGCCCGTATATCCTGAGCACACGCCAAAGGGGCCTCAAGGTTACCAGATAATAGGCCTGCCCACGGCCCTTTCCAGCTTCCCGCACAGTTCTGCGTCTCCCCGCCGCCGTCCGCAGGCGCCCCACCACGCTCAATCGTACCTGCCCTCGCTGCGCCTTCACGTTCGATCCTCGAGGTGCCCAACGACTGGCCCGCACCGCCAGGCCGCACAACGACCGCCACCATGGACGTCGCAGCGCTGCGGGAGCGTGTCAAGAACACGCTGGACGCCAATGCCGCCATCCGCCAGCAAGCCGAGCTTGACCTCAAACACGTAGGCGCCGTCGTTGCAGGACATGGTACGGCAGCTAACTGACAGCTGTAGGCCGAAGAACAGCCCGGTTTCACAGACGCGCTGCTCAACGTGCTAGAGAACGAGCAGGAGGCCGCCATCCGCCTGTCCAGTAAGGCCGCACCCCATCACATCGCCGCCACATTGCCCCGACGCGGTGCACTAACGCGTCTGCAGCTTCCATCTACCTCAAGAACCGCGTGTCGAAGGGCTGGTCTCCCGCCGAGGAGTTCAGTCAGGCGAAGCCCATCCCCGAGGACGAGAAGCAGTCGTTCAAGAGCCGCCTCGTGCCCGTCCTCGTCGCCTCGCAGCCGAACGTGCGAGCCCAGCTCATCCCTACGCTCCAGAAGGTCTTAGCCTACGACTTCCCCCAGAAGTGGCCCGACTTCCTCGACATCACAATCCAGCTGCTGAATGCAGGAGACGTTGCGTCAGTATTCGCGGGCGTGCAGTGTCTGCTGGCAATATGCAAAATCTACCGCTTCAAGTCGGGCGAGAACCGCGCCGATTTCGAGAAGATCGTGGCTCTGTCTTTCCCCCAGCTCTTGAACCTCGGCAATGGGTTGGCCAACGAGACAAGCTTGGAAGCAGGCGAAATATTGCGGACAGTCTTGAAGGTATACAAGCATGCAATATATGTAAGACGGCAAGATTCGCGACCAAGGGACACGAGAGCTAACGAGGCTTAGTTTGATCTTCCCGCATCTCTACGCGAACAGTCCGTCATGGTGGGCTGGTGTACCCTGTTCCTCAATGTCATCAGCAAGGAGCCACCGGAGTGCGCAATGCCCGAAGACGTCGACGAGCGTGAGATAAATCATTGGTGGAAGGCAAAGAAATGGTCATATGCCAATTTGAACCGCCTCTACGTCAGGTATGTTCGAAACGGCCCACTCATAAACCGCGGAAGCGCTAACCTCTGCTAGGTATGGTAACCCTGGAGGCTTGACCAAGAACAACGACGTAGACTACACCGAAGTTGCCAAATATTTCATCGCCAATTTTGCGCCCGAGATCCTTACAAGATACTTGCAGCAAGTGGAAAAATGGGTAAAGAAAGAGACGTGGTTATCGAAGGCGAGCTTGTACTACACTCTCAACTTCCTGGATGAGTGCATCAAGCCTAAGTCTATGTGGAATTTGCTGAAACCGCACACGGACAACCTCATCTCACATTTGATATTCCCTGTTCTGTGCCAAACAGATGAGGATATCGAGCTTTTCGAGGACGAGCCGCAGGAGTATCTGCACCGAAAACTTAATTTCTACGAAGAGGTCACCTCGCCCGATGTTGCAGCCACGAACTTTTTGGTCACTCTTACAAAGAGTCGGAGAAAACAAACTTTCAGTGTTCTCAACTTCATCAACGGAATCGTGAACCAATACGAGGCGGCACCTGACAATGAGAAGAACCCACGGGAGAAGGAGGGTGCTTTGCGTATGATTGGAACGCTCCCTGGTGTTCTCCTTTCAAAGAAAAGCCCGATCGCAGATCAGGTCGAGTACTTCTTCGTTCGGCACGTCTTCCCCGAATTCAGAAGCCCTCACGGATTCCTGCGGGCGCGCGCATGCGACACACTGGAGAAGTTTGAGCAACTTGATTTCAAGGACCCTAATAACCTCATCATCATCTACCGTAATATTCTCGAGTCCATGGCAGACCCTACTCTTCCCGTCCGGGTAGCTGCCGCCTTGGCACTACAGCCTCTCATCCGTCACGACATCATCCGGACCAACATGAAGCAAAACATCCCACAAGTCATGCAGCAGCTACTGAAGCTTGCAAATGAGGTCGATGTCGACGCTCTCGCTAACGTGATGGAGGACTTCGTCGAAGTCTTCGCTCCTGAGCTCACGCCGTTCGCCGTAGCACTTAGTGAGCAGCTCCGAGATACATATCTTCGCATAGTCGGCGAATTGCTCTCTCGGAACCAGGAGAAGGGCGACGAAAATGAGTTTGGAGACTTTCTTGACGAGAAGAGTATCACTGCTCTAGGTGTACTACAGACTATTGGCACTCTCATCCTTACATTGGAGAGCACGCCTGATGTTCTTCTCCATCTAGAAACCATACTGATGCCTGTCATCACTATCACGTTGGAGAACAAGCTGTATGATCTGTATAACGAGGTGTTCGAGATCATTGATAGCTGCACTTTTGCCGCTAAGAGTATCTCAGCGACCATGTGGCAAGCATTCGAATTGATTCACCGGACATTCAAGGCTGGTGCGGAGCTTTATCTTGAAGATATGCTGCCCGCGCTTGAAAACTTCGTCAACTACGGCACAGCGTCGTTGGTACAGAACCGGCAATATCTCGATGCCATAGTTGACATGGTCCGAACTATCTTCAAGGACGACAAGGTTGGCGGTGTCGATCGCATCTGCGGGTGCAAATTGGCCGAGATCATCATGCTCAACATGCGCGGCCACGTTGATGAATACGTACCTGAGTTCATTTCGCTCACCATGAATGTCTTGACGAATGACGAACTCAAGGTCAAGTCGCTTAGGATACACCTGATGGAGGTCGTCATCAATGCCATCTACTACAACCCGGTCTTGGCACTACATGTTCTCGAGACGAATGGCTGGACCAACAAGTTCTTTAGCTTGTGGTTCTCTACCATCGACAGCTTCACTAGGGTACATGACAAGAAGCTGTGCATTTCTGGTATCTGCGCGCTCTTGACTTTGAAGGGCCAGGACGTACCGGTCAGTGTCCAACAAGGCTGGCCCCGTCTCCTCCAGGGCATCGTTCGCTTGTTCCAGACACTGCCCGCCGCTTTGAAGAGTAAGTTTACTCTCACTTTCATCCAACCCTGTATTAACCTTTTGCAGATCGCGAAGAGGCTAAGAAGGAGGACAACTTCGAATACGCGAACTACGACGACGAAGAGGACGAGGAAGAGTGGGGTGACGAGAATGAGTGGACCAACGAGCCTGAGGAGGCGGAAGATGTCAAGGACGAGAGCGCCGCCTACCTGGAGTTCCTCAACGAAGAAGCCCAGAAGTTTACATCTGTTACCGACGATGACGACGATGAGCTCGAGGAGGAGAGTCTTCTCGAGACGCCACTCGACAAGGTCGAGCCTTACAGCATGTTCAAGCATGCGCTCATGAGTCTGTTCCCCCCGATTGCAGTCGTACCCATGCTAACGCCAGCCAGGACTCCAACAAGAACAACCCGCCCTCTACGAAAACCTCACAAAGAACCTCAATCCTGAAGAACAGCAAGTCGTCCAAGGCGCCGTCCACCAAGCCGACGTCATCGCCCAGGCCGCATCCCAAGCCGCGGCAGCCGCAGCAGTTGGAGGTCAACCCAATGGCGGTGCGCCAGTCGTGGGGCAATAGTACCTCCCGTATCCTGTCGCTGGCAAGGCGAGGCTCGCGCAACTCCAACATCATCAATAGATAGTTTACCATCTGTTTCGGTCGTCTGTTTTGGATTCCCCCTCCTCTTACACATGTTGCCCATAACACTACCCCTGTTTAGCGAGCATTTGCCACGTTTCCTCGGCGTTGGTTGGGGGTGTGATTTCTGTGACTTCTTGGTGGCTCTGCTCTGGCGTATTTTGAAAGCAAGGGTGAGGATGATTTCACGATGAAGATGAAGAGTGATGGAATGTGCATGGTGGATATGTTGTGAAGACAGAAGAGCTGGGATGCGAAAGCTGGGTTGAAGAACTGAGACGGATGTGGGCGACCACACGATGAGGACGAGACAAGAGGTAGGAAGACAGATGGTATTGCAGTGCGTGTAGTAGATAGCATCCTTGAATAGGACTACGCAAAGCTAAATCCATGTACTAGATCTTCTTGGCGCTGCTTTAAGATCAGTGCATTTCCCAGAGAAAGGTTGTGGGGCGGGATAAGTCCAGAGTCAAGATCACAAACACTTTTGGTATACATCCTGTGTCTGCGTAGACCCGTTCACCTGGTTGTCGATAAGCGAACCAAATCGGGCTGAACCCTGCTTGCTTTTTCGTTTGGGGCAAGCGCGGTCCAGCCCACGCGGTGATGACGCCCATGTTCCGAATCGCGAAAGTCCGCGCAACGTGTTAAAGAATCAAGGCAATCGCTCCCCAAAAGCAATTCCCTACATGCTCACTACAAGCGCCTGCGGGCAACGTCACTGATCCCGCGACTGAAGAGTCACGTTTCTACCGTTACCATTGCGCCTGAACAGTTCACTCCCCCGACGCTCTCCCCGCGCCCATCCTAGCTATCCATTAGGCGCACTCGTTCCCGATGTCGCAACCTACCGTTTCCAAAGCGAAAACCTCGTACCCGCTATTTTCCGCGACCTGGGCAAACAGCAAGCCATCGTACCTCATCGTGGGCGGGGGAGGAGGCGCAGGCCGCCATGGCGTGAAGAACAAGATATCCGTTTTCGACTTCAGCGAACGCGCGCCCAACGTAGAGTCCTGCGCCGAAATCGAGGCGAGTGAGCACGATTCCGTGACGTGTCTCGCGAATCTGGGGACCAAAGATGGCTGCGTGTTGCTTGCGGGCATCAACGATAGCGAAGAGGAGAGGCTGGCGGGAAAGAACGAGTGCTTGAAGGGCTTCGAGGTTCGTTTTCCAAAGAAGGCGGAGGGAAAGGGTGAGATCTCGTTTCTCAGCAAGACTGCTCTGTTCACACCGCCGATTAGCACGGTTGCGAAGAAGGAGGGGGTATCAGCGTATTGTGCGCCTGTCGCCGGCGCAGCAGACCGCATCAAGCTCGCCTAACAAGCGCATCGGCGCGGTAGCTTCCAGTCTCGCAGTACATGAGAACGAAATCGTGGTCTTCAGCGCAACGTCGAACAAACCAGAGAACCCCGAGGATGTTATTCAGCGGATAGCACTGCATAAGGGCCAGGAAGCAAACGATCTGGATATTCTGGATCAGGGCAATGGGAAGTTCCAAGTCGCATATTGCTTAGACAACGATGTCTACGTCCAGAAGATAATTTACGATTTTGACAAGAGAAGAAGTCTATGCAAGGCTGACGCGGACCGCACACATGCCTATACCGTCCCGCTTCCGGATATCAACGAGAAGAAAGGCCGCTCGAAGATCAGATGTATACGGTGGTTGTCACCGTCACATATTCTGCTGCTGCGAATAAGCCTAATCGGACGGGTGCCGAGTTATTGGTTTTGAGGCTGTATGAACAGGGCCAAGCTGGTTCGATCATCTTACGGAAGAAGTTCGACAGACATGTGCTGGCGGCTGTTGATATGGATGTTGCGCTGCTAAATGCTGACGAAGACGGAGCTTACCAGGCTGTGGTTGCGGTAGCTGCTATCGACGTCTCGCTCACGGTGTTGACGATAAATTACCGTGGAAGGAATCTAAACACGATAAGCAAGTTCAATAACTTCGCGACATACTACAATGTAAGTATCTTATGGAATTACTGTCCTGCTTGCGTAATACAGGTCGATGCCTGAAAACATGCTTACTTCTACCAGGTTCACGAGCTGCAGATGACGAAGGTCGTCCTGTCGCCCTTCATCAAGCCGGAATCCAGCCAAGGTAAAAGGCTAGGACCTCAATACCTCCGTCTGGCCACAACTTCCTTGGGCAACTCTATCGATGTGGAGACATTTGAACTATATCTCAGCTCAAATAAATTGGACTCGTGTTACGTCCTCCAGAGCGCACGGTCCAAAGCAATAGCCGACACCGCGAAGTACCTCGTTATCGCCATGATCGTTGCAGCATTCGCTCTCATGGTCCAAGGCTTGCTCAATACCGAAGATAGCATGACGAGGAGCTTGATATACAGCATGCGTGACATCCCAGAGAGTGCGAAAGTTCCTGCTGCGAATCTTGTAGCCGACGTTAAGAGCGCAGCCAACATCAACAACGACGACTCCCCCGTTGCGAAAGCTCAGCACCGTCTCCGCGACCTTCTGCACCTGCATATCCACTCCGTCACAGCACCCGAACATGAATCTAACCTTGCTCAAAAAGCGCTTGTGGTCCATCACGACCCGGACACAGACGGCACTTTGAGCACCGAGGTCCACGAGGGCGAATATGATGTCGTCAAGAAGCATACAGAGGCTAAGAAGTGGGAGGAGCTGGACAAGCATGAGCAAAGGCGGTGGAAGGAGAAGCTGGCGGACGCGGGGATGTGGACGATTGAGGAGGGCGAGACTATCTTGAAAGGGGTCTTCTTTAGTGAAGCGGGTGCGTTGGTTGGCAGGGTGGCTGCTGGAGTCATTGGATAGAGATGGGTGGTGGGCGGTCGCTGTTCTTGGGATGAGTGAAGAGATGATGATGGTAAGATGGATCGGGCACTCGGTGTGTGAGTGGAGGAGAGTTACCTGGGATAGAGCGTATGGTGATTGGCACGAGAAAATCACGGGAGGATTATTGGTATCCAGAGTCATGACTTTTATGGCTACACTATAAACATGTGCTCAAAAAGGTGCTACTTGCAAACATTAAACACCTTGGCAGTTCCACACAGAGGTAAGATCTACGACGAAGAATGTGTGGAGCATTGAACTTGACTTGCTCTTCTATAAGCAGATGATAGACTGTGCCCAAGAGACTGCCCACTGTTGCGGGTGACAGGCACCGCGGTCTTAATTGAGCCGCGGTCAGGAATAAAGTTTGGTCCGTGCGCTACTGCTCGTGATGTCGAGCCGCGACACAAGCCCAATAGCTTTAATTCCCCGCGTTCCTTTCCCATCCCTTACGCTTTTCCTTCCAATTTTTGATGGAAGGCGATCACTCCTCGCACCTACGGTGAAGTCGACACGCGACTGCGGTGCGGTGCAGTCGACATGGCCATGACGCAACAGCAACCCATTCCGTTGTCGTCAACGGTGGACCGCATTGTCCAGGACTTGCGCTCCAAGTGAGTGAAACAGCAAACGTTCTGGCGGACCTTTGGGCTGACGGTCGAGCAGAAATGACGAGAATCGCCAGAAAGCGGCGCACATGGTACGCCAGACGGTCGAGAATGCGCACCGAGGTGAGCTTGCCTGCGAAGCCCTCTCCCCTGTAAAACGCCACGAACTCACACTGCGTAGAACTGCCACCGCAGGCATTCCAGCAATTCTATAATGACGTGAATATGCGCATATCACAGCTCATAGTAGCGGGCAATGATAGCAGCGAACGCATCGGGGGCATCTACGCGCTGAACTCCCTCATCGACTTCCGCGGCGACGATGCTGGCCAGAAAACGACTCGCTTTGCAAGCTATCTTCGGAGCGTAATGCGTGGCACAGATAACACCTCCATGGTCGTAGCTGCGAAGGCTCTCGGACGGCTGGCGAAACCGGGCGGCACCCTCACGGCTGAGCTGGTCGAGGCAGAGGTCAAGGTTGCGCTGGAATGGCTGCAGATGGAGCGCACCGAAAGCAGGCGCTTTGCCGCTGTGCTCATCCTGCGCGAACTCGCCAAGAACTCGCCCACACTGATGTACCAATGGATCGCGCAGATATTCGAGGTCATCTGGGTTGCCCTCCGAGACCCAAAAGTCCTTATTAGGGAGTCTGCCGCCGAGGCCATCAGCGCCTGTTTCGAGATTATCTCCCCACGAGATCACCAGATGCGCCAGATGTGGTTCGGCAGGGTATACGACGAGATCTTGAAGGGATTTAATCTGAACACGAACGAGGCGATACATGGGTCTCTGCTCACTATGAAGGAGCTGCTGGACAAGAGCGCCATGTTCATGAACGATCAAAAATACAAAGAGACAGTTGAGACGGTGTTGAAATACAGAGAGCATCGCGATGCGCTTGTGAGACGGGAGGTTGTACTTATCATTCCTATTCTTGCCAGTTACTCGCCAACCGAATTCGCCGCAAAGTACTTGCATCAGTGCATGCTCCATCTCCAGGGCCTGATCAGGAAGGACCGCGATAGGGATAAGGCTTTCATGGCTATTGGTCAGATTGCTAATGCTGTCGGCGTCGCAATCGCTCCGTACCTCGATGGCATCCTTGGTTTCATTCAAGATGGACTTACCGCCAAAGCACGCAACAAAGCCATAAACGAAGCACCGATTTTCCAATGCCTCAGTATGATTGCAGCAGCCGTGGGACAGGCTCTGAGCAAGAATGTTGAACGTTTGCTGGATCCCATCTTTTCGTGCGGGCTAAGCGACTCTCTTTTCCAAGCCCTTGTCGATATGGCGCATTATGTGCCACCTTGTCGACCCATCATCCAAGAGAAGCTTTTGGACCTCCTAAGCCAGATTCTGGCTGGTCGACACTACTTGCCGCTGGGTAGTCCTCACCAGGAACGTCAGCCCCCTCACATCTGGACCCGCGATCACAAGGACCCTACAATCATCGCATCACGAGAACAAGAGATTGCACTTGCTTTGCATACTCTTGGTAGCTTCGACTTCACAGGCCATGTCCTGAATGAGTTCGTGCGCGATGTCGCGATCCGATACGTCGAAGCGGACAATCCCGAGATCCGCAAGCGCGCCGCTTTGACATGTTGCCAGCTTTTTGTGAAGGATCCCATCGTTCATCAGACGAGTGTTCAGGCTACTAAAGTTGTAGGCGATATCATCGAGAAGCTTCTCACGGTCGGCGTTGGTGATATCGACCCTGAAATCCGATGGGAAGTCCTGATGGCGCTGGACGCTCGCTTTGACCGACATCTGGGCAAAGCAGACAACATTCGCACCTTGTTCCTGGCTCTTAATGACGAGGTTTTCGCTATCCGCGAAGCTGCAATGTCTATTATTGGCCGCCTGACGGTTGTTAATCCGGCTTATGTCTTCCCATCGTTGCGCAAGGTCCTTCTCCAGCTATTGACTGAAGTCAACTACTCAAATAGTCCCCGGAGTAAGGAAGAGAGCGCTCGGCTAATAAGCAACCTAGTCGGAGCTGCGGATCACTTGATCAAGCCTCTTGTGGATCCTATTGTTGCTGTGCTTCTTCCGAAGGCGAAGGATGCAAACCCCGAAGTTGCTTCAACGACCCTCAAAGCTATCGGCGATCTGGCTACAGTTGGTGGCGAAAGCATGACAAAGTACATCCCAGAGCTCATGCCGATCATCCTGGACTTCATGCAGGATCTCGCATCAGACTCCAAACGCTTTGCGGCTCTACGCGCTCTTGGGCAGCTGGCAACGAACGTCGGCTATGTCGTGGAGCCGTACCGCGACTACCCTGAGCTCATGAACATCCTCATGAACATTGTCAAGACCGAGCCCGAGGGTGAGCTCCGACGCGAGACCGTCAAGCTCATGGGGACCATTGGCGCACTCGACCCGGATGAGTACCAGAAGATCATGGAACAATCTCCCGACAAACACCTCATCCTCGAAGCCCAAGCTGTTACAGATGTTTCGCTCATCATGCAAGGCATCACACCTTCGAACGAGGAGTACTACCCGACTATTGTAATCAATACTCTAATGGGGCTCTTGAAGGATACATCGTTGTCGCAATTTCACTCCTCGGTCGTGGACGCTGTCATGAATATCTACGCTACGATGGGCTTGAAGTGCGTACCTTTCCTTAACATGGTGGTCCCTGGCTTCTTGCAGGTCATTCGCGCTGCACCTACCGGTAGGACCGAGGGTTACTTCAATCAGCTCAGTCAGCTTGTCCGTATCGTTCGCCAACATATTCGTCCATACTTACCCTCCATTCTTGCCACAATTCAGGACTTCTGGAGTAGCGGTACCCAGCTACAAGCGACGATCCTTTCGCTCATAGAATCTATTGCGAAATCGCTAGAGGGAGAGTTCAAGGTTTATCTCGCGGATGTTCTGCCCTTGATGCTGGGCGTAATGGAAGCGGATCAGACTTCGCAGCGTGTACCCTCGACGAGAGTACTGCATGCGTTTCTCATCTTCGGCTCCAGTGCAGAGGAATATATGCATCTCATCGTTCCCGTAATCGTCAATATGTTTGACAAGCCGGGCCAACCCGTATTCCTTCGCAAGCTGGCAATGGAAACACTTGGTCGCCTGTCAAAGCAAGTTAACATTTCGGAATTCTCTGCTCGCATCGTGCAACCCATCTGCCGCGTGCTCGCAGGTAACGATACTTCCCTCAAGCAAGCTGCGCTTGAGACGTTGTGCGCTCTCATCTTCCAACTTGGACCTGACTACATCCACTTCGTACCAACAGTCAACAAAATACTTATAACTCACAAGGTACCGAATGAGAACTACGGACGCATCGTGTCAAAGCTTCAGAGAGGCGAGCCGTTACCCCAGGACCTCAGTCCGGATGAGCGTTATGGTGAAGACGATGAGGATATCAATCCTGCGGAGATCCAGACCAAGAAACTTGCTGTGAACCAACAGCATCTGAAACAAGCTTGGGAAGCCTCATCCAAGACTACACGAGAAGATTGGGTCGAGTGGATACGACGATTCAGCGTTGAGTTGCTTCGAGAGTCCCCACAACAGGCCTTGCGAGCCTGCACACCGCTAGCGAGTGTCTACAACCCGATCGCCAGAACTTTGTTCAACTCAGCGTTCGTATCATGTTGGACAGAGTTGTACGACCAATACCAGGAAGAGCTTGTGCGGTCCATCGAGACGGCTCTTACGTCGCCTAACATTCCACCTGAGATCCTTCAGATACTCCTCAACCTGGCAGAATTCATGGAGCACGACGACAAAGCCCTTCCTATCGATGTTAGGATCCTCGGCATGTACGCGGGCAAGTGTCACGCTTTTGCAAAAGCGCTTCATTATAAAGAGCTCGAGTTCAACGCGGAGCAGAATTCCAGCGCTGTGGAAGCTCTTATTAGTATTAACAACCAGCTACAGCAGACTGATGCTGCGTTTGGTATCCTGCGTAAGGCGCAGGGGTACAGTGACGTGGAGCTGAAGGAGACATGGTTCGAGAAGTTGCAGAAGTGGGAGGAGGCTCTTACTTCGTATCAACGTCGTGAGCGAGATGAACCGGACTCATTTGAGATCACGATGGGTAAAATGCGCTGTTTGCACGCGCTTGGAGAATGGGATCTGCTTTCTAGCCTTTCCAAGGAGAAGTGGGCGAATGCTTCGCAAGAATACCGCAAAGCGATCGCACCGCTTGCTGCCGCTGGTGCGTGGGGTATGGGCAAATTTGCAGATATGGACTCTTACCTTACTGTCATGAAGGAGCAGTCCCCCGATCGGGCCTTCTTCGCGTCGATCGTCAATATCCACAACAACCGCTTCGAAATCGCCACGGAGGAGATTGCGAAGGCACGGAGAGGTCTCGACACGGAACTTAGCTCGCTACTGGGTGAATCATACCAGCGTGCCTACCTTCCCATGATCCGCGTCCAAATGCTGGCCGAGTTGGAAGAAATCATGCTGTACAAGCAGAACGACGGCAACCTCGAGAAGCAAGCTAGCATGCGCAGGACCTGGATGAAGCGTCTCAAGGGTTTGCAGCCGAACCCCGAGGTCTGGCAGCGCATGATGAAGGTTCGCCAGCTGGTCATCACTCCTCAACAGAGTCTTGATATGTGGATCAAGTACACCAACCTCTGCCGCAAGAACGAGCGTATGGGTCTCGCGGAGAAAGGATTGCAGAAGCTGCTCGACATTGATAATGGCGACGTCTTTGCGTGCGTGCGGGAGAACGTCAACAAAATCCCGTACCCTGTGTCGTATGCGGCTTTCAAGCTAATGTGGGGCACACCAGGACACAGAGAAGAGGCGCTGGATTTGCTCAAAGACTTCACCGCCCGGTTAGCGGATGACGTTGCTATGAGAGCTCGAGCCGCGCAGAATGGCATGATGCCACCCAATGGAATGCATGGCATGACTAACGGTCATGCCGTGAGCCCCATGAACCCGTTCGCGGCTGCCAATGGCGTCAATGGTATGAATGGCTCCAGTGTGCTGAACGGTTCAAACATGTTCAGCTCGCCCACGGAGCTGGTAGAGTGCCAGAGGCTACTCGCCAAATGCTATCACAAAGTCGGAGAGTGGCAGTCACATATCCAGAACGGAGAGTGGGATCACGAACAGGTCCACGAAATTCTTTCAGCCTATTCTGCGGCCACACGATATAACAGGGACTGGTACAAGGCGTGGCACTCGTGGGCTCTGGCCAACTTCGAAGTGGTGAACTCGCTCACATCGCAGGCTGATCGCGAGTCTACGGAACTACCACCAAATGTCGTGCATGAGCACATTGTTCCCGCTATCACTGGCTTCTTCAAGTCTATCGCTTTATCGTCTTCTAGCTCACTTCAGGACACCCTTCGTCTTCTTACGCTTTGGTTCAGCCATGGTGGCATATCTGACGTTAACCGGACTGTTTCAGACGGCACCAAGCAAGTGCCTATCGACACATGGCTCGAGGTTATTCCTCAGCTTTTGGCCCGTATCAATCAGCCTAATCCGACGATTCGTCAGTCCATCCACCAACTCCTGAGCGAGGTCGGCAAGGCGCATCCGCAGGCCTTGGTATTCCCCTTGACTGTGTCCATGAAGTCCGATCAAAATAGGCGGCAACGCTCTGCTAAGGAGCTGATGGAGGCCATGCGTGAACACTCGCCACGCCTTGTCGAACAAGCTGATCTTGTCAGCACCGAGCTCGTCCGCATTGCCGTGCTCTGGCATGAGCAGTGGCATGAGGGTCTTGAAGAGGCATCGAGGCTGTACTTCGGTGATCACAATATCGAAGGCATGTTTGCAACGCTTGCACCACTGCATGCTATGATCGATCGTGGCCCAGAAACACTGCGAGAGATATCATTTATTCAGTCTTTCGGTCGCGAACTGCAAGAGGCACGCGACTGGTGTAACACTTTCCGCACGTCAGGGGAGATGGGCGATCTCAACCAGGCTTGGGATCTGTACTACCAGGTCTTCCGTAAGATCTCGCGTCAATTGCCGTCGCTCATGACCTTGGAGCTTCAGTATGTCTCGCCTAAGCTCAAGGAGGCACACGACCTCGAGTTGGCTGTGCCCGGGACATACCAGGTTGGTAAACCTGTTATACGCATCTCTTCGTTCAGTCCCGTGGCTTCTGTGATACAGTCCAAGCAGAGGCCCAGGAAGCTGGAGATGCAGGGCAGCGACGGAAAAACGCACACACACATCCTCAAGGGTCACGAAGATATCCGCCAAGACGAACGTGTGATGCAACTATTCGGCCTATGCAACACGCTGCTAACAAACGACACTGAGAGCCGTAAGAGGCATCTCAACATCCAAGGCTACGCCGTCGTGCCGCTCTCCACGCAATCCGGCCTCATCGGCTTCGTCCCCAACTCCGATACCCTGCACGTCCTCATCCGTGAGTACCGCGACAGCCGCAAGATCCTGCTCAATATCGAGCACCGCATCATGCTGCAGATGGCGCCCGATTATGACTGCCTCACGCTCATGCAGAAGGTCGAAGTCTTCGGTTACGCACTAGATAACACAACCGGCCAGGATCTATACCGTGTGCTCTGGCTCAAGAGTAAGAGCTCTGAGGCGTGGCTCGATCGTCGTACGAATTATACGCGCTCGCTGGCAGTCATGTCAATGGTGGGATACATTCTTGGTCTGGGCGATCGCCACCCAAGCAATCTCATGCTCGACCGCGTGACGGGCAAGATCGTGCACATTGACTTCGGCGACTGCTTCGAGGTGGCGATGCATCGCGAGAAATATCCCGAGCGCGTCCCGTTCAGGCTCACGCGCATGCTCACGTATGCTATGGAGGTCAGCAACATCGAGGGTAGCTACAGGACGACGTGCGAGCATGTGATGCGCGTGCTGCGGACGAACAAGGAGTCTGTCATGGCGGTCCTTGAAGCTGTAAGTACCTTCCTCTTTCTCTTCTCCACCTTCCACTCCTCTTGGTCCCCCTCCCTTCGCTGTAAGTTCAGAAGCTGATAGAAGACCAGTTCATACATGACCCCCTCCTAACATGGCGACTCGGTGCCCGCGACTCCCCGCCTGAACCAAACTTCCCCTCCGAGCGCCGCGCCTCCATCATCGGCGTGCCCCCCTCCTCCTCCACAGACCCCACAGACCCCATGTCCAGCCTCGTCAGCGGCCGCCAGCGCCACCGCTCCTCCATCGCACCGCAACCGCAGAACGAGGCTGAGGCAAAGGAAGTGCAGAATGCGCGCGCGCTGCAGGTTTTGTCGAGGGTTAAGGAGAAACTGACCGGCAGAGACTTTGGGAATGCAGTGGGCAGGGGAGACGAGTTGAATGTGCCGACGCAGGTGGATAGGCTGATTAAGGAGGCGACGAATTTAGAGAATCTGTGTCAGCATTATATTGGGTGGTGTAGCTTTTGGTAGACGAAGAAGGCTTGGGATGGTGGGAAATAGGAGTGGGAGTGGTAGGAAGGACTATGGCGAAAGGGTGTGATGGATTTTTTTATTCGGTATAAGAAGCGGCATTTCACGGTGTTCGGGCTGTTTTTCCCTGGGTCGTTGCTACAATGTGCTGTGCTGGGACGGGTGCGCGATACCTTGTACAGTGGGGAGCCTGTGGCGTGGACAATTTTCATTATGGTCGCTTTCTGCATTCTGCGAGACGTTAATGGCGCTTTGCGGTCTGATACCTTGATGAGCTAGCCCTTACAAGTACTGGCTAACACAATCCTACCGCACATTGCGTCCACGTTGACCTGATCCTTCATTGACCGTCGGCAAGAACACCAAGCTTGGCCGATGCATTGGGTATGACGAGACCGGCTGACCATGTACTGAAAGGCCCTACAATAACGGTATCTGAGTTGCGTGTCCGTTCCCACGACAGTGATGCATAGAGATCCATTGCGAACGGGAAGTCTAGTTTCCAGCACACGTTACTGTGGTACTTGTATCTCATGCTCCGCATGTACCTTGTTGGCCAGTAATTCGAGATCTCATGGAAAGGTGTGTGACCCGAAGACTCGATCCCAACCTGGCTGTACTTTCCTTTGGCCCATGGTTGGAAGAAAAGAGCGTCCAGGTCGTGATTGCTTCTCTTTTTCCGGAGCAAGGTTTGCATGTCCAATCTAGTCAAGAGACGTTGGCAAGATGTCAACGTAAGAAATCGGATTCGGATTGCACGTCTTCTATGCTCCACAGGCGAAGATGGAATTCCAGCGATGTGGGTTTGGATACTTTTTTAATGCTGAGGGAGTCACGGCAGAGGATCTGAATGATCCATGAGGTTTCCAACGGCAGCCTGGTAGACATTGCGCCCTTGTTTGTGTTCGTGCTCGCCACGCCCAGACGCGACGCGTTCCGGAAACCAGGCGTGCAGCATGACAATGACGTAACGTCGCGACCAACATTCAACAACAACAACCGCAACGACAATAGCACATTGATCTACTCAACACTCCGCCCGATTTCTTGCTCGAATTGATTCCAATATCATTTCACCCCTCTTACCCTACAATGGCTCCATTCAATCGGTTATTGCGTGCAACGGCAAGATACGGATCGCGGACCTTCCAGTCGCCAATGTCACGACAGTATGCAACGGGCTACGAAGAGCGCACTCAGAAGACGCTGCAGAAGTCCTCGAAGTTGACATGGTGAGTCTCACTTCTTTCTAACATCTGACGCTTGAAGCGTACATGCACCTCCGAAAAGCACTTTACACTCCTCCCTTCAGCGACTGACCTCCATTCTAGGCTGACCACCTCAGCGGCTGCCGTTGCCGCAGCGATGTATTACTACACCAACGTCTCTTCTACTCCCGCTGCTTCCACCATACGCGAAAAGGTCGACCACGCAAAGCACCCCGATTTGGAAGCGCCGAAGCCTGTAGAGGACAGGCATGGGGATACGGTTGCCAAACATTCGATTGCGGCGCACAAGAATCAGAATAAAATCAGGGAAGGTGTTTTCAAGGGGGGTGAATTTGATAACCATTTGCAGAAGCATTCGACGGATCCTGGTAAGGATTTTGAGAAGAAGTAGGGGATGTGGAAAGGGAAGGAAGTGGTTGCAGGGAGCTGTACGATACCCGATTTTGCGTAATATGAGACATAGGCAAGCATATACAAGCACTCTAGGTCATCACACAAGGAGACTCATGGGAGAAGTGTACGCCTTGTTGTCCTGCAGTGACGACACGAAGTTTGGTATGTGATAGCTCTTCATCTATTTAAAAAATGTCAATACCTTTTACACCATCTTAGGCACGTCGATCTTCGCAATAGTCCACACTTTTCCACCACCTGTGTTTGTGAGTCCGCTGTACGTCGCACCCTGGCTCGTCGAGATGGTGTTTCCAAATGTCGAATCCGCGGATGCGAGCGTGATAACCGTGTTCTCATAAAGCTGTGGCGCAATGGTGCCAGAGCATCCATTATTACATTCAGTTCCCGTGCCGTATCCTCTCTATTCATTCCGTCAGTTGAAACGGTCTCACGATCTCTGATAGCAATGGGGAGTAGGACGGGAGGGGAAAGGCTTACCATATACGGCCCACTCTTATAACTAAACGTACTCAATTGCGTCCCGCTCGTCACATCCGTCGCAGTCTGCACCCACGTCTGTCCATCGGTCGCAAGCTCGTACTTGATCTCAACCTTCTGGTCCCCGGATACCACACCCGCGGGTCCGTCGAGCTGGCCAAAGGAGCCGAATAGAGAGCATCGGATGCACCATTGTCCGGACATGGCGCCGCACCACGAGTTGTCTTGCCAGGATTCGAGCGTGGTTTGCACGAGGTCGCCGGTGCCGTTGGACATGCCTGGCCAGAGGAAGAGAACACCATTCTGCACAGGCGGCGCGTTACCGGGGGTTATAGTCGTGACGGCCTTGGTGATAGTAGATTTCGAGGGGCCAAGGGAGACGGCGCCGCCCCTATGGATGAGTCAGTGAAGGGCCGTTTGTAGAGATGGGTGTTGGAGGAAGTTTCGAGGTATGAACAATGTCCGATTCATAGATGCTGCGTATACCCTTATTCCCAGAAATATGCCAAAAGGTACATACCAGCTGTCGCGCTTTGCTACCGGCGTCGGGTTCTCGAGGGGACCGAAGGCGAGGGCCGAGACAGCCACTAGGATGGCGGGGAGTATGGAGAGGAAACGCATGATGAGTTGTAGATGCGGTAGAGCTCAAATCAGTTCAACATAGGGTATGAAGGAGCCAAGGGTAAATCGAGAGGAGAACCTCGTGCCTGGCTTGCTTCCTTTCATACATCCTTATTTCGCTCTAGAGCCGTGTCTCCCGTGTATAAAGTACCACCCATGTAATTCTCCGGCGGACGCAGCCCTTAATACTAGCGCGGATCGCACCTTGAACGATGCAGACTATCGGAATAATGCTCGCAGTAGAGAACATTGCGCACCAATCAGATCGTCTCCTAGGGTCCGCTCATGTATCGGCTTTTTATGTACGAATAGGTAAGTTTGCAGACGTTTTGCCAGATTTTCCAGGAACATGCACCGTCGAGCCGTACTGTATTTCCGCCAGTGGAAATACATTATGCATTCGGTTACGCGGGTCCCTGGTCTATAGCGCGCGGAATAATATTTGAAACACTGGACTGGGAAGCGGGGGAGCGAGTACGGGAGATAGGGGAACATGAAACAGGAATGGCGAAGATGTCGGCAGGCCTGTTCGTCTTGATCTTCAAATTACAGAATTTGTCGATTGCGACTCAGCGATAAAAGCCCGTTGGGTAGACTACATACAAGCGTATGGATGACTAGAAAAGTAGTATCAAATATGCTCATGGTCTTGATCTTATAACGCTACAACGAGTTATCAGTGCTCGCAATAGAATCGATAGAGCTTCGAGTCGAAGTATTAGTGGTCTTTGTCTGCACTCCCGAACGTTGGTAACTTGCCCAATCCTCCGTCCACACATTCATATATCGCTCCGGCTCCTTATCTCGTACATTGGTGGTTTTCATAAGTTTTGTGGCCACCTTACCGTGGAAGAATATATAGACAATTGGGATGTACGACTATCGACCTGTAGGTAGTTGGTTAATCGAATTTGGCAGAGGTATTGCGGTAATAGAAAAATGTCAACCAAAGCTAGATAGCTAATCATGCTGATATGATAAGAACATACCCTGCCACACGTGCCTGCTACAGGATGCTGTTCCACATATTATTCCAAAGTAAAGTGGCCGCAAAATTTATGAAAACGATAGTATCGCCCAGCTCGCGCCACGTAGGTAGTCAGTCCAGAAAAGTTCCCCGGAAGCAAGATGTGCTGTGCTCAGAAGTAATTTAAATGTCATTTTGTTGGCGACCTCGCCGTAATGAGGCTTTAAGATGCTGAAATTGGTTGCACCGTAAAGCAAGCAGACCCATAGGAGACGCTGTGAAGTTGGTTTCGTCTAGTTTACGGGACCGAAGCATCCAGTAAGTTATCATGTAGAAGCTTACCTTTCGCCGTCACACGTTCCAGTCCGCTCTAGTGGCAAATTGGTCGTGTGAGGCACAAGCGGCATAAGATCTCTTGGGCGCTCATGTGACTGACGGTCTGGCAACACTTCATAGCTTCACGTGCAAAGCTCTGGAAGGCTGAGAATTGAATTCGTGGTTAGAAGTGCTCACCCAGGGATACGGCCTGAACAGGTCCAAGATGGGAGAGAACTATCCTTCTTACCGAAAATGTTATGTCTTGAAGGTCGACTTAGATTTTGTGCTTGTGATACACCCTTATAAGCAAGAACGATGGATTCTTTTCTCCCCAAGTCAAGGTTGGATGTGATCATGTTTGCCCTCTTTTCGTGACTGCGCGGTCCTTGTGGGTACCCAAGACGACATATAGTCATCACCGATGCGGATGAATCACCCTTGTGACTCTTGTCCCATGAATTGGGAGGCTTTGTTACTAAATTCCGATGCTCCTCCTCGTGGCTGTCCGACCGTATGATGTTCATATTTCGTAGCTTCAATAACTTGAGGAATTCGAGGTTACGCTGTTCTCGCAACACCATACAGGTCACTTGTGCGAGAGCCTTAGTAGCGCTATTTTGTTACGACGCAATATCAACCTCTGTCCGTCGACAATCCACGAAGAGAACGGATCGTAGCTTTCCTTGCGGCAGGAAGCCGGTGGCTTGCCTAAGCCACATCTACAGCGGTAGATGTCAGCACGGAAAGCGTGGTTTCGAGCACTGTGTCTCAGAGCGGCCCATTCAACTATCCGAGCACCGGTTGATTACTATATCGAAAGTTCTCTCTCAGGCTCTTTTTGTCACGTGCTGTTAGGCAACGTCGGCTTAATTCATTCTATGGATCCACGCGTGGAACTTACGAGTTGGACGGCTTATAAAGCGCTGTCCTTGTGTGGTGGCTGCCGTGGTGGCACTTCTTCGGACTCCGACACTCAACATCAGGTGAAGCTTCTTTGTCTGTCGTAGTCAACACCTTCTCTCTTCAGCAGGATCGTCAACAACCTGAACAATAACGACAATGACCTCCAGAATCAAGACTGTCTTAGTTATTGGCGGCACTACGGGAATAGGCGAGCAGCTGGTTCGCCGCTTCCACGCCTTGGGCAAGAAAGTTATCGTTACAGGCCGGAATCAGGCTAGCCTTACCGCGTTGGCACAGGAACTAGGTGGGCTCGAGACGCGCCAGGTATACATACAAAGTCGATCCTTTAAGACCACTCGCTCACACGTCACCCAAGTTTGACATCACCGACTTCTCTACGTTACCGTCGCACGCCGCCGACATTCTCAAAGCGTTCCCCAATCTAGACACTGTCCTCATCAACGCCGGCATTCAGAAGAGTTTCAGCTTCTTCGATCCATCCAGCATCGCACCGGGTGAGGTCGAGCGCGAGATTGCAGCGAACTTGACTGCGCCGACACTACTCATCCAAGCCTTTGCACCGCACTTGCTATCTCTTGCCACCAAGGGTACCCCTGCAACACTCTTCGTTACCAGCTCCACTCTCGGTCTCATTCCTATGGGCCTATGGCCTAATTACAGCGCCACCAAAGCCGGAATACACGCCCTGGCTCTGACCCTTCGTCAGCAGATCGCTTTCGCAGGTGAGGAGGCGAAGAAGAATTTCAACGTTGTCGAGATTGTGCCACCGTATGTCGATACTGGGTTGGATAAGGAACATCGTGAGGCAACGAATGCGGCGCAGGGAGAACATGCATTTCCGCCGATGCCCCTGCAAGAATATATTGATCAGTTCTTCAAGACGCTAGAGGATGTGGAAGCTGACGGGAGCTTGAGGAAGGAGATCGGGGTCGGAACGGGAGCTTTGGCTGTCCAGACGTGGAGAGACAGCTTTGGGGAGGTATACAAGCAATTTGGGATGGCTACATGAGGTGAGAGACGATACAGCACACTGCAACCGATCTGAATACGTCGCTTGAGTAAAGTAGTGGCGGGTGCTTAGATTCAAGCCGCTCAAGTATGTACTGCAAGCTTCCAGGTTTCTTCGCATGGACTGCTGTCTCCTAGGGGCATGAATATACCACCAATCTTGTCAAGTTTTTCGTACTGTTTTGCGAATTCATGAAGTGTTGCCACAGAGTTGGGTCTTTGAAGGCAACTGATGTGTTTAAGTACTGGACTTGCATATGCGCCTACGCTACTTACCTCAGGCCTCGCGCGCATCTAGATGTGTACTCAGAATGCCGATTATGTGCTGCCACAGGTCAATAGAAGCTCTTCAAAGTGCACATCGGCCGATCGGTAGCGAGTCGAGATGTTGGGAACAGTCCGCAATTCAATTCCCGTATTGGTCAAACATCTATTAGTCTTGTATCACAGGTCGAACTCTGTGACCTACAAATTACGTCCGTACAGCCAGCCCAACAGATGTACGCCGCAGATCTCGAGTCCACCAAACAGGATGAGGATTTGCTACCCATACTTATACCTGAGTGTATCATATCTGGAAAAAGGTCCTTTAAACTCTTTCAGTCACCCAGAAGCAAACTCATGCTCACTTTCGCTTATCGGGCATTCAGGCACTGAAAATATACGTGAATAATTGCCGTTCGCTACCAGAAGCTGTCGTAAATTGGCGTTCCATCGCGTTATCTCGTGAACGTAATTGATCACAACTGGTTGCGCTGCACCGTTAACATATCTTAAGAGAAGAGACTGCTAGTCACGCCGCTTTCTGTATACACCAGATTGTCAGACGTACCTTTGAAACATGCACTACCACTTGTACGAAGTCCACGATGCACACAAGGCTGCCAGTCGAGTTTGAGAGCCAGCCCACAGAGAAAGCTACGACAATCTGAATCGTATTGCCCGTATCCATGGGGTCCCCGATCGGATTGAACAGGTTCCATTTCCGCTGCTCCAATAAATAGCCGTTTGATAGAAATAGTGTTCGGGACTTACTTATCGTGAGCAAAATGTTGGTCATTACAGCATTATAACCCTCATGCTTAAGGGATAGATTGAAGTAGCGGTCCCAGAGCCTGCCTCTGCGACCACTACAATGTCAGAATGAAGGCCCACAGCTGCCAAGAGGTATACATGTCTCTGATGGCCTTTCAGGTCAGCTTCGATGGTGGTTTGCGGCCCATCTTCTCGAGGCGCTGTAAGCCGTATTCGCGGTCCTATTGACTACAACTAAGCGTAAATATTAAACGTTGAGATGGCCAGGGATAAATGCTGACATCTTTGTTGGAGTAGAAAGCGCGCGTGTTGCGAGGCAAAATAGGCAGGGCGAAGGCATGTGTTGAGGATCACACCGCAGGCGGAAAGGCCTGATCCTGAAGAATCATCGAAGGTAGCTGAATAATAAGCTTTCTTTCAGGAAGGGGGAAATGATGAAAATAGATTGTGCATAATGATATGATACAAAGTGTAGACAATGACGCCATAACCTGTCGCACTAGGCGCGGTCGCCCCTCAACTTTAGCTCCACCCGCAATGGCTTCTTCTCCCAGAAGATGTACGTATTTTGCTTCCCAAAGTCACGCACACATTCCACAGTCTTAAGGTCAAACGCAAATATCAGTCTCGTAAGCGTAAGCCTCATGATCGTCATGGCTAATTTCTGCCCGATGCATTTGTGTCGACCCATCAGGAACGGTTCGAATGCGTCCAATCTGTCCAAAGGAAATGGTGAGTTAGACAAGAATCGCTCCGGAACGAAAGAATCGGGCTGCGTGAAATTGCTGGGAGACCGGAATGCTGGGTATTGATTTACTGAGATGAAGGTCTAGAGAAGTCAGTAAAGCTGTCATTGTGGTGGAAGGAAAACTTACGCCACACGGCACAGGCTGACCTGCTACAATCTCTTCCCTCACCGTAAGCCTCGGTAGCGCTATTGCAGCTGGTGGCCCCATACGGATACCCTCCTGGATCACCGCATCCAGATACTCAAGCTTTGCCACGCTTCCAATGTGGATGGCATCCTCGTTCTCAAACGCTCCACGCACTTCTTCTTCCAGCCTTCTCAACGCGGCGGGAGCTTGCAACAGCTGCGTCAATATCGCCACCAACGCTGTACTCGTTGTCTCGCTACCCGCGAATATCAACAACGTCATGTTCGCCTCAATCTCATCCTTCGGGATCTTGACCTCGCCTTTCTCCGCGTTATACGCCATAATGCTGCCGACATAGTCCTGCTTTCCCTTGTTTTCTCCCAAGGACAGTCTCTGTAGGAACTTCTCGTGCGCAATTTGCTTATGATATACCATCTTTCTCATGACCGACTTGGGCATCGCATACTTTAGCACCTTGTTCAGCGGCGAGAAGAAATTGATAGACGCCATGAGGGCGATGCCTTTGCCGAAGGAACATGAGATCTCGACCCAAGGATGTGCACGCCCGTTGGTTACATTAGAGAAGGATTCGCCGTAGGAAAGTAAGCCCGAAATGTCGAAGGTAAGGAAGTTTGTCCAATCCACCAGATCTACGACGGCTCTTCCCTCACCACTTGTTATCTGTTCCTTGAACCTCGTGATCATAAGCCCAACCAGGTCTTCAAGCACGGATGCATGTTCACTGATAGCATGCTCAGTGAATGCGCCTGTTAATGCTCGTCGATTTCGCAGATGCGTCTCTTCGTTCGTGCTCACAACGCTGACAGGATGCTCTTTTTCTTCTTGGCCCGCCCATACAGCGTTCTTTGGGATATTGCGGTTACCGTAGATATCTTTCCATGCTTCCGGATTGATGTAGGAGAGCTCGTCGGGCGCAACGCGGACTACTGGGCCGTACTTGGTATGCATATCTTGCAGCTTAAGGTGGTATTGACCGGATTGCATGGCGTGCGTCCAGGGGAGGCGGGTTGCAGCCCATAATTTTTGGCCTGGGTAGGTGCGCAGTGGGTGCAGGTAAATGTTGTAGAAGACTTTGAGGGATATCTAGGAGATGATCATTAATAATCAATAATTATATCAAATGGGACAATAGGTGGCGTACCACAAGTGTGACGCCCACGAACAAAATCGCGACATGGCCAGCTAATTGGCGTATCAAATTGAACATGATGGATTGATTATACTCACGGTGGACTTTCAAACGTGAGGCTCAAACGGTATTTAATCATAGTCGTGCCAGGATGCTCGTTGTCTCGCTTGCGGGCTCTCGGTGAACCGAATAGTGGGCCGCTTACGCACGAAGCGACCACGTGTGACCCTTCGCTGTTGAGATCCCGCGCTAGTCTACTTTAGCTATCTCGTATACCCATCACTACCTAGGTATTTGTATCTAGACATCTACCGGGCCAGTACAACCACAGATTCCCTGATGCCGCATTCAATGGTTTTTATGGGGTCGCACGATATCGCCTGTTCACGACCAGTAGAATTGAATTGACCGCAACGGCTTGTCGTAATTCGATATCCCATTAAATCCTACTATCCAACTAGTTCCTCCCTTCCTCATTCCTTAACACGCCTGGATAGCAAATACATGACTCGAATCGCACGCCTTCACAGCCTTGCAGGCGCCAGGACACCCAACCTCTGGGCACGTCTGCCCTCCTCCCGTCGTGTCCCTCGCGACCAGCTTGAAAGGCGCCCCAGCTGCGTCGCTCACATCGTAGTATGTCAGGCTGCCGCTGATACTATAGTCGAAGCTGATAGGCTTGCTGAAATCGGTGCTGCTCTTCGAGAATTTGACCGCGTTGCCAAATTTCTGGGTCTCAAAGGGACCAGTCCATGTCGCACCTGGTTTGATTTCGGAAATCGCACCGGAGAATCCTTGCGCGTCAGGTTTGACAAAGATGGAGGTGGTGCATTTGTTGGTTGCGGTGATGGAGGCTGCGAGTGCCGCAGGGATGAGGGCGGTGGCAGCGAAGAGCTTCATGTTGTCGCAATGTTGAGTTATGGTTTGAGCGAGCGTGGTTGCGTGTGTGTGTGACCGTTTGATTCAGATCAGATTTGAAGGGCTTTCCCCATATTTGTACCACTATTCAATCTGCCGCTACACGCTTTCGAACATCCTTGAACCGGTATGAGTTCATTGATTCAACTCCACTCCCACAGTTCATCACGGTACCTCATCGCCTGACGTCTCAATTGTACTCCAACTCGCGCTTCGTCTTGTCGATCTTGAAGCTACTCGGCACCTAGTCTATCGAATGTAATCTATCGAATGCGTATCCTTGTACGAATCTGCGATCTGATTGGCTGCCTCGCTCTGTCGACCTCTTCTCTCGTGCTCACGTTTATACATAAACACCTATGTATAGCTCTTGGCAATGAAACCCTTACTGTTCACCGCTTGACCCGAGTATGGCGATGCGCTGGCTGTGAGATGAGTTCGTGGAGTGATCGTACCGTGCGGGTGCGGGCAATTGTCTGTGCTGCCGAGGTTGCAGTGCCATGGCACCTGTCCGAATCTGTCTGCTCCAGCTTTTCTCGGTTAGACGGCAAAGTCGTCGATACTCGGGCCCAGCGCAAGATTGATGGAGACAAATGTTCTGAGTGAACAAGGCTTTCTTCTGGAACTTGCCCTATGTATGCTACAGTAAGGGAATGAACTTAACGTCTCGCCATCCAGGTCATCATCCACGATGATGCTGCTTCTAGCAAGATTACAGTCAGGGAGGCTGTGCACATGACGGTTAAGTACTCACCAGAGCCGAAAAGAACACCGATAGAAGCCGGAGTCGTTCAAAAGGCGTGGCAACGTTGTCGGTACAGGAAGGTCAGCCGATTCCAGTGCCTACCACCCTAATACTTGAGTAAAGACCACCGTGCCATCCGTTTCATTCCATCTGGATAGTGGTCCGATTGCCGCGAACGAAGAAGTAATCTCTTCAATTCATGCATCGATCTTGCCAGTATCCGGAGACTATTTTGGCCTCAGACTGGCGAGACCGACAGCGGCAAGAGCAACGGAAAGAAAAGCAGTGGTCTTGATGCTGAGTCGAGAGTAAGTAAGATGGAAGGAAATTTGATCGATTGGGTGTTTGGAATTGGAAAATTTGTAGCAGCGCACATCCATTTGCACATCAAGGCCTTACCTAGCTGACTTTCAATCCAGTGCCAGAATAGCAAATGTCACCGCTATCATCACTGGATTCATTCAAATGTATGGCAATCAAACAAATCTGCCTGTACGGCATTAATGACCAAACGACACGTCAGCTACTGAAAAAGGATAATCAACTTTGAGGCGCAACCTGATAAGCTGAGGTGTTTATGGGAGATGAAGCTACGTGCTTTTATGCAGACTATGGAATCGATTGGTGTCGAAAAGAAGTCTTTCAGTTGCCCCTTGCCTCTTGAGCTGTGGCAGAGCGTCACAGGCCATAACAAACTGTTGTCTTAACCTGGTCTATCTCGGCCACAAGCCTTTGACTATGCCCTCTGATATCTCGATCGCAGACGACGATATGACACTAGTGATAGCTAAACGTGATTTAAGTCACCGAAACAGCATTCTCGGTACTTGTAGAACTAGATACGCTTTGTTGAACCAGAATGGACAATCGAGGCAACGTATAAGATTTGACAATACAAGTGAAAGGTTGCCCCAAGCCCATGAATGACTCGGTCGACAATAACAGAAAGATGTTGGTTGTAGAATGTCTTTAGGATTACGGGAGAGGATCTGCGAGACCGGTGAGTTGCAGTTTCAATTAGGCAAATCTGTGCGCATAAAGGTGACCGTATTCGAATGGACCAGCTGCAGTCAGCTGACTGCCTTCTTGAAAGCAACAAATGCTCGGGGCGTTGGGGAGCGCGTGATAGGTTGATAGAAGTGAAATCGGCGTCTGAGTTCTTGTATTAGGAGCTGAATTGTAAGCCACAAAAACGAATGATGTGCTGGTGGATGTGGGCAAGACGAACGATGACGTCATGGACGGAAAACATCAAACTCTAACGCGCGCAACGTCGCCCTACAACACGCCCAGAAGAATGCAAACGCGCTGATCAAAGGTCCTCAATGGCTTCCAATACTGACGAAAACGCCATAGATGCGCGTTCCCGCACCGCGCTCACCACAGCAAAGCATAATTTGCGCTACCTCTACGATCCGTCAACAGCCAGCGCAGCCCCCTTCTCATCGTCGCACACGCGCACTCCTGCGAGTCCTGCGCTCAACTCTCATCTTCGCTTTCTGGCGCATTGTTCGCTATGCCAAGTATGTCGCCATTGGCTCTCTCGTGGCTACGATTGGAGCAGGCGCATTGGGCACTGTAGTAAGCGGCGCTGGGTTTGTGCTTGCGCCAACGGGGATCGCTGGGACCATCATTGCTGCATCAGTCTGGGGCGTTGGAAAGTTCGCAGTCAAGCGTTTGAGAAAGAGATGGGAGAGGGGTCACGGGTATGGCGAGTTGGAGGAGGCGAGGCAGGGGGGAGGATGAGCGGAGTCATGAGGATGGAGAGAGGTCCGGAAGCTGTGCCTTGGTGATGATGGTAGATTTGACATGAGGCATGTCTGTACTGTGGCTACGTTGCAAACGGACCTGTTCTTGGTGCGCGGGCCCAGAGCTACCATGAGAGAAGGAGGTCAAATACTCTGGCATTGAAGCATGGTGTTACATTACGACGACAGGAAGGCCGACGGAAGGCGGTCTCCAGCGAACGCATCCCAACGATATCCTTGGCAACTGTACAACAAGCGACTCGTGTCAAGACTACTAGGGACGAGACGTTCCCAGGGTGTTCGATACACCGAGTCGCAATCTTTCCATGCTCCACCAACTCCGGCAATGTCTCTGCTCCGTCCGTCAGCTGCCTCCATTATCATTCACGTCTTGACAAAGAACGCACCGAATTAGAAGCTGTCAACTGGGTTGGTACTGCTGGCTGTCCACATAGCCAACCCGTTGACTCCAGAAGTCGAAGACAGTTCCATCGCGCATGTTCGCTTCGTTGGGTTCCAAATTGCCGTCGGCGCCGACGCGTCCGGCAAATGTACCGTCAAGCCAGAATATGCTGAATGCCGACTTCGTGGATTCCTTATCAACAGCCGCTCCTAGTGCTATATCTTCCCTGTCGGCTTGGCCCAAGTAGGTACGGGAGTCTGATGTACGTTTCGTAGACATTTTGGCGGCGGTCATTGTCACGTTTGCTGATTGCATGGCGAGATAAAACGCGGACAGTCTATGGAGTAACACGGGGCTATTGCTTAAATAACGTCCGAGAAATGATCTCTGCAATTTCCTACGCACATAAAGGGACGTGAAATATGGGTATGTGTTACCGTCCACAACACGCCGACAAGGATCGGAAGCACTTGTCCGACCATAACGCGACCCGAGTTCTCGTACCCGCCCCGGCATTTGTTGTCCTCTGTGAAGACGCGAAACTTCGCAGTGTGAACGCCGCTTGTGCCATCTGCTTTACATACCTCATTGCCTCCCAAAGGCGATCATGGCACCGCTCTTTTGGACCTTCTACGAATTTCTCATTCCGCGGAGTGACTGGCTATCTTGGCGAGTATTGTGAATGCCAGAATGTTAACACGCGTCTAGAGTACTCCGAGGGAACGATGGTGTCTCAAGCTTTGTGGTGGCAGCGTATAGATGCATGGTGTAAACAATGTAACTAGTACCAGTATTCGACCGAAGCGAGCGAGCGCCAAAAGTGCCTGGGCTGGTGATGACATGTCGATCTCTGGCTTTGGCAACGTGTAAACAGTGATGCGGTGTGTCTGTACCATTCGTGCTTTGAAAAAGCAGCCTTGCCGACCATCTGTCGAGGTTCACCAAATCTGTGTCGCGGAGTTTGTGATTCATTACACGCCGCCTCATGTACAATCAACAGGGTTGTACGCATGATTGTACGAGGTAGAGATGATTGTACGAGGCAGAGCACTATCGGACAAGAATCAGGCATCTCCGTGTTTGTCATGGTAAATGTTGCTAACAAAGACGCATGTGTATGGGCACGATGACCGATCACGTGGGAATCTTAGTGTGTCTTACCTCTTGGCCATGCTCTCACGCCAACGTGATGAGCCCAAGAAAGGGCCAATCATCTGAATGGGACAGAGACGTGGCGCGACCTCGGGCTTGTGCATGTCACGTGGCTTCGCGTCGAGACGGAGCTAACGGAAGTTGCCATAACGTCATGACGTCTCAGTGGTCGCCCTCGACTTCTATGATGACGCTATTTGAGTTTTGTAGTCTCGCTCTCCAGGGACACACCGGCACCGACGACACTTTGGTCATCGGCTGTGCACTAGATTTTCGTCAATGGGACAATTTTCGTCCGCTTTCAGCACACCAGTATTCCCCCGCTCAACAAGCTGCTTCGCCCCTCATGCGCTTCTCTTTGTCTTCGCAGTGTCCTCTGCGTGCACACGCCGGGATATTCGAGTCGAGGCTGATCCACACAGGTCCGTCGCTGCAGGCTTTGCTCGCTATCTCGGTCGCAACACCACGTGTAGATTACGCTCACGTCGGATGCCTTGGCGAGCGAGCAGTCGGTTGATAAGTCTGTGGAGCTAGCGCAGCCCTACGTCCCAGACAGGGGTGTAGTGAAGGGAAATGGTCCAATCGGGCCAAGGGCCATCGCATCTCAGTCGCTTACTCAACCCATCTTACAACAGCACAACTAAACGCCCAACGCCATTGACTCACAAATCGGCGATCCGGACCAAATATGCGTGCAATGGGTCGCGGAAGCCAGGCGGAAGCCGCATTGCTTATTCTACGTCGGCGTAAGCGGACTTTGGCATAACGATCAATCTCACACCGCGCAGAACAGTGGTGATATAAGTTGGGGCTGCTTACGCTTCACCGTCGAAGCTTGGGGTTCACAGTGGCTGCTTCGTTTCTTAACTCCTTTCTGCTGTCAGTATCAGCATGTCTATCAAAGAAATCTTGCGGGACGCGCCGGCCGGCCAACTAGCCCGAACTTACCTGGGATGGAAGATAACGCCGTATGAAGACGAGAAGGACAACTACCAACTGCCACAACCTGAGAAACAAGAGGCTGTCCCACAAGCCGAAGCCCAGCGCAATGTGGATCCTGACGATGGATCTGACGAAGGGTCTTCCGACGACAAAGATAAGGAGAAGGATCTCGAAAGCATTGTTCCTAACACCGAACCTGGTGGATCGCGGTCGCATGCTGACCATTCTGGGGACCGCGACATCGAGCGTGTTGCGACGGAGAAAGATCACCATGGAGGGCAACAGCCAGATTTCCAGGAAGTAGGCTTCACTCCGATGGATCGCGACAATCCCCAGAACTGGTCAGCCACGAAGAAGGCTTTCGTATTCTTCCAGATATGTCTCCTAACATTCTCAAGTCAGTGAACCTGTTCCCCAGGTGACTTACACATACTGATTGAACCACAGTTTACAGCGCGTCCGCCATCATCACGCCAGCTGAAGGCATTTTCGTACAGCAATGGGGGACGACAGAAGAGGTCTCGGCGATGGTCCTCTCCATGTATGTTCTGGGCTACGGAACTGGGCCTTTGATCTTTAGTCCATTGTCCGAGATGCCAATGGTTGGCCGGAACGTGCCGTATATGATATCGTTTGCTATATTCATGTGAGTACATCAGGTAGACATCGTTCGAGTTCACTCTGATATGTGTAGCATCATGACCGCGATCGGTAGCGGCGTCAGTAACTTCCCTGGAATAGTCGTTATACGGTTCATTCAAGGCTTCTTCGGTGGCCCTGTTTTGAGTACTGGCGCGGCGTCGGCAGGCGACATATACCCTTTCAACAAGATGCCTTATGCGTTGTCCTTCTGGGCATTCTTCGCCTATGCGGGCCCCGCCCTCGGCCCTGTCATGAGTGGATTTGCAATTCCCCTCAACAACTGGCGATGGGGTTTCTGGGAGACGTTGATCTTATCTGGATTTACCTTCTTACTGTTGTTCTTCTTCCTGCCGGAGACCAATGCCGACTACATCCTTGCGCAGCGCGCTAAGCGGCTCCGGAAGAAGACTGGTGACAGCAACTTACTGTCGAGGTCCGAAAGCCGCTCTGGGAACAAGAACTGGGTCAAGCTCACAGTATACCATCTCACAATGCCCTTCCGGATCACGGTGCTGGATCCTTCGGTTGGCTTCATCAACTTGTATACCGCGCTCGTTTATGGTGTCTACTACAGCTTCTTCGAGTCGTTTCCGATTGTCTATATGGGCACATACGGCTTCTCGATCGGGATCATGGGCGCTGTCTTCATCTGCGTAATCATCGGAGCTGGGATCGGACTTATTACGTACACACTTCTGGTGTACTTCATCTACGAGCCATATACGATGTCCAAAGGTATCGGTAGCCCAGAGTTCCGCCTTGTGCCCGGGCTCTTCTCCGCTGCTCTGGCCCCGGCTGGCATGTTCATTTTCGGATACGCATCAAAGCGAGATATCACTTGGGTTGCCCCCACTATAGGCATCGCGCTCTACGCCGGCACTTCTTTCATTGTAAGTTTCGCACTACACTTCAGTAGTGAATGCCAGCTAATTTGTTCTAGCTCGTGAACTGCATCTTCGTCTACCTGCCCATCAGCTACCCTCGCTATGCGGCTAGTATCTTCGCAGCGAACGGTTTCCTGCGTAGTGCTTTGGCATGCGGTGCCATCCACTTTTCCCAGCCGCTGTTCCACAATCTTGGAGTCGGAAATGGATGCGCCATTTTAGGGAGTGTGGCGGCTGCTTGCGCAGCTGCATTCGTAGGGCTTTGGTATTATGGTCCGAGTCTCAGAGCACGCAGCAGATTCGCCGAAGCTTATTAGCCTTCGTTGCGGTGAAAGGGCGGATGGTGTGAATTGGAGAGACCTTGTGAGGGGCTATATGTAGGTGAACTATGAGATAGTGGTGGTGATGTGCGAGCACAAAGATGCGTGTATTGTACGAAAGGAACTGCGGAGTAGGAGTAATGCTAATGACAATGATAATGAAGCGCTCAATCATTTCGAATATGCAAGACTTCAAACATGATGGGATGGGATGGGATGCAAAGGGCTAGAGCGAGAGCGTACGCCACACCCGTACTTCGTGCCGCAAGCTGACGAGTTGTTTTTGATGAGGTTACCACGTAGAATCGGAAGAGAGGTGGGGCGCTTGCCAAAGCCGGACAAGCGCCCCAGCAAGACGAAACACAGGTGGACGGAACATTAAATTTCCATCACGCAAGCAACCTCAAGCAACGGCCGCTAGAACTTGGCGACGAATTGCATTGATTCCCAGGAGTGAGGCGCTTGCGTCACTGCGAACCTCGCGTTTCCATTTATGGCATTGAGCGACATGGGGAATCCACAAACAATAAACGACCCGTCAGGTCCATGCCCCAAGCTCCCCAAGGATGAAACAACCACACTTTACGAGAGACAGCTCGTAGCAATCGTCCCGACAGCCATGTACCATAGGTATATATAACGGGAATGTGGAAGCAACACTGCTTTCCACTCCCATACTTAAGCAATTCCATTCATTCGTTTACTGTTGCGTTTTGCTGGTCACTCGCTTTCACTTCAGTTCGTCCCTCATTTCCACTTTCGGCATACACAGAACCATATTTTCTTCCACAACGACCATCATGCAGAGATTTGCGATCGCGCTCCTCGGCGCCGGCGCTGCCCTGGCTGCTCCCCACGGCAACCATCAAGCGCGCGAGTGCTGTCTCTGGCTCCGCCGAGGGCTTTGCTTCTGGTGTGACCGGAGGAGGCTCAGCAGCAGCCGTTACTCCGACCTCCACGGACGAGCTCGTCTCTTACCTTGGTGACAGTGAGGCCCGTGTTATCGTCCTCAACCAGGAGTTCGACTTCACGGATAGTGAGGGTACTACGACCTCTTCCGGTTGCTCGCCATGGGGCACTGGCTCGCAGTGCCAGATTGCTATCAACCAGAACGACTGGTGCACCAACTACGAACCCGATGCGCCCACCGTGAGCAGCATCACCTACAACAAGGCTGGTGTCGAGGGTATCACTGTTGCGTCTGACAAGACCATCATTGGAGAGGGAAGCAAGGGTGTCATCAAGGGCAAAGGGTAAGCTTACGCAACTTCATTGAGAGAACGCGCTCTGACAAGCTACTCAGTCTGCATGGCCAACGGTGTCAGCAACATCATCATTCAGAACATTCACGTCACTGAGATTAACCCTGAATACGTCTGGGGAGGTGATGGTATCACCATCGATGGCGCCGACATGATCTGGATTGATCATGTCAAGACCTCCCTCATTGGTCGCCAGCACATTGTTCTGGGAACTGAGTCTTCCGGAAAGGTCACCATCTCCAACAGCGAGATCGATGGCACGACTTCTTGGTCCGCTCAGTGCAATGCTTACCACTACTGGTACGTGACCCTAGTCTTTCGCCCCTGACCAGCTACACTAACGCATAAGTCCAGGTCCGTGCTCTTCCTCGGATCCGATGACCAAGTGACATTCAAGGGCAACTACATCCACAACACCTCTGGCCGTGGTCCCAAGGTTGGCGGCAAGACGGTCCTCCACGCCGTGAACAACTACTGGGGAGACATCGACACTACCGGCCACGCCTTCGAGATTGACTCTGGTGCGTACATCCTGGCTGAGGGCAACACCTTCGACAGTGTCACGACCCCTGTGTCCACCCAGGAGGGCAAGCTTTACACCGGCACGGACTGCTCCAGCGCTCTCGGCCGTGCTTGCATTGAGAACACTTTGACTGGCTCTGGCGACTTCACCGGCTCTGATTCCGATGTCTTGAGCTCCTTCAGCAGCAGCGCAGCCGCCGCTGACAAGGATGCGTCGGGTGTCCCCACCAGCGCCGGTATTGGCAAGATCTAAGCACGATCATACAGGAAGGAAGTTTGGAGACGAGATCAACTTTGATCGTATCGAGTCATTGGACAGGAGGGTTTCTTCTATTGTAAATACATTCTTCGACATTCAATTTCAACTAAGCCTTGCGCGCGGCAAGTTCGCGTGGCAATTTTCAAGTCCGTCTTTATTACCAAGAGTTGAGCAGAGTCGTGACGAAGTCCAAGAACTCTTCTAGACGCTCAGCCATTCTACATGCGAGAACTAACCATGATCGCGTTCTAGAATGTTATGTTCTCGTATCCCGGATTATCGGACAGCGTGCCCGTCGCCCCATGCATTTTATCCGGTCGGCTGGAGACGAGCGCTTTTAATTGGACCGCAGGCTAAAACCACGTGGATGCAAATGGTTCCTGCGCTGGCGCCATCCCAAAAGTGCGGAGAGAGGATCCAACTCCAAGGCGCGTGAGATTAACGAATCCGGGTCAATGGGCGAGCATGGGGTCTTTAAATAAAGTGGGATCCCCTCTGTTGGGCCTCAGGGACCTGTGACAATCTGCGCCGCCTTCGTCAAGATTGTTTCCCTTAGCAATGGCTTCCGTTAAGTCTGTTGCCCTTCTGGGTCTCTCTTTGCTCTCGCAGGCATCCGCTGTCAAGCTTTTGGCATTGAACTTCGCAGGGCAGTTCTATTCATTGAATCTGGCTTTCCAGTCATCCACCAAAGCCTCTCTAAAGGTCGTCCAGAACATCACCGCATGCGGCGTGACGCCCACGTGGCTGCATCTAGACGAAGAGACGCGCACCGTCTACTGCATCGACGAAAGCTGGTTGAATGAGGGACTAGGCAGTGGCAACCTCTCGCAGTGGTCCGCTGGACCCGACTTCAACAAGAAGGATGCCTTGACCCTCACTGGTTCCACCGACACAGAAGGAAATTCGGTGCATGGCTTTACGTACGGAGGACCTGATGGCAGGAGCTTCATTATCACTTCCGAATACTCGCCTTCGACAATTACAACATACAGGCTACCTATCACTTCCAGCACGAAGGCCCTTCAGAAACTCGAATTCACGATGGCTGCTCCTGGACCGCGTCCCGACCGCCAGGACAAACCCCACCCTCATGCTGCGTTCACCGACCCGACCGGAGACTTCCTCATCGTTCCTGATCTTGGTGCAGATCTCACTCGCATCTTCAAGATCGACGGGAAGACCGGTGAGCTCACCGCCTGCCCTGCAATTGCTTCGCTTCCGGGTGACGGACCTCGTCACGGTCTCTTTCGCAAGACTGGACGCGCCTTGAAGTACTACTCCCTCAACGAAGTCAGCAGCTCTGTCGGAGTTTACGACGTTACGTACCCTGATCACTCCCATGGATCTAAAGAGTCCTGCCTCTCGCTCAAGCTTGTCCAGACCCTCTCTAACTACGGCCCCAACGTTCCTCTCGGAAACGTCACCGTGAAATCGGCCGAGATCCGCACTGTCGGCAACTTCCTATACGCGTCTAACCGCAATGATACCACCTTCGGATTCGAACAGGACTCCATCGCCATATTCAAGATTGGCAATGATGGCAAGCTACAGTTTCAGGAGTTGACCAATGCGCACGGATACTACCCGCGATCCTTCTCGTTCAACGAGGCAGGCACATATGCTGCTATTGCTGGACAGACGACTGCAAATATTGCGATTGTCAAGAGGGATACAAAGACTGGAAAGCTCGGGCCATTGGTCACTAACCTTATTCTGCCGCCTAGAGGAACGTACGGTGGAGAGGATGGAGTTAGCAATGTTATCTGGGTCGAGTAGAACTTCGCTGTAATACAACAACAACCTTGAGATAGACCATGCACGTCACTTCTTCAAGTTCTATCTGGTTACGCGGCATCCAAAACCACTGCAAACCCATCTAGAATCTTGCCATTTTTCAGCCCGCCTCCGCCTTCTGTCAGTATTCGAATCCTTCACCTTGCATGTGACGAATTGTCCTAGTCCTCTAAATATTTTTCATGACGCAAGCTTCAAGACAAAGCTGCCAGTCTCCTGAGTTCATGCCCGCAACCATAAGCTGCATCATTGCCTCTACGCCTCCATGTCTTTCTTTTTTCTTTCTCCCTCTCCGTTGTCCAAGAATGAATCGTGCTGCTCTTCCAAACGCCGTTCCACAGAGGAATCACCACTGTCTTCTTGTATCGCTCCCCACTCTTGCTTGTACAGCCTACCTAGAGAGAAACATGCTTGGGCATGTTTGAGGGTTCAAGCTACCATTAGAGCAATCGCAAGATAGTCTGCTAAGTTTAGCTGTTGAGATTGCAAGACTTATTCAGGTAACAGTTCGCTCAAAGTCATGATGAAAATTCGTGAGTTTTCATTGCATGGCACGCTACGAGTCGCAACACAATACGAGATCTGGCATACCCGCTAGTTGCTACCACAATCCTCCACGCTCAGTATGCCCTCTTAATAACATCACTCCTTGTCATCCTTCTCGCCACCATCATCCATCTTTCCAGATAAGACCTCCTTCACATCTTCGCTGCTAAAGCCCAGATCCTTCAATTGTTGCACCGTCTTCTGAAAGAACACTATATCCCTCTCCAGAGCCACACCTTCTTCTCTGAATAGCTTCATGATGTGACCAGGTACACCAGCTGCATGCATGTGGTCGTGCTCGTCAGCATTTGAATCTAAACCTGCAATGCGCTTTTTCTCGAGTACCCCGGCCTTTGCTTCCCACTTCTTCAGGGTTTCGCCTTTGTTGTCCCGGTGTGCCTCTTCGCGTTGGTGGATATCCACGAGGAAGGCTTTTAGCTCTTTCTTGACAGCGGACAAGGCAATAGGAGGGGGCGGCGACTTAGCGGCACGGATCAGTGCGAGCGTCTGGGGAAGTTTCTCCTGAGGTGTAGGTTCGGTCATAGTGAAGTGATTGAATAGTGAGTTGAATTTGGTTTGGTGTATCTAAGGAGTTTAGGAGCGGCTGAATTGACTCATATGCCGGTCGCTGGAATACGCAATTCACTAGCAAATTGTTTGGGCTCACCATTCATTATGCAACGCAAACAGCTCCATTGGCTCAGGGTTTACTACATATTAGCGATTGAACAAACCGCAAAGCCGAATCAATGCATTACGATGAAGGAATATTAACTTCATGATGGCTACATAGGATCTGCGAGGCCTGAACATAGGCTGGATCACAACCGTATCCACATAGCTGGGGGGTCACAAGCTGCTCCGAACTTTTGATTACATGTTTCCAGAGAATACAGTAGCACGTAGTAGTGTCTTATCCGTTGCTTGAAAACGATTCATACGTGATTTTCGCTTCCACTCAGGACTTCAGCTCTACAGATGACAATGACGTATCATTTTGACTTTCCATTATTCTACTAATATGCAATCTCTCATCAATCTCTATTTCCTACCTCCGCCTTCGCCCTCAATTCATTTGTTGTCCACCTTCATGCACTCGTTATTTACATGGCAAACGCCAATCGTTAGCTAGTCGCCTGACCATTCCACACTATGGTGAACAAACATTCCACAAGCGCCAATCTGCCTTAGCAAACCTTGCGCCGTGTTATTGACAATACCCTATGGAGTTTTCGGCAGCGTGACGCAATCGCGATAAAGTCAAGGTCTAGCTGGGAGATTAGAGCGGTACGCAATGGGGCTCTTCTCTACCTGTGATTTCCATTTCTATGTGAAGTTTTTCTCGAGACCTTGGCTTTGGCAACCACACCTGCGCATGTTGCAATGTAGAGTTGAAGGCTAACCACAATAGCCACCTTGTAGACGAAGGTTGTATGGGCTCACCAAAAATGGAGCGAGGAACAGTTGTCTCCTGACGTACTTGAGAATCCTTTCTGTCTCACCTTTACCTTCGCATGCGCAACAATACCTACATAACAATCCCACAAGATGTTACTACCTGCGCATTCGATCAACCAATTGCATCTGTAGTCTCCTTCCACCGTGCTTCCTCCTCCCCATCTTCCTCCTTCCCATCTTCCTAAGTTTTCTCTTCCATTTTTATTTTCATATTCTTCACGATCAATTCCAGCACATCATCCACCCCTTTCAGCATCCCATTACACCCTGTAATGCACCCTTTCTTGATATCTATGTGATAAGTCGTACGTGTCTTGAACTTTTCGAAAATATCTGCAAATCTTCGAAGCTGTTCCACTGCAGTAACAGGCACTCCCGCCGCACCATGTTCCTTGAGCCAACACTCGTCGCCCGCGCGTATTGGGACACCTTGACGCACCAAGAGCTTGAACAGCGGCGTCCTTCAGTTCGTTATACTCTCTGTGCCACTCAAATGAGGAAGCCTTGTATGCACTAATCTAGGGGCCACACTTCACAGCGAGATCCTTGATGGTGGAAAGGAGAGTAATAGTACGAGCGAGGGGGTCAGCGGCATTCATTTAACTGTTGTTGTTCATGTTTGCAATCTGAACAGGTGATCTAGGCACGAAGCGATGCTCTCAATTGAAGGCTCCAATCACTCGTTATATATACAAGGCAAGAATCATTTGCTACGGCATCGCGTGCCCACTCCACTGTACACTGTACACCATAATATATCCTAAGTGCCGCATAACCTGAGCAAAGTACGTATGCCGAAACTATTCCAAGATTTCACAATCAACAATGATACACGTGGAAAACATCCTGTCACCACTCTATCAACAGCAAGCCGGCTCCGAGTAACGAGGATGGGCTATAACCAACATGACTACAACCCAGGGGCTCGCGCTCTCGCGCCAAGGGTCACCTGACACTTGCCACCATCGAAGTATCGAGCGTCATGCGGAGCCATGCATCCTATCGTAACTTAATATACTGTTCGCATTTAACGCTGTGAATTAAGACTATATAACCGAAGCTTACGTTTACGCAAGAGACGCACTACTACACTTTAATACCCACCCTTGCCCCATGCAGCAATCCACCTTTTAGCCGTCCTTATTTCCCACAGATGCGCCTCCCTAATATAATCCGGCTCCTCCTCCACACTCTTCACCCCTGTCCTAGGACTACTATCCCAATGATGCCCCGCTCCCGCAATCAGATAACTCGGATACTTATCGCTACTAACCCTTATACCGGGCTTGTCATGAGAGTGGAAGGTCAGGTCAACCCAGACATCTGCTTCGCCGTCTATTAATGCCAGCTTCGGAGCGTGGATGTCGAGCCCTCCGTAATTGTTGATAACGTCCACATCCGGGCGCGAAGGGATGGAGGAGTATTGGCCGGGAGGGAAGGATTGCTCGCACCATGATTGCATGTAGGTGCCGTTTAAGACACGGGAGATGAGGCTTGGGCCGTGGCGTGGAGCGGAGATGAAAGCGCCTAACTCAGTGCAACTTGTGTACAGATAAGAACGATCGGCGCTATTCGCGGTGTTGGACCAATATGTTGCGTTCTGCGTGTTGAAGCAGCCTTCATCGGTGGTGTCGAGACGGCCAGAGGTGCACAAGGGCACGATGACGCCCCGGATGTAGGCGGCGTAGTTTCCGAGGCCGGTCCAGGGTTCGCCTTGTGTGTACTTTGCGAGTTTGGTGTCTACAGCTGTGATGTTGGCGGGGGCGGCGGGGTTGGTAATGTTTGAGCAGAATTGGTAAAAGTCTTGCGAGTCGTCGGGAGGGTTCCAGTTCAGCTCTTGCCAGGTCGGGTTTGGGTAGTCGAATGGACCTCCCACTGTTCCTAGTTAGTGATTGAGTGTAGTGAGGGAAGGGGGCGCTCACGAGGATAGCTGATCGCCTGCGCGAAGTCCCTAATGTCGCTCACGGCGCCCAAGCCAAAGACTTCCTTGACTTCCTGGATGGCAGCCTTGTCTCCAGAATCGACGACCTCGTCGATCTTGTCGATGATCCCGACAAGTCGAGAAATGCAGTCTGACGGACCGTATTTCAGGATGGGATTGTACCAGCTTGGATACTCCCACTTGGCGATCGCTGGTGCACTAGCAGCTATACCTCCCGCGAACAAATCGTTGTACGTCTTCATCGTAAAGGCTACTTGTCCACCCGCCAAACTTCCACCGTACATGATCCACGGTGTATGCGGGGCATTGAGGCTCTCGTTTCCGTTAACACCAGGGAAGGTAGCGTGCTGAGCGAAGAAGACATTATCTGCAATGGCTGTCGCTTTATCAGTACATGTCCCCAGAAAGATTACAAGCCTCGAGGTCCAAGAAACTCACTCTGATCCGTAGTCAGAAATCTCAAATCATCCGTCGAAGAATCGTTCGTCGGCCAGCTCTTCCCGTAGTATCTATTTTCTAAAATGACACCCAGACCATTCGTAGCTTCCGCCAGAATCTTCACAATCCCATTTCTCAAATTACTGAATCTTGATTCACCGCTGGTTTCTCCACCAATGTACAGAAAAATCGGTCCGCCGGGTTTGTAATACGTAGCATCGAAGAAGTAACGCTGCGTGAATGTCGCGTTGGTATGGGGCTCGTAGCGCGCTTCGTTGTGCAGATGGTCAATCTGAGCCACAACGTAAGTGAGGTAACATGATGCAGAAGAAGGCGGCATACCGGCTGCTCAATAGTATGCACCGGATATGTAACCTGTGTCTCTTGTCTTTTGGCCAATGCATCTGCCACTCTGCCTCGCCTCTCTCCCGCATCGCACAACCCGCCTAGCCCACTTAGAGCCGTCAAAGTGAATAGGAACCTCATCGTAAATTGCATAAGATCGGCTACCGGCGAGGGAACAAGCTCGCAACATCGTCTTATATAAACATTTTCAAAGGATCCGATCGCGTCAACGCCGCTCCAAGGTACCAGGGCGGGGGCTTGCGCAGCTCACTGCCGCATTAGGAAGGCGGATATGGAAGCTCGGCTGAAGCTTCGCAGAGCGTGGCGAAGCTTGTCATCGCTTGGCATGCGCTGTGTGTACCTGCCTCTTAGAAGCTCGCGTAGGAATGATTAAGGTGTGCATATCGTCATGTCGCATCCCGTTATCAACCGTGGTGCATGTGCCTGTATCTTGCTGATGCGGATGAATTGTATAGTACTGGACGAGATGGCGTCATTTTGTGGCTTTCCACAGCCAAATTGTACTGTGAGAACTACCGTCATCGTATCAATGCCTCCCATGAACCAAGCAGTGTTTGGGAATGCCCCCAAACGCTCAATTTCACACACTCGTTCCAGCTTTGCTCAAAACAGCTAAAACTTCGACAGCCTAGGCCTGTTCCACGACCCGAGTCTTCGAGAGCTCACAAAGCGCTCTCAAAAGAGCCCTTACGCTAGTATGCAGCCTTATGGGTCCTTGGGTCGATAAGAGGTTGCTCATGGATGTTCCTCCGAGGGCTATGCCAAAGCACGCATCCTCATCTCCGAATGTGAGCGTGCAAATAAGCACTGGCCATCTCCGAACGGCATTCTGTTTGCTTTGTGTTGTTAGTACTTGATAACCAAGGATAATTTGACTTTGGTCGAAGTACTTCAGCCCTTGCTCGTGCCGGGGCCATCAAATTCTCTATCGAGCTTCGCCAGCGCAGCCGCCTTCTCAGCATCATGCTTCACGCCTTGAACTCTTGCAGGCAACTCACGCATGACTTGCTGTACCAACTGCTCAAGGTCTTTTGGGTCCCTCGTCTCAAGCTTTGCCTTTCCTTTGGCAGTATTGCCTACTACTGGTGGCTTAACCTCGCGCTTGCGTAGCATGACTTGGCCCTTGGAATCCATGAACGTCTCATACCCCTGCTGATCCAGTACTTCGTCGGGTACGCGCACGCTCACGGGCGGCTTGCTGGTTGGTGGTTGAGGCGCTGTGGGTGGGTCAACCGGACTGGGACCTTCTTTCTCTTTCTCGTAGCGCTCGAGGGCACGGATGTGGTCCTGGTTCTCCTTGTTGCCTTCCATCAGAAAGCGGAGGCACATGATGGCGTGTTCGCGAATGTATGGATTGTGCTCGTCGTATGAGCAACAATTGAGAACCGCCTCGATGCCCCCGAGCGGCCTAATCTGATCTTGGACCTGTCTGTTCTTCCACACTAGGGAGCTCAACACGAGAACAGCGAGCTTCTTCAAATTACGCCACTCAAACTCTGACGGTTCGTCTTGTGCTTCATCAATATAGGGCCGAGGAGATGGCATATATCCTTCAGGTGCAGTCGTATTGGCAGCTGTGTCGTACGGTCGCTCAACAGCTACTGGTTGTGGTTCAGCCTCGGTGGGCGGCGCTGAAGTTGATTGTCGCGCAGCTGCGGTTAGTGGAGGTATCGATATCTGGCCCTTGGGTATAGCGGCATCGAGCTCCTTCAGCAGAGTCACCAGCTCGTTCGCCACCTCCCAGTTACTGAGCATGGACTTCCAAGTCTCATGTTCTGTTAGGATCGCGAAAAACTCCAGATACTGATATACGCCTTCGTACATGCGCTCCATGTCCCATAGATTGAGAGGGAAATCTTCTGGCTGCGCATGTCCGGCACGAATCTGGCCTTGCAAGAAGATGAGAGCGCAAGTTTGCGGGATAATATGGCGGCGGAACTCAGTCAGCAGAAAGTTGACCATATGTGCATCTCCTTGGTCCACCGGAGATGATCCAGTTTTGAGCACACTCTTGACTGGTGTACGAGCTTGGCGTGCGCGGAAGATGTTGGTCAAAAGCTTCATGATGACAGCTTGAGCGGGAGAAATGATGTCCTTTGACCTGCTGTGTCTGTGAGCGAATGTCATTAGAACGAATGCCGTCTACTTACTCGGACTCACGGAAAGCGTGATATGCGAAAGGTAACAGTCCATTCGCAAGTATCGATTCCATAATCTTCACCATAAACTTGAAGTAGAGTTCTTCTTCTCGGAGATCCCAGGCGGCAACGAAAATAAGGAGCTCCCGAAGTAGATTTCGCCCATTATCCTGGGCAAGCAGAAGGTGGCATCTGACGCTGTGCATGCTTCGGATGCTGCTGTATTGGTTGGGGTCGGGGTGGTATCCAGGCTGCCCTTCGGTGGGTTCCACGATCCCTCCCATGATAATCATTGGCAGTACTTCGATTTCGGTGGGACCCAGGATAAGTGGAACGTCTGTGAGTAAGCCATGGCCCTCGTCGCCGGTATCATCATAATCGTCGTCGTTGTCGTCGTCCTCCGGCGGGGGCGAGGCGGGAGAGGCTACGTCGCTGGTCAGCGCTGCAGGACGATCGGGATCAGGCTCCAAGCGCTTCAGCAGATCCTCTTTCCCGTTCTGCAGGATATCGGCACCAAAGGCGGGCGGATAAGTCACGCGAAAATCGACCTCACCTGCCGGAGATGACCGACTTAAGCTCGGATTGTATATTGACTGCGCTCGCATCGAACGCTCTTTTTGTTCTTCGGGTGTTTCAGGTGCTTCGTTGTTTGAGGCCGCAATACTAGAGCGCATTCTATCCACTTCGACCTGCAGCTGATTAATACTCTGAGCAAGTGCCTGCACACTCTCCTGGTTCTTAGCCTGCTGCTCGAGTACCTGCTTATAGGCGCTGGACTGCGTGATTTCGTCGCGGTAGCGTGCAACAACGTCGGCGTAGCGCATGTTCCATTTCTATTGTGGTCAGACGAATGTTTCTCTTATAGAATGGGGAACTCACATTCTTCTCTTCTTCGGTCATGGTCTGCCACTGCCTTTTACACTCTGACGCGATTTCATTTGCACCAGCCTTCTCGCCCATCTTGATAAGCGACTTCTTCACCTCAGCGCCAATTTCTCCTATATATAGCAAGAAAGGGGATGAAGCCGGCTGCTGCGGGATCTTGAAAGCATCAGGGCCACGGGATACGTGTTGGGGTACAGCGGGCGCGGACTCGTCGGGGAGCTCAGGTTTCTTCTCCAATCGATACAAAAAGTCCATTCTCGATTTCATGTCTGCGAAATTGGGAAGCTCGCTGTCTAGATGGCTGTCGAAGAGCTCGATCCAGAGCATCAGCTTCCGCTGCTCGTTTCGCGCAATAAGGTTGTTCAGGAACTGCAGGCATGTGATCAGAAGTTTTTTGTCTGCGGTGCATTAGCAGCCTTGCCTCTCATCTACTTTCTCGCATGTCTTACAGGCATTGATAACACCCTGCCACTTGTCCTCATCTGCCGTACCTGCCTCGCCATCGTAGCCCCTCGCAGTGACTCGCACGCAGACATTGATCAGCGCAAAAATATCCTTATCGAACAGCCGCGCTGCCGAGAGATCCTGGACCTTCTCTCCGACCACTAGGACATTGCGCGCGATAGAGACTAGCTGGTTCAGGCGCTCCAGGTCTCGAAGCAGGCTTGGGGAATAGGAGGCAATCAGCGGTCCTGAGAGGCCTTCGTATTCGGGCGTGGCAGGGTCGGGTGCCGCGAAGCAGCGTCGCTCGAGCGAGGGGATAGCGGCTTTCAGTACACCGGCGAGATCGTCCCAGAATAGGTCTGAGAGGCCCAGTTCATCACTACTTTATCAGCATGATACTTGCAAAAGGGCCGGACGGCGCGAACCGGAGCTCAAAACTACGCCGCGACTCTTCGAGAGTTTTTTTCACTACGTCTCGTTCTAGCAGCCGCAGACTTTCATCCTTGATGTAGCCTGGGCTCTGAAAGTGCACCGTATACGGCGCGAGTGCGAGTCTCAGTCGTGTGAGGTACAGCTTGGCGGGGTCTTGCACCTCGCTCGAATCATCGTCCATGATGGGCGGATTGGTATGCGCATGGGCGCTGGCGGGCGCTGTATGGGCGTAAGGTAGAGCTGGCTATGCGTTGGCTTCTTCAACAATGTCAGTCAAGACGTTGAAGCATGAGAGTGGAAGCTTGAGCAGCAACCAAACGTGACGAAGGCGGGGCAGGAACAACTTTGTTCCTTCCCAAATTTCCATGGCGAGGCAATACCTAGCGACGCAGTTGCCCCGCCCCCACCACGCACATGCTGAAACATCACCACGATCGAAAGTGTATGCAACTCCCAAGTTAACAGCTGTGGACAGTGGACAGTCGCTACTGATGGTGGTGTCTCCTAGGACACTACTTTCCGCAGTTGATGGACAGGAAACTTCACTTTTTTGTCACTAGATTGAGGGTTCTCTTGCCAAATCTATACCTCTGTGAAACCATTGCAAATTTTTGCTACTCCACGGTGCATTGAATGATCACAAGTCAGAGATATGCTTCAAAACTTCGTTCGCCACATTTTGCTCAGACCTGTCGGAAGCCGGGAATGAGGTCAACGGCGCACTGATGATTACTATTACTGATCAGGCCTACTCCTCTCTTGACCGCAATCGAGCAAATACTAGGACCGAGGAGTCACACGAGTTCTGTATTCCCCTCGAATGCCTTTGTGAAGGTCACGACCATATGTTCAGCTATAATATCACTCTCAGTATTGACATCGACTCAAAAGGCCTAACTTACTCTATAAAAGCAGAATAAATGATACCATATCTTGGAAACTTCCTCTGGAGCTACGCTGGCTAATTTATGACGGACTCATCGCAGAGCACCCGAAAACCTGTACCCCAAGCACCTCTAGGAGTACTACAGCCGGCGAAAATCAACCATTACCATGCACCAAAGAGATACTACACCTCAGAACAGGTCTCCTCAGAATATGCAAGCAGACCCAAGGAAAGGTCTGGCTTTGATGCTACCTCACTCGCTCCTACAATTACATCACGTCGAACTGGCGCAGCGCCATGAAACCAGGCCACTCGCGCTGAGAGAGCACATCCATCGGGTTCCATGACAGACTGACAATGAAATCAGGAGTATGCACTGTTCCAAATACGTCAAAGAGCTTTTGATGCCTCAGCTCCACAACTTCGGTTCCTGTTGTTTCTTCCCAGGAACGTAGGGTCGGGTCGACTTCCCCCAATATACGGTGGAAGAGCAGAACTTGTAGCTCTCGGAGAGACCGTACCTTCTGAAGACTTTGCAAGACTGCTTCCCAGGATTGGAATTCTGTTGTCCACTCATGGAGTTATTCGTCAAGAGAAAGCTGTTCGAGTCGACCCGCCAATGGGCGAGAAGCCCTCTGGCGGTGCCACTAGTTGGAAGCAATGGAGATCTATTGGCCTGGAGAACACGAACGATGTTGACGAGTAGAGGATCGCTAGTCTTTCAGTATACCTGCCTGCGAGCACTGACATAAGCTCAACAAATTGCGCGTTATACAAGTGAACTTACAGCAGACGACAACATAGTAACAGAGCTAACGTTTTCCGAGGCTCCGAAGTGGAATAGGGAGATTGATTACTCTTTCTGGCTGTCGATATCCGGTAAGGGAAGCATTTGGCGTCAAAATTTAAATGATCATAGAATCCTTCGAAACCTGGTGGTCGCCACCGTTCTAACCTCGTATGCCGTGCCCGGAGGACATGCCTCTAGAGGATTAGCCGACAGTCTGAAATCAGCTTATGGACAAATAGACTTGGACTCTGAGGCCATGGGTCTGTGTGAGGTAGTACGCGGCGATGCGCATGGTTTGCGGCTCGTCGAGGCTGCTCTTCGGCAGCGGCATTGAATATGGTACTTTTTCGGAGTATGGTACCATATCCTGATAAATAGTGCATGCCATCCTGATATTAGGCTAGGATAGATACGAGGTGATATGCGCACAAGTTTAGCGTAGGGTTTGCTTGAACGGACTCAAACGATGTTGCGAGTCGTGAGCGAGCGGCCAGGATACGTGCTTGTGCGTACTTAGGTGGGGTGCAGGGACTGGAGTCTTAAGTTCGGTTCAAATCAAAGCACATCAGATCATGGTCATGAAATGTGCCGCAAAGTGGATTGTTGTTGCCTGCTCAGGTGATGAGGAGGGGGCACGGTTTCCCCGTCCCCACCCCATCCCGGTTATCTAACATTGGCCATGTTAGGGATAATAACTGAACTTGCAGAGTGCGAGTAGAACTTGGAAGGCATACAAGTATTTACTTTGCGGAGGCGTATGAGGGGTGGCTCGAAACGCTCTCCAGTATCTAGTGAATGCATTAGAACGCCGCCTAATGCTATATACAAGGCAAAAGCCGGGGTATCATGTATATCAAAACACGTCGTTCATCTCTACATCCCTCCCTCCACCTGCAGCAACAGCGGCTGCCTGCGTGCCAAAGTCTATGACTTCATTCGCTCTGTCATCCTCCAAAAATACACCCAGACCGCCAAACGCATCGCGCAGCGCGTGGCTGTAGTATTCAGGCGCTTTGTACCCGAACGCGTAGAACTTGGGCTCGTGCTTGACTGCAAAGAACTTGTGGTCGTACTCTTCTTTCACGCTGTAGTACAAAGGCTCCACGCTCCACCCGCCTGTAGGATCGAATGCCTTCTCCGGCTCCGGCGCCTTTCGTTTTTTAAGACCGCGGAAGCTAAAGCCTGTGTCATCCTCAGGAATTGGCGTGTTGCCCAATGATGCGCCCTGTACCCTTCGTTGTGTGCCACCTTTCTTGAGAATGACGTGCGAAGTCTCTGAGAGGGTAGAAATGTCTGGCCCATTGTCTACAGAACGACGTACGGCGTTGGGGTTGAGCTCGGCCTTCTGGGCCTCTTCCCAGCGGCGCAAGCGGCGTTCTGTCTGTTCGACATCAATCTTCAGGATAAGATTCCACGTGATCTCTTCGACTTCCTCTAGGTAGTCGTTGTAGTCTCGGAGCGTCTCGAAATCGGCTTCTTCCTTGTTCATGCTGCATCTGTTAGCCTTCGCTTATCCCACCGTTTTGGAGATACACTCACGCTTTAGCCACGCGCCTCCTGATGTCCACCTCCCTCTCCACCTTCAGATCCTCGAAGGTCTGCATCCGGAACCTAGCCTTCCGCAGTGTCTTTTTACAGCCCGCGATCGGACACGGCGCCGGCCCGTGGGAGAAGATGCGGTCGACGCACGACTCGCACATCTTGTGGTAGCACTCTGGGTTCACGAGGAAGCGCATGTTCGGGTTGAGATAGCGCGACGATTTGCATACTGGGCAAATCTCTGAGGCAGAGTCAGCGGCCGCGCGCGCGGGCTTGGAGGGGGACTGGTGCTGGATGGAGAGGCTGCGGAGAGAATGAGAGAGGTGAGACGCACCGCCATCTTCGACTGCCCGCTTGGTGGACGCGCCGGGCGCGCGCGCGACCCTCGACATGGTGGTGGTGGCGTGGACGAAGCTGGAGGATGCGGCAGGAGAGAGAGTTTGGGTGGGCTGGGTTATTAAAGCAAACTGGCCACCCCAATCACATTACCTGATAGCCGGTGACTGTGTGTATCTAGGTGAGCCAAAGGCCCTCACTTCAATATCGTATCAGAATATGTGAGGTACCAAAGTTCACGCAGGGTGACTTTCTTTCAACAACATTTGAAGCATTCCAGCTGCATGACTGGAGCTTGGGGCCGAAGCGGGACTAGCGCGCCAAGACGTATTCTCTCTTCCGCGCACCGCAACAATTCCTTCTGCCTCCTCCGCCTCCGCCCTCATGCCTCAAAACATGGCGACCACCGCGCAGCAGACCATGGAGAGCGTCGAGAGCCGCCGTGTGCAGCTCGAGGAGACGGTGGCCAAGTTAAGGAAGGCTCTGGACCACTGGTCGACCTGGGAAATGGAGTACCAGATTCTCAAAGAAGAGCTGCAGGTTGCAGGCTCGCCCTCGCCGTCGCGAATGGCTGAGATAGGCCGCGACATCCAGGGCAAGCTGGTAGACGAGAAGGAGGTAGAGGAACTGCTCGGCAAAACCTTGCCATCGAAACGCACTGCTAACCAGGTCATTGACATGATAACCAGGCGCCTTGACTATGTCGAGCAGAACCGCGAGACTGTCGAAAATCAGTTCGACAAGGCACAGAAACAGCTTGAGGCTCTTGAGATGTTGACAGATCAGGGTATGGAGAACGAAGAGGGGTTACCGATGATGGATATTGAGGAACAGCTCGATGACGATGACAACATCGTCTCGAGCTCGGTTTCTCAACCTGGGAAGGTTGCACCGGAGCTCGTAGAAGCATTACGGAAAGCTGGAGTGCAGAAGAGCGAGGACCAAACTTCGAAAGGCGAACGGGATATGGTCGATAAGCTTCCTACGCCTTCTGTTCTCGCACCTTCTACATCACTTCCGGCACCTGATACCGCAACCAAGTCCACACCCGCTTCCAACTCTGTGAAGAACCCCGAAAATTTTCCCTCCAGCACTTCCAAGGGCAAGTCGAAAGCTTTCGAAACACCGAAGAAGTCAGTGTCTTTTGCAAACGACGTGCAAGTTGAGACTTTTGAGAAGCCCAAAACTCTGAAAGATGACGTACGGAACTGGAATCTTCCACCCGGGGCCAAAATCTATGAGGTCGACGACGAGAGCGAAGACATCCTTGAGAAAGCTGTCGTTCCTGACACCGATACTGCAGAAGAGGCCGCATTGAGGAGAGAAATGCTACAATACGGTTTAATTGAAAACAACGACATCGTCGCTGAACTCGAATTCGAAGATGACGAAGACATGGACGAGGATTATGATGAGGACTACGAAGGATACGACAGCGAAGTCAGCGAACAAGAAGACAAGTACGGCCGCAGTACTCGTCGCGTTCTCTCAGATGACTACGTGCAAGAAATGCGCGAGCTGGAGAAGAAGCTCAATGCTCGCATGCTCGAAAACATCGGACCTGGTTCCGACCTTGTAGACAAGGCCGATGATGCTCGCACCCTCCGTGTCCGCAAAGATGATGAATTTGAACAGTCGGTTCCCACAGCGACTGCCTCTTCCGATGTTGTTGCGTCTAAGAAGGGCGTTCGTTTCACGGATGATGCAGACAGATTGGATGCACCGAAGCCTGCAGCAGAGCCTTCTGTGCCCATCAAGCTACCATCTACGATATCCGACAACATTGTGGAGCGTGCCGCTTTTGTTCCTCAGCCACCCTCAGCGCCTTCTCAGCCAATTCAGGTTTCACGATTCAAGAGCGCTCGCTCTCACGCCAACGGACCTCCTGTCAAGCTTCACAACCCTGTAGTACCTGATCCGCCCCCTGTGCCTACGGGTCCCTCTGGCAGCGTACTCGCGTCCAGCATCGCCGAGCATACCCCACATCCCTCGGAACCGCAAGTGCCGGATGAATTTGAACCAGTCCTTCTCAACCGCGAGATCACTGCCGAGTACCACAAGCTCCGCAACAAGATGATCTCGCAACAAGGTGGCTTTAAACCCACCGAGGAAGACGAAGATGATCCATTGGTGGAGGAACGGAACGGTAAAACGAAGAGAGTAAGTCGCTTCAAAGCTGCGAAGCTGAAGGCGGAGGGTTTGTAGATTTTCCATGATACCCTTGAGCATATCATTGCTCGATCCTTCTACTCCCTCCCTTCCCTCTCCTTGGCGTGATGTTCTGGGCTTGCCGCACCCTCGGGGTCTGCGGGGAGCGAACGTGCTTCTACGGAACCCATGCCCGTGAGAGATGCCTAGCTATGCGTCTGTCTCACATTTTATGGTGTCCAAAATTAAATCTATCGGGCTCTCTGACGTGGCTTGTTAGCTTGGCAGCTCTTGCAAGTCTCGATTGATTTTTCGCCCGTACATGCACTTGTTGACCCAGATGTCCCTTGTGGGTTGCGCTTGTTTCCGTTGAAGTAATTTACATCCGGACCCTCTTGATCATGACACAAGCAATTGCATTTATACAACGTCCATGACCAGCATCCTTGTCTATACTAAAATGTCAAAGATGTCATTTTGAGCAGACTGCCGACAAAAAGTGCAAGTGCTTGATTATTCTACTGGTATCCTGGGTTAGTTTGATGTTCAAGGCGGCATTAGGTCAGTAACAAGGTACTTCGTGATCGAGGCCAGCGAGCGTACATTCGATGCTGCTGTCTATTTCAGTGGAATAGCTTAACTGTGTGTAAAATGAGTTCATATGATTTGGCAATAGCTCCAAGTACCACCCAATACGATATCATACACTGTGGGCTAGCATTGTATTGCTAACAACTTACAGTCGCAACCAATCTGACCGTCACATATTTCAGGAGCTTGTGCCGTGGTGGTTGCCGGTAGATGGGAAATTCTGAGGCAAGAGCTGCCTTGTGTCAGAGATGTATAAAAACCACCTTCACGACTTCGACAATGAGGAGGCTGCTTGGAAATCGGCCAGAAAGCGCGTGAGACAAGGTAGGGAGGGCTTGCAGAGCGTGGAAATCGAGTGCGAGCGAGGAGCGTTGGAGTACAGGATTGTCAACAACTTGGGAAAACCGTTGGCGATCGATGATTATGATGTGGCGGAGAGTGATTTTGCATGAGATTTCGGCAGGCCATGGCCTTGGATGCCTTCTCTGAAACAGGGAAAGGTCGGCTGTTCAGCATGATACTGTACGTTTGCCGCAATTCATGTTCTATGGGCAATGTGTTATACAGCTCTCCCGTCGAAACGTGTTAGCAGAGCGTATAAGGTGCGTCGAGGCTGTATTGATCCAAGACAGGAGCGTGACACCTCATTCTAGGAAGGATCACACACTACCACCGTAAATGAGGTGACTAGGCGACATTGCGTTAATTGGACTGGACAAAATTGCCGTGGTTGTGTCGGTTCTGAAGGAATTCCGTTGCCGTCTCACCTCGGATGGTCGGAATCCCGAATCCGGCGCTAGTGACATTACCAATTGTCTCCAGTGCTCCCGCCACCCTGTCTGATACAACACCCGGACAGACACATGGGTTTGAGTCTCACTCCATGAGGTTCTATTGCTCTATGTTATCAAGGACTGACGTGAGTCACTTCATCCAAATGTCAAGACCACCAAGTTCACGGTGATTACTTCCTGCCACGGTACCTATAATAGTCTGCTATTGAGTGGTCAGTCTCAGCCAAACGGACGCCTGGATGCATTCTGACCTTCTAGGGTCATTGAATGAGCCAAATTTGGTCTTATCCCAGAAGCAGTCGCTTTTACAAACGCGTATGCAGTGGAATAGTAACGAAATGGCGGCAAAAGTTGACAAGAGGCGGAAAATGAAAGCATGCATACCGTGCGCTAAGCTGAAGATACGATGTGAATTCGCACCCCTCAATGAAAAGTGTAATCGGTAAGTGGACTGTTCCTGCCGTTCCGTGTCCGTATATACACGGTGTATTAACCTTGCGCCTCAGGTGCATTCGATTGGGTAGAGAGTGCCACGACCAGGCACCTGGCGCCCACAGCAACCCGAACCGGCGGGCTAGAATAACTCAAGATCCGGCAATTCGACGCTTGGAATCAATGGTCAACTCGATGTCCCAATTAGTAGCAAGCCGAACATCAGATGCGGCTCCGCTGTCCTTCTGCATACAGCCCTCGTCGACGCCCACTCTGCCGGCATTGCTGGAGCCAAGCTTAGATTTCAATGACCCTCCGTTTGACAGAAACGAGGGTTCGCGCTGTATCAAGCTGTTCGTGGACGAGATCACGCCGATGTTCCCATTTGTCGTCATATCACCAGACACGGATGCAGAGCTCTTATATCGCGAGAAGCCCCTGTTGTACAAATGCTTGATGATGGTCACATGTCAGAACGACGTGAGTCGACAAACGAACCTCGCTCGAGCGATTGGAGACGAAATTGGTCGTTTTCTAGGCCGAAGGGAAAGGAACCTTCCAATCTTGCAAGGTATCCTACTATACGTAGCATGGTGCGTATATCTATGAAATTTGCATCAATGATAGATCTACAGTGAATTGATTTGACCTTTGATGATAGGAGTCATGTACATCAAAATCAGGGAGCTGGGTTTCTGACCCCAGTACATTTGGCGATGGCGATGGTCACAGAGTTAAGGCTAGATGAGGAGGCTCAACCGAAGTCTAAGATAGGTGCTGGTGCCTTGCGGGCTATTGGAAAGAATGAGCCACCTCCACCCAGAACACTAGACGAGCGCAGGGCCTATCTGGGAGTTCTGTGGATGGCCTCGGTGTCAGCGAATCTTCACTTACATGTGGATGAACGCTAACAGTATCACAGGATCAACACTTGCTTTCATAATACGGTCACCCCAAGATTTACCAGATACACGGACGAGTGTTGTCGTGTCCTTCAGGCAACCCAGGAACACCCAAATGATGTCTATATCGTAGAACTCATCAGATTATTGCGGATGGTGGACAGAGTCGACAGGACAGTGTACCGAGACGCGCTCGATGTGAATGGTGCGATGACAGTGCCCTTGTCAATGGTGATTGCTGCACTTCAAGAAGAAGTGGCTTTGCCAACGGGATTCAAACCGCTTGCTCCAGTGCAAGCAGTGCTGTCACGGCTTACACAGAAGATGCTTGAATTCCACCTCTGCAAGCTTGCTATCGAGGACGACTACTTTCCGCCTTGCTCTTCTCACACCACGTTTCGCGCAGACCTCCTCGTGGGCTGTCTTTCTACCATTGAAACGCTCCTTGATACCTTTTGCGATCTACCCGATCTAGCAGTGCTATCTTTGCCATACGGATATTGGGGCATGGTCGGACACGCCATAAAAATCTATTCGCGGCTCTCTGAAGTCAAATACGGGCCCTGGAGTCCAACAATCAATCCCCGGTATGTATCTGGGCGACTGGTGCAAAAGATGGAAGAGGCGAATGCCGCGGGGCAGAAGGCAACGCCGCCGCGGAGGATGCCCGAGTTCTACGAGCAGATGGTGGCCAAGTTGAGGGACCTCGGAGAAGCAAAAAGCAACAGCACAGCGAATGACACCTTCCCGAACGGCGATGATCTGCTAGACAACGACATGATGGGCGGTATTTTATTCGATCTCCTGGACTGGGTTTGAAAACTGGCTACGAACAGGCCCAACTTGGCGATCGGCAGAGATGGACCCGGACGGATGGGGCAACTCGAAGTTTCAAGGAGATGCAAACGAGAGTGCGACGGAAGGATTGTTCGATCTGAGATCTGACTGTGCCGTGGATCGTTGTCCGGCGCGGGGCGGCACTGTAGCGCTCCCCATGTCGACGAAGCGATTCGGGACGAGCGAGAATCGCGCTGCAAGGCGGTGCGACCACTCCAGACAAAGGCGCCGACGTGCGAATGCATACGGATACGAAGAAAGAGGCTCAGCTGCGGTGGCGGATGCCGTCATCGTCGGCGTGAATCGAGACCCGAGTCTCAGGCCGCGTGGATCGAACGCTAACAGGGACCCTGCAGGACCCTCGCAGCTTGTGCCCAAAGCGGACTAACTCAGGGAACGCGGCTCGTATCCCACACGGTCGCACGGTCGGGGCGCAGCTTTCACACTTCTCAGCATACGTTGCAGGCGTCGCAACCTCCTCCACATGCGCTGCACATCTACTGCTTCCGGCTGGCACCCCTTGCCACTAGCGCTGTGGGCCTGCTCTCGCCTCGCCGTGGACGTGGGCCATGCAGCGTCGCTGGAACATCAGGGACGCTCATGATCGCTTGCAGCACCCTGGAATAATGCAACACCCGTCTTGTGAAGCCTGTACGCATACCAGCCTCATGGTCGACCTGTCATTCGACGCGAACGCATGGGCGTAAGATTATCTATGGATTTCTCCGCCACATTTCCAAGGTGCCAAGGTAGCGCCCGCTCCTGTTTGCAAGCCTACGCGACACCTGTCTTGTCTAGACTCCGGCAAACAGAGCTTGGACGCGTTTGAGCTGGTGAAGAGCACACCTGCCGTGTTTGGGCCCGTTCGGTTATATATGTTAAGAAGGGAGCTCCTGCCCCCGATTACTCAACTACCAACGGCCATGGTACCCAAATCGCCGCATCTCCTCGATGCCGCCGAAGTCTCGCGCCTCATTGCGCACGATCAGGTCATCGTCATCCACGAGGGGCATGCTCTGAATTTGTCTGCGTGGATCAACAAGCACCCCGGTGGACGACTTGCGATACTGCACATGGTTGGAAGGGATGCCACTGATGAAATCAACATGTAAGTAGGCGAGCGTACGACCCGCTAAGCGCTAGTCACAGCGTACCCGCTATCCCACGTTCCCACAATCGGAACGGCGACGCTTCACATCGGCAACGCAAGGCTGACCTCGTCTCTCTAGCTACCACTCGTCCAGGACTCTTCTGTGTATGAAGCAGTTCCGTATCGGTCGAGTACACGAGCCTTGGAGGAACCTCGAAGCCCCAATCCGTTCGCCTGACGACTTCTACGCACGACAAGCGCTACGCAAAGGGGGAGAATCGAAGCAAGATGACAAAGAGTCTTTGGAGAAACGAAGAAGAAGTCGTACGAGTGTTGACCTAAGCTCCGTGGGTCTACTCCAAAACAATGCCTTGCGCTCTCGCGCGTGTGTTGTCAGCGTTTGCTGACTGTAACCCGAAGGCCGCAGTTGCCCTGCACAAGAAGCTGAACCAAACCCCTTGCACACGAAGAGCGATTGGAATTGTCCAGGTCGAGCTTGAAAAACAACCTATTCTACCAGCTGTATCGACCTCCCCATCACCAAACAACGTCGACAGCACCGATGAAACAGTCGCTGCACGCGAGCGATATGCCACCGAGTTAGAGCAGAAGGAAGTTGCGGATGGCCTGCGCGACAACCCTTCAATCGATTACGACACACAACGAGCCATTGTTCTGGAGTACCGACAGCTGCATCAGAGGATCAAGGATGAGGGACTGTATACATGCCGCTATAGCGAGTATGCTAAGGAGAGCATTCGCTATGCCCTTCTCTTCGCCTCGTTCCTCTACCTCGTCCATCTGGAGTGGTACCTTACGTCTGCTCTTGCGCTAGGATTGTTTTGGGTATGTATCGATACATTTTGGTCATGCAAAATGCTAACGAATGAGCAGCAACAGATCATGTTTACGGCCCATGATGCCGCTCACTGTGGTATCACTGCCAATTTCACAGTCGACACACTGATTGGGGCCTTCATTGCGGACTTCTGCTGTGGTCTCAGCATCGGCTGGTGGAAGTCCTCCCACAATGTCCACCATCTCATTACGAACGACCCAATCCACGACCCGGACATTCAGAATACACCACTCTTCTCAAACTCGCCTACGTTTATGAAGTCAGTGTTGAGCTCTTTCTACAACTTCCGGTTCGTATGGGACAGTGCCGCGGATTTCTTGATTCCATACCAAAAGTACACGTATTACCCTGTCATGGCTCTGGCAAGATTCAATTTGTACATGCTCTCGTGGCTGCACCTAGTGAGCCCACGGGCAGCGCAGCTGGGAGCAGCTTGGTGGACACGTCCTGTGGAGATCCTATTCATGGCATGCTACTGGTTTCTCTTCGGATACTGCCTCGTCTGGTGCACACTTCCCACATGGCCGATACGCATAGGCTTTGTGCTGCTTTCCCACATGGTAACAATGCTCCTACACGTACAGATTACCCTCTCTCACTGGGGCATGCCTACCGCGGATCTCGGGCCCACGGAGTCTTTCGCGCAGCGTCAACTCCGCACCACGATGGATGTCGACTGTCCCGCCTGGTTGGATTTCCTGCATGGAGGGCTACAGTTTCAGGCTGTGCATCATCTATTTCCTCGAGTTCCTCGACATAATTTGCGACAGGTGCAGAGCATGGTGCGAGAGTTCTGTGACAAAACGGAGATCCAGTATCAATGCTACGGTTTTGTGCGGGGCAATCGGATAGTGCTGAGTAGGCTGGAGGAGGTAGCCAAGATGGTGACAACTTTGGTGGAGTGCCAGAAGCACATGGCGGAGACGGGAGAAAGCGGTCTACATTAGCGGTCACACCTCACGGATCTCCCTCACCAATATAGCTATGTTTCCTTGGTCTGTCACAATTTCATTGCCAAAAATTATACACCCAAAGTGCGCTTTTCCCAACCATCGCGGAACGCCTGTGCCGTATACACGTATCCCCGACCTGCCAACACTTTCTTTACAAGCGCGTCATGCACGTCCTGCTCTCCGTCGGCGCACCCATCTTCCAACACCGTAACCACAAACTCCTCGTCACATGCCGCAGCTGCAGTCCTTAACACACATCCGGACGTGCTGAGACCAGTCAACACCAAACTCGTGATCCCTTTTACTCGCAGATATTCCACGAGGCCAGGTGACTTCAGCGCGGACACATAGCCTCCCCGTCGCAGGTAGGTAACCTCGCCATCGGAGTCCTCGAGTAGCGATGCAGGCTCATCCCCACCGCCACTTTGAAACGCGCCTATCATTGAAGCTAAACGTTGTTTATTTTTGCAGGTCGAAAACGGCGTCTTGTCGGCGTCGATGAGGCAGTGGATGACTTGCATGCCTTTGGATTTGGCCCATGATTTGGTATCAGCGGCGACTGAGAGGGCATCATGACCTTTGGAATTGGCGACTCCCTCAACGAACATACTGTGGAAGTCGAGAAGTAAGAAAGCTGTTTGGGAGGATGTGTAGTGAGAGGGCATTGTTGGGTCTGTGGGTGTTGCGGACGCCATGTTGGTTGTGAAGCTTGACGTGGCCTCGCAAATCTCAATTGGTAGTTGGTGAGGTGGTTAGATGAATACGATAATTCGATTTTTACACTTGGTTCTTATATACACCTTTATCGTTTCGCACTCGCTCAAGCTGGAGTTGTGAGTCGGGATTAAGAGCTCGCGTTAGTGTATCTCCGAGCACTTCTCTAAGCTAGATCAGGTTGGTCTCATTGAAATCATGCATATTGCCCAACTGTGTAACGGAGACACCAATTCAGAAGGGCGAGGCTCGGTGTCTTCCACATATTTCGGCTTCCGTTCTCTACTGCCTTTCGCTATCTTGTCTGGTAAACCTAATCATTCCCCATGTTTATCGTAAAGCCCCCATCGATGAATAAATTCTGCCCCATCACCAGACTCATCCGCGGCACACTCATCATAACAACCACATCGCCCACCTCCTCAAATCTCGCGCTCCTCCCCTGCCTCTTCTCCAGCTCTTCCCACAAATTCTCTAAATGCTTCTCCTCCACCGCCGGCCGAATCATCTGAGTAAGCAAGAACCCCGGACTAACCGCGTTGATCCTCACTCCATGACTCCTCCCTTCGAGCGCAGCGCACTTTGTAATGCCTTCAACAGCATGCTTAGACGCCGTATACGCCGCATGACCAGAAAATCCAAGAAGTGAATTCACTGAAGCGCAATTGATAATGCTGCCTTTCTGCTCCACGCGTCCTAGTTCGATACCAGGGTGGCTGGATTGCACGAGCATTTGGCGCATCTCGTATTTAGTGGCGAGTAGGATTCCAGTGGTGTTAACGTCCATGGTGCGTTTGTACTGCTCGAGATCAATGTCTGAGATATGAGTGCCGAAACCGAGGACGCCGGCGAAGTTAGCGGCGTAGTCGATGCGGCCGAAGTGTGCCACAGCCGTCGATACTGCCCGTTCCATGTCTTCCTCCACAGTGACATTTGCGTGGATGGTTAAGCACTTGGTTGGTGAGCGAATTGAGGGAATGAAACTGGGTAGAGATAGGATAGGGTACATTGCAACCGATATCTTCCACGTTCTTCTTGCCTTGCGCGAAGGTCGCTTCGTCTTGAATGTCGACGAGGACGACGCCGTGGGCGCCTTCCTTAGCGAAGGATACGGCAATTGCATTCCCTAGGCCACGAGCACCGCCGGTAATGAAAGCTACGCCTGGGGCTAGAGGACCTGTTCGCTTGGACATTGTAGTATTACGTAGTAGTATCTTCACTTTCTGCTGTAAACAACTTGCAAGAATCCCAGCAGTAACGTTTTAGAGGGTGGAAGAACTACGCCTCCTTGAAGGTCCTAGAAAATATGAGAACATAAGAGCTAGGTAATCGGATTTTAACTAAAGAGTTGATGCTCCTGATTAGCATGCTAGCTCACGAGGCTGACCCCACTTACCACCTAGCTACTTTCGGTAGCCTTTACGCGTCTACAATGCATACCGAGGCGTACGCTTGATGGAGGATGTGCATTGCAGTGGCACCGGGGCAGGCGTCTCATTTAGTTCATGTCTTCCAACCGGCTTGACTGTCACAGTGGATCTATGGCCCTAAATTCCCCCCTTGCGGTGTCACCAGCATGATCTTGATGTGATAATTTCTATGTTTAATCAGCTCGTTGAAGCCCATTTCGACAATATCATCGACAGGTATACGAGAGGTCACCATGCCGTCGATGTCCTTGAACCTGCGTGGGTGGCGTCATTCTTTTTCGCCAGATTAAGGAATCTAGCCGTACCAGCCACAAAAAAATTGACTGTGTCTGTGAAAGCATCATCATTGTAAGTGTTACTGGCCTTCGACGATATCTCGTTCGACAGTAGTTGAAAGACTGGCACGGCCATCTACCAATGTCTAGCAAACACAACCTCTAGAGAGATTAGTACTCACAGGAGCCTCCCACATAGCAACGTTCATATACACTCCCCAAGAAACTGACTCGTCCAAAGCAGCATCCATGTCCTTCTGAAACCCTGCACAGTCAAATACCACATCCACAACCTCACCAGATGTCTCCTCCCAACGTTGCTCAGCCACGTCGTCGGTAATAGGAGAAAACTGATGATCCGCAATCTTCCTGTTTGTCCCGCACGAATGGCCGTCGCTTCTCAGATGAAAATTCCCTTACAGCCTAACGCCTGCAGAACAGATGTATGCGCGATCCCGATGGGACCACCGCCCTGAATAAAACGGACTTCTCACTCCAGGATTTGACTTCTCAAAGTGCTACAGCATGCCATGCTACCGCCAACGGTTCAATCAGAGGTGCCAGACTCAACTCAACGGAGTTGGGCGCCGGGTAACAATGTTTCGTCTCCATCGCTACCAACTCCGAGAACCCACCGCCTCCGCCGTGGTTTCCTTTTAAACCCAGTTCCAAAAAGTCATGCGTATGTGATGCAGCGCATCGTGAGCATTTATCACATCACCTTTAGACACTCCTAAGTGGGTGGCGCGCTGGTAATGCGCCCGCAGAATTCGTGGCCCATTGTCAGAGGGAGGTTCTCGCCTGATAGTGCGCGTGGGGTTGCTTTGGCATCATGGCAAAAGGGCCTGAATGATGTTCGCAGGTGGAGAAGCTGGATGAGATGACTGACTGCGGAGATACTAGTACAGGTCTGAACCGCATATAGGCCGGTTCTAAGAGCGTACCAATCTGGTTGCGTTGCGTATCCTGAGCCAGCACAGGATCAACCGGAATCTTCTGGGCTGCTCATCTGGAGGCGAAGCGTCTAACAGCAGGACGTGATTGACAAAAAAAGACTTGGAATAAGGTACGGTGCCCAGGTGTGGTTGGCCTGAGGCGGAAACGTGGGGAGCTTCTTCCCCGCCATCCCTCGCGGAGCCTAGCGTCGTCGGTACCACGTAGACTTCGCTAGCAATTCACCACGATGCGACGGCATTCACTACCACTTGTCACTTTTTTTACGGCCCTGTGCACTATGTTTTCGTCAAAATGGGCTCCCAAGCCAGAGGAAACGCCCGAAGAAAAGCCCGCTGAGACAGCACCACGACCCGCGCAGCAAACAGAGCCGCCACCAGCTCCGGAACCGAAAGCTGTTGACCCACCTCCACCTGCGGAATCGTATGCGCCGCCACCCGTACGTACATTAATATGATCGCCTTTCTACCTTCAAATACCTACAAGCCACAGCTTCTACATGATCACTTGGTTGACTCCATAACAGCCCCCCGAGATGCCGTACGATTACGAATACGCCGACGCGTCCATCGACCCTTTTGCGCAGACGGCAGGTACAGACGATCTATTCTTCGACGATGACTTCACGCCGGTCGCCGAGCCTGTTGTTGAAGAAGCGCCTGTAGAAGTACCACCGCCAGAGCCGATATCCGACACCGCAAAACCAGCTGCTGGACTGGGCCAGTCGCAATATGCGCCGCGCGGCCCTGCGAATGGAGATCGAGGCGGTAGAGCCCGCGGGAGAGGCAGGGGTCGCGGACGAGGACGCGCTGGTTCTCAGGCACAGGAGCCACGAGAGCACAAGGAGAAGCTAGCGCAAGAGAAGGATGCGAAGAATGGCGAAGCACCGGCAGAAGCCGCTGCTGCAACGACTACCGTAGACACCACCGAAGCACTAGCTACGCCCGCCGTACCCAAAGAGCCCAAATCCGTCCGCGGCGACCGCACCCTCACTGGCGGCACACCCCGCGCCCGCCTGACCGAAGATCAAATCAACGCTAAGCTCGCAGCGATGAAGGCCAAAAACGAGGCTTTGGTCACAGCACACGCCCGCTCTGAAGCTGATGCCGCAAACTTCGAAGCCCGCGAGGCATTGGCCGCACAAAAGAATGCTGAGCGCAAGAAGCAACAGGCGGAGAGACAAAAGGTGGACCGCCAGAACAGGCAACAGATGATGGGCGAAAGGGAGAGGAACAGGCAGTTAAAACTCAAGGCGCTTGGGGGCAGGGAATGGGATCTCGAGAAGGAGGGCGGTTTTGAAGGCACTGGCGAAGAGCGTCGGCGAGGCGCTGCGAGGGGTGCTCATGGTGGTGTAACAGGAGTCACCAGGACCGTAGATGCGGACCAACAACAGCACGAATCCGAGATTCCCTCCTCAGCACGTGGGCGAGGTCGAGGGCGCGGAGGACGGGGCGGCAGAGGCGGTCGCGGCGATAACCAAGGCACTGCGAGAAAAGACCCCGATGCCCAACAACCGCCTTCAGCGTCCGACTTCCCCGAACTTCCCTCTGCATCGGCATTGACGGCGAAGAAAGACGACGAAACGCCCAAGAAGCTCGATTTCCCTATTCGCACAAAGACCGAAGATATCAAGGCCACTGAGCCTGACCGCCCTGGCATCAAGAAGCAGGAGTCCTTCGGCCTGCCTTCGCCGATTGCGGGAAGAAGTTGGGCTGACCAAGTGGATGACTCGTAGAACGAGATCTTGGGTGGTGTTGTGTGATTTGGATAATGAGATACCAGGAGCTGATGTCATCGAATTTGTACATGACGATTTTGCATAGGTAGGGCAGGCGATCAAAGCAGAGTATGAGCGGCAGATATATCAACACTTGAGATTTGAGCGTCCAGGACAAGCCTGATCTAATTCAATCGTGAAAGCTTAGGGATATTATAGAGCTAGCTCACACTTGCCGCAACCTCAGCAGATGCAGGAACCACTGCGACAAGCCAACATTACAGGAGGAAAATGCAAACCTCATCAAATCAATTCTTAACATTCATTTTTTCGTTGACGCCTGTACCAAACACTGTCGTGGTGCCACATCGAACTTTACCGCAGCCTATTGCAGATAATGAAGCCATCCCAAAGCCATGCCCACATGTCGCTCTTGCCAGGTCTACCTTGCGCCTTCGCGGCCTCGCCCTTGATTCTGATACGTCGCCGCCTAAAAGAACTCCAGGTCACTTGCTGCTCACCACCGGATGTCAACTATGTGAACCACCGTACCAAAAGCCCGCCGACGGTTTGGCTCATCTCGGAAAACTTCAGCACAACATGACCAGACCCTGGATATTTGGCTTTCTCATTCTGTTCTTGTGTCTGCTCGCAAATAGCAAATGCTTCGTCAACATAACACAGCGGTCTCACCACACCTGAAATCAAGTTCAAAGGCGGAACGCGGAGTGAAGAGTACGTCAGGTTCTGTAGCTCATTCCAGATGACAGACTTTATAAGAGCAAGGCCAGGGCAACATTCGCGTCTTATTGAGATGTCCGTGCTTGAAGAGCTTCGATTTTGCATTGAAACTCGGTCCCGCAAAGCCACCTTTGCTTGCGAGGCTTCGTCGATTCTGACAAGGACGCTAGGAGGAGTCTTTCGGGAGGGTCATCAGAGCGCAGCTTCCAGGCAATCGATATCCGCTTAGCGAAAGTGGCAGAGGAGCCACTCTAAATATGCCCGAACACACCAGCGCTACAGCGAGATTTCAGTCGCTATGATCCGCTTGTAGACCCGCTCCTCCTAGCCTAGGCTCCCCGGGCATCCTCGAGTAAACACATCGCAAGGCCGGTAAATTAAACAAAGTGGAATTTACTACCACTAGAAGCCATGCGAAGCGGGCATCATTGATGTGGTCAGCCAGCTGCTGCTTCCACAAATAGCTCATACATAGCATGAGCGCAGCATCGAGGTATGGCCCTTCCGCCCGGAAAATTCAAAAACGGTCGCCCACCGTGTAACCATGATTCAAAGTCAAGTCAAAGTCTAGCGTATCGGCCCACGCGTGTTAACAGATACACAAGAAGAGGCACTCATCTGACTGGTGCGCCCTCGTCAGCCCTCACTTCGGCTCTGCTACCTCTGTATGAAACACTCAAAAACGCTCTAGAATCACCTCGTGGCTTCTTTACCCAGGGTCAGCTGCCATTGTCAGACCTACTTTTGCACCTTATGATCACGATCTTTGATCGCATTATTGCGGGCTGCCTGATGCACAGCTCATCAAACCAATATGCACGCCCAACTTCCTCCCTAGCTCACTGAAAGGGGCAAATTTGTCTTGTGTGATACAGCATGGCCTCTTGGCCTTCGGCATAAGGCTGTTTCGCTTGTCAAATATTGATTCAGCCATAACTGCGAGGAGGAACGTCAGGTCTATCACACTACAGACAGAGGTTGGGGGTTCAAGAAGCCAACTGACAATAATGATATCCACGACCTAAGTAGAGGTCTCAGCAACATAACGGCATCCTGAATGCAACCAGATTTCTTGACAGGGCTTGATGTGCCACAAGGAAGATTTCAACACCATTTAGGCATCACAAGGTCACTCTTCATCAAATATGAGATCTCAAGCATTAGCCCTACATGGCTCCAACCGAAAAAGCCTTTACAGAACGAACCCCAGTCCTGCGTCCATCTGCAGCTCCTCAGGAGGCCATGCCTTCAACTTTGGACCCAGACAGCAAAAGCAGCAGTGCATTAACAAACTTGCAAGGACAAGATGCCAATCTTGTGAAGATAGGCCATACTGGCAACCTCCAAGCATAGACGATTCCCTTAAGCGCCGACCCACCAATTCGAGCGTGCACTCTCTCGTCAGTAGACTTGATGACTGTCCTAGCATGTAAACAAACGAAAGAAAAGTTCTAGCAACAAACGATTAGCCGTCTTTTCCCAATACCACAAACAAACCCGGTTACGGGAAATGGGATTTAAACTAAAGAATCTAATACTGCCCCCATCCCCGGCAAGCTGGTTGAGACTGAGCAAGCCGGCGCAACACAAGCCGATTCCATCTGGCCGGAAACCAAGAATCGAAAAATTGTTTTGAAGAATTCGAGTGGCGAGGAACGTGAATGCCTTGAAAAGCGACGTTCTCAGCTGGTATCACAGAAGTCAAAGGTTGACGAGACGATTCAAGAAATCGACGGAAAGCATAGAGAAGCGCGCAAAGCATACGATCTCGAGTCCAAAATGTCGCAAGATGCAGCGAGGAAAGCCTTACACACCCTACAAGTCGCTAGTAGTACGTACTATGACGCTCTGGAAACTCTACGAGGACTGAAGATTGAGATCAAGATAATTACAATATCCTTAGAAGCACTCAACCCCAAGTCGTTATACGATAACGAAGCACAGTTCCTCAAGGAGTTGCACACTGTCTGTTGCCAGAGTCATGGAATGAGTAAGCGCTATCATGCGATGGCTTGACGCTCATTAGCGACGCTAAGATCACATTGGTAGGTAGTGTGTTGAAACAACGTCATGGTGTTAGGTATCACGCTTCCGGTTCTGACGTCTGGTTTGGACATTTCCATATGGAAGCTTGTGCAGCGGAGAGTGGATATCTACATGGAGCGAGGCCCTATGCGTGCCTCGAAGGATCGTAGAATACTTGCTTTCCAGTATCGTATCCGGTATACGGCCATGCGGGCAGATTTCTCATTGTGCGCTTTGTCTTGTACTTGCTGAGTGCGGCCTTAGAGAATATCCCCTAGGATGTGAAAACCCCCAACCCAGCGATCCAAATCAAAAATTGAAGTAGCTCTTTCAACACTCGTGCTCATTAGTGTCACTTTGATACCAGGTATACCGCTCTTTGTTGCGCTGTTCCCTCCCTGGTATAACTTAGTAAAAATATTCTCCATCGTGCGTACCGTTCTTTACTACTTCTAGACGCCAATTCAAACCTGACCTTAGGTATTCTTCCACTTCTTTCTTCGCAAGCTGGCTACCCGCTACCTCTGTCATGATAGCTTCTGTGAGCACGATCATGCTGAGCGTAGAAGCCGAGCTTCGCGTAGTCTTGGCGATCAGTGACGACGTCTTGGCGATGAACAAGTGTTGCGATGCCCATGCGGCCGGATGGGCTTTTATACCACCAATGGATAACAGGACATTGTAGGAGAAGTCTGCGGACACTGGCATACTCACCTTCACGAGATACTCTGTGTCGTTTGCAAACTTCTTCAGCTCTGTATTCGAAGCGGCAAAGCGGGAGTCTCGGTAGAGAGGGTTGATGCGAGAAACCAAAGTCGCGTTACTGTGACCGTCAAGAAGTTCGGGATAAGTGTAGCCTAAATCTGCGATATTCCTGCTGTTGGCAGAGGTCCACCATTGCCCGCTCGTTGTCCTATGGAAAGGTGTAAGAGCTATGTTTAGTCAATAGGATCTTTGGAATATGGTATTCATGCATACGTGATTCAGCATCAAGAGGAGTGTTGCACTGGATTGCCCAGGTGATCTGCGACGCGATGCATCGTTCCACGTATGTCTTCGGGAACAATGCTTGGAACAAAGCAATCTGTCTGTCGACATTTCTAGGCAGCGTAGGTTGGCTGGAAGTATCCTGCCACCAGATAGTATTCCTTACGAGTGATGAAGCCAGAATAAGGGATCGAAAGCTGCTACTGCTGGTGGGGACATGTGTCCGGGGTCCATCATGTTATGGATGTTATTGTGAGGGATCTCGATCGACGATATGGGCGAGTCGCCGCAATTGCTATCATTACTCAGGTCGTTGAACGAGTGATACTGAGTGATTGCCGAATACACGGTCTGTCTAAGGGATGGAAGCTGTTCACCCAATTCAGATTCCACCCCATCGTGATCGCTGACTCATGTTCTGGTTGCGTCTGTAGCACGGCGAACTATTCTCTGCGCTGTGTCGCACAGGGGCCCGTTCTGTCTGAAATTACAACCCTGATACTTTAAGTAGACCAAATAGTCGGCAGGACGACGATCTTACCGTACTATGTATCTGAGAATTGTCCAGTGGGTGGAAGCTGTAATCGTAGAGCGGATTATCAATCTCCTCACTCGAACCATCTTGAAGCGTGACGGAAACTCTACGCGTGCTCATAGCTGCACGGAAGATGTGATCAGCCCCAGGCACGGCTTGCGCCCAGTCCCAATATGGCACACGGAGTCTATTCGCTGCGTCTTGGTATGAGGGGTTGGAGAAGCCATCAGCGATCTCGATAGCAATCGCCTGCACCTTTGGCTGTTGCGGGTTATTTGTGCACTAACTGCGTGTGGGACGACGTTACCTCGAAAAGCAATATGCACGGTCGATGCCTAATGCGTGGGTACAAAGTCAGTGTGACTTCAATGTTAAGACAGGGTTGGTGAACAGCTGGAGCATCATCCTAGCGAGAAAGAACAGTTCTTTTGTTGCCAGAAAGACACATCAACTTGTACCCGGCGGTTTACTTACCACGTGCTAAACAGTAGGTCATGGTGGGGGCAGTAGCCTACCTGCGGAGATCGACCATTTGAAGTGTTGAACTTTTCGCCATTCCAATTGTATCTAGATCGTACGGTGAGCGTGACCGTGTGCTAATTGTGCACATGAGCACCGTTACACTCACCAAGGCATCCCGTGAATCCATAGTACAAAAGAGGTCAGCTATACCCAATGGACTTAACAAGAAGATCTGACCAGCGATCTGATAGTATGAGTCGATGTTATT